TGCTGCGCCCTGTGGGTGAGCTCCTCACCGGGGACCGAACTCAGGCTGTAGCGGTTACAGCCTGAGACTCACCCCCAGGTCACCAGGAGGCCCCATTTACACATTTTAGCTGCAGTGAATGTTGGGGTTCATGTGACCCTCTAAGTCAATGATTTCCTGATTTTTGTGTAGAGACCCAGAAGCAAGATTTCCGGGTCGTGGGGCATTTCTATGGTCAGTTTTCGAGGAAGCTGCTTATGTTTTCCAAAGTGGTTGCACCAATTTACACTGCACCGGTGCTGTACAATACAAGGGCTCCTTCCCCCACATCCCCCACCATCTGTCACTTGCCTTTTTGCTGTAGGCCATTCTCCCTGGTGTAAGGTGCTCTCTCATCGTGGTCTCGAGTTGCATTTCCCTAATAACAGGTGACGCTGAGCGTTGTCCACATGCCTGTCGGCATCCATGTATTGGTTTGGAGACGTGTCTCTTGAGGTCTTCGGTCGGTTTCTAAGTTGGGTTGTTAGTTTCTGGTTGCATTGTGTGAGTTCTTGGCCCCGGGCATTAGCTCGTCTCAGGTGTGGCGAGCTTGCTTCCTCTCCTGGCTGCTCGCTCTGCTGGCTGTTGCTCTTCCTGCACAGAAGCTTTTCCAGCTGCTGTCAGTTGTTTACTTTCGGCTGAGCTAGCAGCGGCGTCTGATGCTGACCCCGTAGGATGTGCCGCCTGCGCCTCTTCCTGTTTGGCGGTCTCAGGTCTTACATCCAAGTCTTTAATCCATTTTGAATTTGTTTTTTGTGTCTGGAGTCAGAGGCTGATCCGCTTTCATTCTTCTGCAGCCGGACAGAGAACAAGTGAGGAGCCTATAAGCTTCGCCGGTGAGCTGGACCGGTGGGTCCCTAATGGTGTTTGTGGGACAGTCCCCCCCCCCCCCAACAACAGAACTTGCACTTTCCGCAGGAGCGTCTTTCTCCAGACCCACCTCAAGCGTGATTGTGTGTCAGGACACATGACAGTTGTCAGTAAATTCATGAGGACTGAATCACAGCCATTATCTTCCTTGGTCCCAGTGTTATAAAAGTAAAAATCAGCCATGGAAAGAAAACTGGGAGGGTCCTCGCCGGTGGCGCAAGGGGTTGAGCGCCTCGCTATGGGGCAATCCGCAGCCTCTGCGGGGCAAGTTCCGTCCCAGGGAGCGGCCCACAAGGCGCGGCAGACCCCTCCTGTCTCGCCCGCGGCTCCCCTCAGCGGTGTGTTTCGGTCCGTCTGCCTGTTCTGTTTCCCGCTCTGTCTCTGGTGGATCCTCTCACCACCACCCCCCGCCCCCCCGCATCTCTGGTGTGTGCCCCAGCTCTTATATGCATAAATAAATAAATCTTCAAAAAAAAAAAAAAAGAAAACTGGGAAACCTCAAGCACAAACTGCACGCACTGGAGCAGCTGTGGCGTCGCCAAGGACGGCGGGGGGTGGGGGGGATGTGCTGGGGGGCACACATGGGGGCGGAGGGGCACACGTGGCCCCAAGGGGACTGACAGCGATCTGGGCTCATGTTAAGATAGAGGAAAACCCTCAGAGACAGCTTCACCTTGCACCTAGAGGAACTCAAGGAGAAAAACAAGTGAAACCAAAAGGAGAAGGAAGGAATTAATGTAAATCATCATGGGGCCTCCCTGGGGGTGCAGGGCTTAGTCTCAGTGCTATGGCGCTCTCGTCAGCCTTGGGCCTGAGTCCACTCCCAGCCAGGGAGTGACCCACAGGGCACAGCAGACCCCTTCTGTCTCCCTGCTGCCCCCTCAGCAGTGTGTCTCAGTGAATCCACCTGTTCTGCTCCCCACTCTGTCTCTGGGGAGTCCTCTCACCCTGCACCTCTGGCCTGCGCCCAGCTCTTGAAGCATAAATAAATCTTTAAAAAAATCGTCAAGGGCCTCCCCGGTGGCGCAGCGGTTGAGCGCTGGGCTGGGAAGCTGCCCGCAGCCTCTGCAGCGCCGGTTCGATCCCCGGCTGCCGGGCGAGGGTCCCACATGGCGCGCAGACCTCTCCTGCCGCCCGCTGCTCCCCTCAGCAGTGTCCTTCGGGCCTTCTGCCTGCTCTGCTCCCCGCTCCGGCTCTGGTGAATCCTCTCACCCCTCGTGCTTCTGACTGTGCCCAGTGCTGGTATAAATAAATAAATAAATAAATCTTTAAAAAAAGAATCGTCGTGGCAATGAGGGAAACGGAAACCAGAGGGCAGCAGGAGAGGTCAGTGAGGCGGGCGTTGGCTCTGAAATACAAGCAGCGACAAGGCTGCGCACGCGGAGCGGGCACTGAGGGAGAGGGCGCTCTTGGAGCAGGCACTCGCCCACAGCCGGAATGAGGAAGGAGTGCCAGGGGCACCGCGGAGTGTGCCGGGGCGCTGGAGGCCAGGGAACTGCAGCGTCTGGAGAAGACACTGGCGAGTCTCTGGCTGGCAGGACCGGACCAGGGAGATGAGACCCGGACACAGCAGGTCAGCGAGAAAAATCACAGCAGCCGAGGGCCAGATGGCTGTGCGCGCTGTCTCCGGGCCCTCAGGGAAGCACAGATGCTTTTCTCCTCACTGCGAAAAATGGAAGAAGAGGGAGCACCCCCAGATGCCACCCCGCGCCCCCGGGCTGGCTCCCACCGCGCGCAGCGCCAGGGACACGCCCTCCCGGAGCCCGGTGGGTCGCTGCTCCGCAGGCCTCTCTTCGGACCCGGTGGGATTCATCCGGGAGGCAGGGGTGGCTCCCGCGTGCAGATCCACTCCTGGGGAGAGGCCAGAGGGGAGACGGGGACAACGAGGACGCTTCCTTCAGAAAGCTTTGCTGAGGGGAGGGGCCGAGGAAAAAATCAAAACGGTGTGCTGTGAACAGAGACTGGGGGTGCGCGGTAGGGGGGGCCGGGGCGGAGCAGGGCTTGTGGGGGGGGCAGGGGCAGGGCAGGGGCTGGAGTCGGGCTGGGGTGGGGCTGGGGCCAGGCTGGGCAAGGGCTGGGCAGGGCCGGGGCTCGGGCCTGGGGTCTCCCCGGCCTCTCCTGTCCTCCGGGCTGCGTCTGGCTCGTCCTGCGTCGGAGTTTGTGGGCCGCACGCCTGTCACGGCCCTGATGCCCGCTGGGTCTGGCCCCCAGTCCTCGGCCGTCCTGCCGAGTCCGCTGACTCTGACCCGTTTCCAGGCTGGGCCGCCTGGGGTCCCCGCCTTGGGGTTCACGCCTTGCGCCCTCGCCTCCCTGCTGGTTTCCAACTGGGCCCCAAGACAGTGAGTGTCTTATCTTGTGGACGCCGGCCTGGTTCGGGCTGTGGCTGCGCCGGGTCTGGCTCTGGGTCTTCCTTTCAGCTTCGCGTGGGGCCGGCTTCCTCTGGGAGGAGGAGCGGCCGCGAGTCTGGTGTCGGAAACCAGGCCTTCCGTGTTACCCTGTTGTAAAGTTGCCGCGCCTTGTTTTCTCTTGACCAGAAGCAAAAGTATCAAAACCAGTGTTTTCTTTAAAAATAAAAGTACAAGCTGGACCTCCCTGGTGGCATGGGGTGGAGGCTCAGCACCTGATGCTGTGGCAGCCTCTGCAGCACGAGCTCTTGTGACGAGCTCTTGCCTGCGTAAGTAAGTAAAACGCATCTTTAAAAAATAGATAGGACCTCCCCGGGGGCGCAGCGGGTTGAGCGCAGCGCTGTGGAGCTGTCCGCAGCCGCTGCAGCGCGGGTTCGATTCCCGGCCGACAAAGAAGATACCCACACGGCGCAGCAGACCCCTCCTGTCTCCCCGCTGCTCCCCTCAGCAGTGGATTTCGGTCCGTCTGCCTGTTCTGCTCCCCGCTCTGTCTCTGGTGAATCCCCTCACTCTGCCGAACCTCTGGCCTGTACCCCAGCTCACGTATAAAAATAAATCTTTAAAAAAATAAAAATAATAAATAAATAAAAGTACAAGGTGTCCAGAGAAGCAGTGTCCACATGGGACAGCAGAGGGGGCTGCTGCTGGTGGACACACAGGAGGTTCCGGTGCAGCCGGAGGTGGGAGGGCTGGAGCTGGGGGGCCGGAGCAGGGGCCCGGAGGAGTTTCCCCAGGGAAGCCGGCGGTGGAGCCAGAGGCCAGGTGCTCAGCCGCTGGGGGGCCGAGGGCTGAGATGAGTGCCGTGGGGGGCGTGGGGTGCCTGCCCCCCAAGCGGACAAGTGCCTCACTCCCCCAGCACCCCCGTGGGCCCCCACTCAGAGTGGACACGCTCAGGCCGGCCTGTGAGATGCCCCCTGCTCTGAACCACGCAGGAGACCAAGCTTGAATTGTTCAGCCTGGACGTCCGGCCACGAAAAGCTTGCGGTCCTGGAGGCCCGACGGTCCCTGACCTACTAGCGGCTTCGCCAGCTTGCTGGGTTTCGCGTGAACGTCCAGACGCACACGCAGGCCCAGCCTGACACCAGCGCTCCGCCGGCATTTCCGTCTGCCCTTGTCCTCCACACTGTTACACTTTGGCTCTTGCTTTTTGCTGGAGCATTTTGAAAACAACCCAGAAGTCACCCACGGCGACGTCCGCTCCTGGCAGGGGAGGGCGCGCCGTCACGTGGCAGCGCCGGGCCAGAGCCCCATCCCCAGCTCTGTTGCCCACCCTCGGAGCCCCGCAGCTCCAGAAACCCCTTCCTCAGAGGACTTCTTGTGATCTGACCGGACGAGGCCAGGGGCTGCACTTGCTAGCGGTGTCCCTGTCTCCTGCGCTCTGGGCCCGCTCTGCTGACCCCCGCGCAGAAGCCTGGGCCCCCAAGGTTTAAGACAAGGCTGTCATGGAAACACAGCGTGACCCCCCGGCCTGTGCTGCCCGTGATCGCCCGTGGGCGTGACCACCCGTCAGCGCTGTCCCCTGACCTCTGTCCTGGGGGGGGCACCGGCTTTGCAGAACAAGCAAGAAGGGGGTTAGTTCCTCGGTTACAAGACTTCCCGATAATGTGGATACTTAGTAAAACGCTAATTTTCCTTTTCCTTTTCCTTCCACCTCGGTGAGCCGACTGTACCCGGCAGAGCTTAACGCAGGGCTCTTCGTCTTTTTAGGTAGAGAGACGTAAGTCTCCGCTGAGCGAGAGAAAAGTCTTGACGTTTCCCCTTCTCCAAGAAGAAACCCACATGTTCTTAGATTTTGCCTGACGACGACCCTGAGATAAGAAGCTCCCTAAGGTAAGAAACTTCCCTTCTGATTCAGCCTCTTGTGTGGCTCACGCAAGCCCCTTGGCTGGACCTGGCCATCCCCACGCAGCTGGGCCCCAGGCCGCCTTCCTGCGCTGTGTGCGGGGCTCAGCTGGTCTCTGCAGCCAGCCTGGCTGCCACGCCTGGGGGCCAGTGGCGAGGACGGGGTAGGGGCCCCGGCATGCAGACCGCTTGCGCTCGTGTTGCCACACATGAGCCCAGGGTCAGCGTGGAGCACCAGCTGCTGAGTGTCAAATAAAGCCACACAGCTGTCAACAAGTAAAGAGATGCGGGGCCTACCTGGGGGCACAGGGGTCATTCTCTGTGCTATGACGCTGTTGGCAGCCACCACGGCCGGAGTCCATCCCCAGCCAGGGGGTGACCCACAGGGCATAGCAGACCCCTCCTGTCACCCTGCTGCTCCCCTCAGATCCGCTTGTTCTGCTGCCCACTCTCTCTGGGGAGTCCTCTCACCCCCCCCACCTCTGGCCTGCACCCCAGCTCTTGCATGCACAAGTAAATACAGTAAATCTACAAACTGTTAAAGAAGAGCCGCTCTTTTCCTGGACGTCTGTTCCAGTAAGTAGAAACACTGCGACTTTGTGCATGGCCTCAAGCCTGCTGCCCACGGCCTGCTCTCCCGTGTCTCTTGGCTCCCCCCAGGCCTCTCCGTCATCCACGCCGCTTCTTCCTTACGTCCCCTGCACCCGTCCCGGCCACCTGGGTGGGCGGCGTCCAGTGGGCTCACGCGGGGCTTGGGCGGTGGCTTCCCGGCGCTCGTCAGGCCCTGGAGCTTCCTGCCTGTCTGCCTTGCTGGTGGTTGTGTCGGGAAAGGGTTTCCCGTTTCTCCAGATCACCCCACCACCGTGTTAACTTTGCTAACTTACGTAAACGCACGTGTCCGTGAAGGACGGGTGGGCAGGCCGGAGGAGGGGGGCAGGCCGGCGGGGCGCACGCCCACGGCAGAGATGGAGCCTCGGCGGTGGTGGGCGCTGGCGAGGGTCTCAACGAGACACCTGCGCTGTCAGGTCTGATGGGGCACGTCGTCGAGACACGAAATCCTAGATAGGCGCCCACAGGGCGCCCATCCCCAGCACGTGAAGTCGAAACGTAATGGAATCAACTCACGCTGGAGCCCGCAGCCTCTCGGCCGGGACGGGCCAGGCACACCCCATGGGCAAGCCCCGGCGCCACCCGAGCCCTGGGGACCCAGCTCTGGGCGCCCACAGCCTTCATGGCAACCCGCCCCGTGGCGTCCCTGAAGCCCCAGACTCGCGAGCTCCTGTCTGGCAGCGAGCTTTGGAGAAGGGCAGGGCCTGGAGCCCCTGGCCGGCGGCGCCTGCCACTCCCACTGGGCTGGGTGGGCTCTGAGCTTGGAAGGGAGAAGCGCATGGACCTGCCCTGGGGTCGGACAGAGGCTCGGTCTCGGCACAGCAAAGGCAGGGATTTTTTTTTTTTTAAGATTTATTATTTATTATTTATGCAATAAGTAATAAGAGTACAGACCAGAGGCGCGGGAGGGTAAGAGGATTCACCAGAGACAGGGCGGGGAGCAGAACAGGTGGATCCACCGAAATCCACTGCTGAGGGGGCATCGGGGAGATGGGAGAGGTCTGCTGCGCCCTGGGGGTCACTCCATGGCCGGGGTCTCACTTGTGGCTGCGCGAGCTCAACAGCACTGAGACTCACCTTGCGCCCCAGGGGGCCCGGGCAGAGCTCTTGGACAGTCCCCGGTGAAGGTTTCGCTTCATGCTTCAAGTGACCTGTGCGTCAAAAGAAAAATAAAGGAAATTGAAAATATCTTTAATTCAATGCAAATGAAAACCCCGACCTCCGTGATGGAGGGACGCGTGGCGGGCAACGCGCGGGGTCAGACAAGGGCCACCCAGCTGTGGTCTCTCTCGCAGCTCCGCGCCGGCACCATGTTCTGGAAGTTTGACTTGAACACCACGTCCCACGTGGACAAGCTGCTGGACAAGGAGGGCGTGACGCTGCGGGAGCTGATGGACGAGGACGACATCCTGCAGGAGTGCAAGGCCCAGAACCGCAGGCTGTTGGACTTCCTGTGCCGGCCGCAGTGTATGGAGGAGCTGGTGAGCCTGGTCACCCGGGACCCGCCCCTGGACATGGAAGAGAAGGTCCGCTTCAAGTATGTACGAGGCCGTGACCTGGCCGGGGCGCCGTCCTGGCCGAGGCCGGCCACGCTGTGTGCTGTGGGTGACACTGCGCCGGCCGGGCTCTCTGGGGAGGGGCGTCCCCGCCTGGGCTCCAAGGGCTCTGGGTAGTGGTGGGCCATTGGCCAAGGGGGGCCTCTCCAGTCCCTGCGGGGCGGCTGTTGGGCGGCGTCCACTCCGCCTGCCAGCTGTGAAAGGGTCTCCGTTTTTAAATGGTTGAAAAAAATCAGCCGGGCGGGGCTGCCCGAGACCGGGGCTGGACATGGTGTCCTGCTGGGCAGGGGGCACTCTGTGGCCAGTGTGGCTGGCGAGGCTGAGCGCGCATGGGCCTGGGCCTCGGCCGGGGGAGCCGCGCAGGTCTGCGCGTGGGGGTGCCCAGCCCCGGCTGTACCGGGCAGCGCCAGGCCAACGCCCCGGCCCCCTCTGCTGTTCCTGCGCTGTGAAGAGCCTCTGAGCGGGTCTTGCCCTTCGCCCTCTGGCTCTCACAGTCTCGAGGTCTCGCTGCCTTGGGGGCGCCTGGGGCTGCCCGGCACCAGGGCCTTCTTGTGGGCGGCGCTGAGGCCCGCAGAGCCAGGTGCCTGTCCTGCCTGGCCCTGTGCAGCAGCCCTCCGTGCCTGACCCAGTGTCCAGGCCTCACCCGTGGGGCCCGGGGAGCTGCTGTCCCTCGGGCGGGGCCGCCCTCACCGGACCTGCTCCCAGGAGGCCGCGCGCCGGTGTCTCCCTGGCCGTGCCCCTGGCCTCACCTCTGCCGCCGGCCCTCACCCTCAGGTACCCCAGCACGGCCTGCGAGCTTCTGACGTGCGACGTGCCGCAGATCAACGACAGGCTGGGGGGGGACGAGGCCCTGCTGGCCCTGCTCTATGGCTTCCTGGACCACGAGCCGCCCCTCAACCCCCTGCTGGCCAGCTTCTTCAGCAAGACCGCCGGCACCCTCATCGCGAGGAAGACAGAGCAGGTAGGGCTGGGCCGGGCCGCGTCTGGGGCCGGGCCGCGTCTGGGGCCGGGCAGCCTGGAGTGTCAACACTGCGGGACCCACGGGGACGGTGGCCTCCAGGGAGCTGCCGCACCGGCCCCGCTCCTGCTGCCTGTCCACCTGGGTGGTGGGTGTCCGTGTGTCCAGCGCGTGCTCTCCCAGAGCAAGTAGAAGGAGGCACCTAGTGCTGGGCTCTGTCCAGCAGCAAGCGCGGCCGTGGCCCCACCCCTTTGCCCTCCTCCTGGCATCCGCGGCCCGGGTGGAGGTGCCCGCACTGCCCCGGCGCCAGTGCAGCCGGCCTGTCCCTCTCACTGACCGCCTTAGACATGCCAGGCATCACGTCATCTTCTGTAAATAGCTCAGCATGTGTCTCCAGGACGTGAGGCCTTTCTTCTTTCAAACACGCTGTAGACTAGAGGGACGCGGCTGGCAGGGCAAGTCACCCAGGCAAGGCTGGCCTGCGCCTCCCTGACGCAGGTGTTCTCCTCTGCGGAGCTGGCCGGCTCCCCCAGACAGTGTTGCGGCTCCCCCTACAGGGCTGTGGCTGAGCCTCGCATGGCTGGGCCCGAGGGTGTCCACTTACCTCTTTGTTGGGCCTGACAGTGTAAAGAGGCGTGGCCAGGCCTATACTGGGCTGGACCAGGCCCTTAGGAGCAGGGGAGCCCCCTGGGGTGGCGGCCAGGGTGCTGTAGGCAGCAGAGGCCCGAAGACCTTTCCTGGGGTGGAGGCCGTGTGGCCCCACAATGTTCTGCAGTCTGACCGTCTGCTCTGCTGCCCAGGCATTTCCTGAGTCTCCCTGCCTACGTCACACCCCTCTGTCCCCTGCCCCACCAGGCCGCACCCAGAACGGGTTTTCCTGTTGACAGACACGCAGCCGCTTCTGTGGAATTCACACAAGACAGAAACACAGAAAGCAGCGTCTACACACCCTGGCGGCCGCAGCCACAGCCAGGCTTTCCAGCAGACAAGCTCTGCACGCCTGGTGGCTCCCACACGATGGCCCCGCACTCTGAATAGTGCACCCGGCGCTTTTCTTTAGTAATAACCCCCCCTCTGGCTCAACCTGCCCCATCTCCGGCAGATGGCATCCCTGGCGCCTCTGCCCCGTGGTGTTGGTCGCTGGGAGCTGCCTGGCCCCTGGCAGGCTGGGCTCAGCGTGTGTTCCCATGTGGCCCTGAGGGGTGCCTCTCCACAAGGGCACACCTCACCCTCTGGTAGCCAGAGGATGGTGTGACCAGCACCTGTCTCTGTGCACGGCTGCAGCAGTCACTGGTGGTCAATGGTTTGGTTTCTTTGCACCCTTTATTCAGCCCCGACCCAGATTATTTTGGAACAAATCTAGATGTCGTGTCCTTTTACACACAGATGCTGCCATAGGATGAGGACCCTCCCAGGCACCATCACCCTTCGTGTTTGTGGTGGGTGTGTTGTGGTCTCTGGGCACTGACCTGGCTGGGGACAGTTAGTTTATGCTTTTGGTTATTGCTGGTCAAGCTGCCCGGAACGTTTGTGTGTGGCCGTCTGTTTGAATTGTTGCAGCTGAGGAAGTTTCTTGTCTCGACATACAGTTGGGTCGTGTGTTTTTAGTAGTTGTCGAGCTGCCTGTGATTCCATATTTAGGCCATTTACATTTAGTGTGATTATTGATGCGTCAGGGCTTTGCCTGCTATTTCATGTCCCTGCTGGTGTTCATTTCTGTTTTCTTTTCCTTGTCTCCTGTGGGTTACACGATAATTGAAATACTCGATCTTGGTTTGTCTGGCATGTTATTTGGTGTCTCTGTGTAGGTTTTTAGTGGTAACTCTGGGGGTTATGCCGTGGCCAGTCATAAGGAGGGCCAGCATGTGGTCAGTGTGAGTGGACGGGAGACCTGGGTGATGCGGGTGATGCTGCTTCTCCAGGCCCCCGTGGGCCCATCTCCCTGCTGTGGCCGAGCTGCGACACACAGGCGCTCGCCTTCCCAGATGTTCCTGGTGATATCTTTGGCCCATTTCTTTTAACTGCCTCTTCTTTTTTGGCTCGTAGGAGTTTTCTGTCTTTCATGGAAGCAAGTCCTTGTGGGTTTTCTGTTGCAGACCTCTTTTTCACTCTGACTTGCTGTTTGCTCCTTTGTCACTGTCTTGGTGACGTCGTTCCATGAACAGAAGTTCTGATTCTCTGTAACCCGATTTATATTTCTTTTTATTTCTGGTGATTGGATTTTTCATATTAAGACAACTTTGCCTCCTGAAGTCGTGAGCAGACCCCACTGTGTCCTCTCCTGGGCACTTTATCTTTTTTTTTTTAAAGATTTATTTCTGCATACAATTGCCGGGGTACAGGCCAGAGATGCGGGGGGTGAGAGGATCCACCAGAGACAGAGTGGGGAACAGAACATGCAGACTGACCGAAATCCACTGCTGAGGGGAGCAGCGGGGAAACAGGCGAGGTCTGCCCCGCCCTATGGGTAGCTCCCCCGCTGGCCGGGAATTGAACTCGTGCTGCAGAGGCTGTGGACTGCTTCATAGGTTGTGTCCTAACCCTTGCGCCACCGGGGAAGCCCCACTTTATCTTTTCTACCTGACGTATTTCTATCGACAAGGCTCCTGGAATTGATACGTGTAAACAATGTAGGGGTGAAGTTTTCACCTCAGCATGGAGACCCCGCTGACCCGACACTGCCCCGCCGGCCGCAGGCATCTGTGGGGCTCTCCACCCCTGCATGTGCCCAGCGCAGCCTCCCAGCTGTTGAGGATCACGGCCTAATTGTTTTGTGAATCTTACTGTTCTTCGCCTTTTACGCTACTTGAAGCTGAGCAAACTCTGAATAAAAGTCAGTTTCCACTTGTCTGTCCCCAGAAGGAAAACAAAGCAACTGACCTCAGGGCCGGGCTGGGCCGTGGCCCTAGGCTTGTCACAGAGATTTTCCTGGGACGCTGCTACGGCCAGCTTGTGCCCCGAGCGCAGGAGCAGCCCCGCGGCAGGCGTCGGCCGGCCCCGGGGAGCCGTGTGCTCCGCGCTGCCAGCTGGTGTTCTGTTGTTCCTGTGCGAGGCTGCGTCCACTGGGGTCGCTGAGCGCGGGGCCGCGACCCCTGCCTGCACGTGATGCCCTCCGTCCCTCCTGGGGCCCCTGCAGCGCTCTCACCAGGAGGAGGGGTTTGCTTTATTTCTAGTTCCTTTCACGTGTACGCCGCAAGTGACCATCGGCATCTGTCAGATCGGAGTTGCACTCACGACTCCCCCGTTCTCGTCCTGGGGGAGTCCTGCTGGGGGGCTGGCCTGCGCGGGGAGGGGGCCCCGGTGGGCTGATGGGCTTCTGGCCCCGCAGGCATTGGCGCCTGCACTGGGCCGGGCCCCGGGAGGGCGTGAGGCCAGGCTGCCCTTCTCCAAGTGTTGGGCAGAGCTCACCATCCACGTGTGAGGGCTGGGGCTTCCGGGGGTTTTGACTCTTGACTTTGTCTCTTTCGATGCTCTAGAACGAGTCACGCCCTTCCCTGCACGTCAGTCTTGGGGAGACTTGAGACCTTTTTCTAGATTCACTAGGTCGGCACCAAGCTGCCCGCAGCAGCCCCGAGAGGGTCAGCGCTCGCTAGTCTTTCTCCCCAGGAACCTCCTTCGTCTCTTCAAAAATGAAGCGGGTGCTGCCCGCCCCACAGCCCTGGGGTCAGGCGCCCCGGCCCGGCTCACCACGTGCCTTGCAGGTGGTGGCCTTCCTGAGGAAGAGGGGCCAGTTCGTGGGGCTGGTGCTACGGCACCTGGGCACCTCGGCGCTCATGGACCTGCTGCTGCGCCTGGTCAGCTGCGCCGAGCCCTCGGGGCTGCGGCGGGAGGTCCTGCAGGTGAGTGTCCTCCCGCACTGCAGCTGCCGCTCGGCTGCCCGGGAAGGCCTGGCTGGCGGGGCCCAGGGACATGCTGGCTCAGGGGAGTGGGGGCGGGCCCGGCGCCAAGGCCTTCCCGGGAAGGGCGGGCTGCGACAGGACGGCTTCCTGGCATGGCCCCGGGCATCAAGGGGCAGCCCCGCCCTCGGGTCATCAGTTCCGCTCGCCACGCGGCCGCCCCTCAGAGCTGGACAGACGGTGCCGTCCCCAGGCACTGGCGGTCAGTGGTGCCTGAGCCGCTGACCACAGCCCTTCTAAGTGGTGGCCCCCGGGGCGGGGGTCCCCCAGGGCAGGGGTGCCGCCGGCTCTTCTGGCGTGCAGGGCTGGCGACCCCAGCCTTGTGGCCTGGGGCCTGCGCTCAGCCCCCTCTCCCTGCAGTGGCTGGATGAGGAGAAGACGGTGCAGAGGCTGGTGGAGCTGGTCCACCCGAGCCAGGACGAGGACGTGAGTAGCCACTGTCCGCCAGCCACACACCCTCCCGCCAAGCTCACACTCACGAGCGGTTGTTTTTGCTAAAACACAACGCGCGAGTGATGGAAACTCAAGCAGTCAGTGCCCTCGGGGCCTGTGGCCGAGAAACAGTTGCCCCAGACCCAACGGGTCCAGCACGTGCTCACCAGGCCCCGGGGTCACCTCGGCCACGCACTCGGGGTCCCGTGGCCAGGCCCAGGCTCAGCTCTGGCGGGGAGCTTCGCTGGCGGGGGGGTGGGGGATGGGGTGGGAGGGTGGCCCCCAGCGCAGAGGCCGCGCCCACCCCCGCAGGCCTGCCCTCCTGTCTGCCCGGCGCTGCGGCCGGTGTCCCCAAGTGCTGGTGCAGTGGCTCCCGCAGGCTCGTGCCTCACGGAGGGGCCCTGGTGCCTGCCCCAGCGCGGGTGCAGGCTCGGCCTCCACCAGCAGCCGTGGGGGGCTCTCGCCAACCGCCCGCCCTGCCTCCCTCGGCGGAGGACACCGGGCCCGGGGGTGGCCTGTGGCTCTGGCCTGAGGTCCGCCCTGTCCTCACAGAGGCTGTCCAATGCGTCCCAGACGCTGTGCGACATCGTGCGGCTGGGCCGGGAGCAGGGCTGCCAGACCCAGGAGGCCCCGGAGCCCGACCCGCTCCTCGCTGCGCTGCAGTCGTGAGTCGGGCGTGGGGCAGCCGGGTGGGCGTGGGAGGGCACGAGGGGCCCCTGGCCGGGCTCTGGGGGCGCTGACCCTGCCTCTCGCAGGCAGGACTGCGTGGAGCAGCTGCTGAAGAACATGTTCGACGGTCAGCAGACGGAGAGCTGCCTGGTCAGTGGGACGCAGGTGCTCCTGACCTTGCTGGACACCAGGCGGGTCGGGTGGGTGTCTCAGGGCGGGGTGGGGTGGGGTTGGGGGTGGGGGAGGCACGGGGTGGGGGTGGGAGCGGGGGCCCTGCAGGCAGGATAGGCCGCCCTGGGTGTGCTGGCCCGAGTGGGAGGCCTGGGCCCAGCTGGGCTTGTGACCAGGCTTTCATCACCAAGTAGCGGCCGCTGCAGCCGGGGAGAAGCCGGGTGTGTGAGCCCTTGGGCCTTGGCCATCGGGGCTCAGGCCCGTGTGCGGGGCGGGCGGGCAGGCCCCTCCAGGGTGACTGTGGCCCCTGGTTCTCAACCAAGAAACGGCAAAGAATTGGCCAACCCGGTGGCAGGCACCGCCCTCTCTCCCTCTCCCACGGTGTTAGTTTATGGCCTGAAACTAGACTCTGTGGCCAGCCCGGCTCTGCTGAACGGCAGGACGGCACCTTCTTCCGCGTGACCCTGACGCCCGCTCCCTGCTGCTGCGGTGTCTGTGACCCCCAAGGTTTTCCTCTGGGGGCCCCTCGTGCCTTCTGTGACTGGGCAAGGGCTCATGTGAAGGTCTCGGACCCGGGCTTCAAACAGCCGCAGGGGCCGCCCTCCCGCCGCCGCCGCTTTGGTGGCCCCCGCTGCTCGTCCCCACGGGCCCCCCACTTTAAATAACCTCAGACTCCAGCCCGAGGCCGGCGTGCGGCCCGTGTGTGCCTGGCGCCGAGGCGCGGGGCGGCGGGCAGGGAGCACAGAGGTGCCCCTGCGCCAGTGCCAGCGGCCGCCCTCCGGGGCAGAGCAGGGCCGCGGGGGAGAGAGCTGGCGGGTGGGCGCGAGCCACGTGCCGTCTGCTGCCCCGCAGGGCCGAGGGCCTGGCAGACTCCTTTTCTCAGGGACTGGACCGGCTGGGCACCGTGAGCACCGGCGTCCTGCAGGGCATCGAGCCGCGGCTGAAGGACTTCCACCAACTCCTGCTCAACCCGCCCAAGGTAGAGGCCCCGGTGTGGGCCGCAGGGCCAGAGCCTCTGCCCAGTGTCCCTCTCTTAAGGGAGGCCTGGGGTGGACCTCTGGCAGCTCCCCTACAACCTTTTTGCCTTCTGGGGCAGGCTGTCCTCTCGCCTGGCTCACTGCAGCCTGGTCTTGGAGTCCCCTCCTGCCCACGCGCCTGCCCTGGGCCTTGCTCAGCTCAGCTGCTCCAGGCCCGGGTCATGCTGAGAAGATGAGGTGCATGATGCCCACTTACCACTGCCCAGCGCCCCCGGACGCCCACTCACCACTCTTTAGAACCCCCAGACAGTGGTCACCAGTGCCCCCAGATGCCCCAGCTTTTGGCAGCCCTGCCCTGCCCTCGCTGCCCACGCCACTGCCCTCCCAGCGTCCACCTCGGTCAACAGCCTGGGTGGTTGCTCTCCCCCTGAGTAAGCGTCCTGAAGGTAGGGGGTTCTGGAACATCCTGTCGGTGAGAAAGTGGCTGTGTGGGGTGTCAGGAGATGCCCGAGTCCAGCCTGGCAGGCCGCCTGGTCATCTGTCCCCCGTGGGCGTCCAGGCTGCCTGTGGTCAGGTTGAGAGTCTTGGCAGGAGCTTCTGGTCTTGGACACGCCCATGGCCCCTGCAGTGGGCCCCTCGCCCGTCCACTGTCATGAGGTCCTGCAGAGGGTCCCTCTGAGCCCACACTGCAGGCCGCCCGCCCACCCCGGCCCCTGCGCTGCGGAGCCAGTGGAGGCCACACTGGCCACCAGGCCCTGACTGGCAGCGCCTCTGTGTTTGCAGAAAGCGGCGATCCTGACCACCATCGGCGTGCTGGAGGAGCCACTGGGCAGCGCCCGCCTGCACTGTGCACGCCTGGTGGCCGCGCTGCTGCACACCAACACGCCCAGCATCAACCAGGAGCTGTGCCGGCTCAACACCATGGGCCTGCTGCTGGTGAGCGCCGGAGGGCGGGGGGGCTGCTGCTGGTGAGCTCTAGGGGGCCTGCTGCCAGGGGGCGGGGGCGCCGGAGCAAGCTGCTATGGCCCTCAGACCTTCTAGCGGGCCTGGCCGGCAAGAGCCAGCACTGGGGCTGGGCCCAGCCTCGTGGCTGCCTCGAGGCACCCAGGCACCGCCCTGACTGCACCCCGAGGGTGCAGGGGAGCAGGTCCTCTCCCCCTCCTCTCTTCACACACTGTTCTCCCCCCACCCCCACACGCGGCCTTCATGCGGATGCTGCTCAGCACGGCCGGGCCCCCCGCTCTGGCAGCAGCTCGAGAGCCCGTGTGGCCAGCGCCGGTCTCCAGGGCGTCTTTACTTAACTGAACAGAAGCTGCCCCGAGGCAGTGTCCCCCGCCCAGCGCTGGCCACCCCTTCCGTCTCTGGTGTCATGGCCTTGGCCTGCCCCCCCGCCCCCCAGCGGCGTCCCTGTGCTGTGCGCTGTGCCCGCCTGCTCCTGGGCCGGCAGACCCCACCGTGCGGTGGACGCCTGACCCCACCGGCGTGGACACGGCTCTCGCCATGGCCGCCCTGCCCTGGCCTCTTGGTTCTCTCGGGCACTGGAGCCGACTGCTCTGCCCCGGGCGGAGGCGGCGCCTCTTCAAGCTGCAGCCGGTTCCGAGTGCCCGTCCCACTGCCCCCGCAGCCCCTGCTCACTCCTGGGGGTCCTCGCCATGTGAGCCTTGGAGCTCTGTGGCTCCCGTTCACCGGCCTCTCTCCACTGCTTGTCCACGGTGTCACCTTCCAGAACTCGCCACCGCAGGACGCTGCTTGTCCTTCCACGAGCCTGCAGGGTGGCCCCGGGCCTGGCGTCCAGTCTGCCCGGGCCCCCTCTGGGCGCCCCTTCCCCATGGAGCGGTGAGCCCCTGCCGGGCGCCCCTCAGCCAGGGCTCGCGGCCCGCGCAGGGCGTCTGTGTCTGTCCCCGCCGGGCTGTGCCGAGTCCGTGACTTTGTAGTGAGCTTTGGAGCCAGAAGGTGTGATGCCTGCAGACCTGCTGTTCTTTTTAAAGATTCTTTTGTCTTTTGGGGGATCGGTCCCCTAAGAGTATTGTTTCTAAAAACAATACCACTGGGATTTTTTAAATGTATTTTTTATAAGTAAACTTTATTTTTATTTATTTAAAGATTTATTTATTAATGCACACAAGAGCTGGGGTACAGGCCAGAGATGCAGGGGTGAGCGGATTCCCCAGAGACAGAGTGGGGAGCAGAACAGGCAGAGTGACTGAGACACACTGCTGAGGGGAGCAGCGGGGAGACAGGAGAGTCTGCTGCTCCCTGGCCGGCCGGGGATGGAACTCGTGCTGCAGAGGCTGCGGATTGCTTCATAGTGCGGTGCTTCACCCCTTGTGCCACCAGGGAGGCCCAACTTTATTTTTTTAAAAAAGATTTATCTATGCATGCAAGAGCTGAGGTGCTGGCCATAGGGGCGGGGTGAGAGGACTCCCCAGAGACAGGGCGGGGAGCAGAGCAGGCGGGTCCACTGAGACACACTGCTGAGGGGACAGCAGGAGGCAGGAGAGGTCTGCTGCGCCCTGTGGGAATCTCCCCGGCCGGCTGGGGATCCCACTCGAGCTGCAGAGGCTGTGGGCAGCTTCACAGGGCTGTGCTTAACCCCTGCGCCTCCAGGGAGGCCCCCACTGGGATTCTGGTAGAAGTCGCGTTGACTGTCTGAGTCGCCGTGGCCAGGATTACTCTCCTCATAAAGTTCCGCTTTCCACCCAAGAGCAGAGGCCACCTTCCGCTGACCAGGTCTTCTGTCGCGTCAGCGGCGTTGAGTTTTCAGAGCACAAACCTCCCACCTCTTAGGTTTAATGCGTTCTTAAGTGTGTTGTCCTTTTGGATGCTCGTGTAAGAGGAATTGTTGGTCTTCCCGACGTCTTTCTGGCCTGGTCCTGGTGGTGTGTGGACAGACGACTGGCGTTCGTGTGTTGATTCGCACCTGGAGCTGCCGAGTTGGTGCCTCCGCTCTGCCGGGCCACGGGAGGGCCTCAGCGTTGTCTGCTGACAGGATGGTGTCGCCAGTGAAGACGGATAATTTTACTCTTCTCCCTTCTTTTTTTTTTAAAGATTTATTTATTTATTTATTTATTTGTGCACACAAGCACTGGGCACAGTCAGAAGCGCGGGAGGGTGAGAGGATCCACCAGAGTCAGAGCAGAGAGCAGAGAGGCCATGTGGGACCCGACCGGTGCCACAGAAGCTGCGGGCAGCTTCGCAACCCAGCGCTCCACCGCTGCGCCACCGGGGAGGCCCCCTTCTTTTTTTTTTTAAGATTTATTTATTTATGCAAGAACTGGGGCACAGGCCAGATTCACGGTTGGGTGAGAGGGTTCACCAGAGCCAGAGCGGGAAGCAGAGCAGGCGGACTGACGAAGCACACTGCCGAGGGGAGCAGCGGGCGGCAGGAGAGGTCTGCGCGCCATGGGGGACCCTCGCTGGCCGGCCGGGATGGAACCGGCGCTGCAGAGGCTGCGGGCAGCTTCCCAGCACGGCACTCGACCACCTGCACCACCAGGGGAGGCCCTCTTTTCCCTTCTGATGTGGATTCCTTTTCTTCATTTTCCTGCCTGATGGCTCGGCCAGGACTTAGCACCACCCCACGTCGAGTGGAACTGCTGGGCGCGGGCGCTGCCCTGCCCCTGCCCGGCCCGGGGGAGCATCCACTTGCCGCTGAGTGGCCGTCTTGGCTGTGGCGTTGGCTGTGGGCTGGTCACAGCTGCCTCCATCCCGTTGAGGAGGCGTCCTTCTGTTCCTAGCTGTTTCCAGGAAACCGTGTTCAGTGTTGTCAGATGTTCCTTCAGCACCGTTCCATGCCGTGGCGTGGCCTGCCCTGGGCAGTGGCGTCTTGTATCGGCTGATGTTGCCGCGTCGAGCCAGCCTTGCGTTCTGGAAATAATTCCTGCTTGATCGCCAGCCCTCTCGGTGCGCCGCTGGATTGGAGTGTATTTTGCTGAGGGTTTTGTGTCACTATTCGCACGGAAGATCAGTGCTCTTGACCAGACGGGTGGGAAGGCAGCTTTCCTCGTGGCGACGCCCCCGGCGCCGGTGTGAGGAAGTGCTGGCCTCAGTGGCCGGGTCAGGGGTGTCCCGCTTCAGTTCCTGTGAGCGTCTGGAAGGCTCAGTGCTGCGGGCGCGTGGAACGTGTGCCAGTGTGGGCTCTGGTCTGGGCCTTTCTGTGGTGGGAGGCGGGACTGACTGGGCCGGCGTGAAGCCACCTCCAAGGTCTCCCGAGGCCACCCCGCCGTAGGGCTGGAGCCCAGGTTTGGGCTGTGTTTTGTGGGGGGAAGTACCAAATCATACCCCTGACAGCCTGCACCTGGCGGGCCGGCCCCATGCCCACCTGCTGTGCCGGCCTCGGGGCTGCTGTGGCCTGGGCTGTGGGCAGCTGCGAGGTGGTGGGGCGAGCCTGTCACCCTCCCTGCTGGGGCCTCCCGACCAGCTCAGGGGTCAGGCGGGGGCAGCCTGCCATGTGCGGAGGCTGTAGGGAGGGGACAGCCCTCACCTGGCCACGTGAGTGTCCAGGGGAGCGGCCTCCATGCCCCCCATTTGTGGCTCAGCACACATGCCGTAGCAAGGCCAGAGTCAGAGAGGAAGGTCACCCCTGTGCGCCGGGTATGTGGGTGCAGCTCAAGGGCGTCTACAAGGGGGTGAGGCCGGGGAAGACAGGCCGACAGAGCCTCAGGAAAGGGCCCTCGAGCCGAGGAGCTGAGCTCCTGACCCAAGGACGGAGGTGACGCACGGGCCGGCGGCTGGACGTGGGCCCGGCTCTCCCACCCCCGCCCAGGCCAGCCCGTGGAGCCTGCTCGCCCGGGCGCTGCTGGAGTTGCTGGGCCAAGGCTCTTTGCTCCTGCTTTCTCAGGACTTGTTTTTCAAGTACACCTGGAACAACTTCCTGCACTTCCAAGTGGAGCTGTGCATCGCTGCCATCCTGTCCCACGCGCCCCGCGAGGACCGAGTGGAAGCCAGGGGGCCCGAGAGCGTGACGGGGCCTCTGCCTGAGCCCGGGGGCCTCGAGGCGCCCCCACCCGCTCCTGCTGGCTGCCCCGAGAACATGATGGTCACCCATGTAAGTCCAGCTGGGGCCCCATGTGCCTTGCGGCTCCCACCCCCCCACCTGTGGACATGGCCGTTGTGCTGCTTGCCAGTGGCCGCTCAGCTGGGCCTGGGGCATGGGATGTGGCCACCCTGAGGTCTATGGAGGGGGCGGCACGGCCAGACCCGCGCTCGCCGGGCCCACAGGGTGAGCGGGTAGAGGGCGAGGGAGGCCCCGGGAGGCGCGGGGCAGAGGACATGCATCAGAGTCTCATGGAAAGCTCTGGGGGTACTGACCTGTCGAAAACAGTGTGCTGACCTGTGGGTGGCAGACCCTGTGCTCCCCCCGGGGTCACCCCAGAGCCGGGGTCCCACTGTGTCCCAAGCAGGCAGCAGGTGCGGGTGGAGGCGGGTGCATCAGTGGAGATGGGTCCCGCCTGGGCGGGGGCCGGGGCTGGGAGCCAGGGCCGGGCTGCCTGCCGGGGCATCTCCGTCGAGGCCGCGCTGGATGGGACCCTGGAGCGGGCGGGCAACTGGAGGCGTGGGCTGGGGCCAGGCCGGGGAAGCAGCCTGGGCAGACGAGGGCCGGCGGGGCTGGGGCTGGAGGTGAGGTGGGGCCGGCAGGGGCTGGTCCTCTCCTGGGGCCTCCGGTGGTGTCCTCCTGGGGCCGGGAGGCCGCAGGCCCTGGTGTGCCACGCCCAGGGCTGTCCCCAGCACCGGCATCCTCTCCCCCAGCTCTTCCAGCAGTGCTGCTTAGTCCAGAGGATCCTGGAGGCCTGGGAGGCCAACGACCACACACAGTAAGCGGCTCGGGGTGGCTGGGACACTGACCGATCAGGGCTCAGGGCTGCCCCCGGAGGTCTGGCTGTCGGACGGTCCTGCCCCTGGAGAGAGGCTGTGACTGCCTGGTCTGACGGGGGCCTCCTTGGCCGTCAGCGGCAGGACCCGCACCGATGTCTGCGCCCCGGCCGCTGCTCTTTGCCGGCCCCTGGCCCTGCTGCTCCGGGGCCCGCTGGCGGGGGCCTTGGGGGGAGGGGCGGGGCGGCCTGCGGTGCCCAGAGGCCCTGGCCCCGTGGCTCTCTGCCACGCCCCCCACCTCCTGGCCCATGCGGCCCTGGGGGCCCCGCGCAGTGCTGGGGAGCAGGATGGAGGGAGAAAGAGCAAAATCCCTGAACTCCTCAAAATCACCCTCCCAAAAATAGGAATCTGGAAAAAGTAATTAAAAGACTATTTAAAAGACACTCGTTGATGCTTTTAAAAGGGAATTTGCTAGAGAAATGAAAACGACAGCCTGGGCCACGTCACACAGTAAACCTAAGCCAGGAGCAGCCTCACCGCACAGGCCAGGTCCCCAGGGGCCGCTGCCCCTCGCCGGGCAGCCTGTGTGACCGCGTGGCCCTGCCCGCCGGCCGGGCTACAGGGAGGAGGAGCCACGGCAGTCCCCGGGGGGCTGGGGCAGCTCCTGGGCGGCGGCGTCCTCCCGGGGAGCTACTGGCCGTCTCCGCCCCGCGGCCTGCGTGGGGACGCCCGGGGCCCTGGAGGGGCCGTGGCCACACCGGGTTCCGGACATGCCTCTGGCTGGCGCGCGTCCCTCGCCAGGCCGCGGGGCTGCAGGAGCCCGTGTGCGTGCAGCTGATGGAATCGAGAGGACACCCCCGAGGCCGCGGCACAGCCGTCGGGGCAGGTGGCGGCCGAGGCGTCTGCCCTCCCCCCGGCCTTCGCGCTCCGGCCTGCTGGGCTCCAGCTCTCGGCTGGGGATTTGGGTCCCTGGGGTCTCGGTGCTCGGCCCAGGGTGCTGAGTGGTGCTGCGGGCACGGGCGCTCGGTCCGTGTGGACTTGGTGGTGGTGAGAGGGCCAGACGGCCAGCTCACAGCCGGCTTCGCCCCAGGCCAGGCTGGTGGAGGGACGGGGCCCTTGGGGACGCTGTGGGGACCAGGCCCCCCCATGCGCAGGGCGACAGCGCGACCGCCTGGCCGCTGCCCCACGCTGCTGTACGCTCACAGGGCAGCCGGCGGCATGAGGCGTGGAAACATGGGCCACCTCACTCGCATCGCCAACGCTGTGGCACAGAACCTGGAGAGGGGGCCCGCGCAGACCCCCACCAGTGAGGCCATCCGAGGTGAGCCCTGTCCGCGGTCACCCTCCTGCCGGGCGGGGCTGGGGGTGCCCAGAGGAGGAGCAAGGGGTGGACTCGGAGGTGGCTGGGGTTGCCTGCAGCCCCGAGGGCTTGGTTGGTGACTGCTCAGCGGTCAGGACTGGGGGACTTGGGCAGGGGCTGTCTGCCCCAGCTTTTCCTGGGGGCCTGAGGCCCGGGTGAGGTGGGCGCCTGTGGGAGGGGCCGGGTGCTGGCAGGAGCGAGCCAGCTGGCCTGGTGGGTCCACGGGCAGGAGAGCCGTCCTGCAGCTGCACCCGAGTGGGACTTGGGCCCTGCCTGGGCAAGGGGCCGGGGCCACTGTGCACACGGTCAGCTCGGCTGTGCTGCTGGCATGGCTTGGGGGTGAGGCCCTGCGGCCTCCTGGGCTTGGTGGCCGCCTCCGGTGCCCTCAGCTGGGGGCCCCGGGGACCCAAGGGCAGGTGCGAGCCGCTCCGCGAGGACAGGAGAGCAGTTCTGGCCCCGGGGCCTCGGCCGGTCGGGCCTGGGGTGTGTCCTGCCCGGGACGAGGGTCTGCGGGGCAGAGGCCGGAGCCAAGACGGGGTGCCCGGGCTGGTGAACGCCCGGGGCCCGGGAGCCGGCCCGCCGATCTGCCCAGGGACGCGGCCCGGCCGGCGGCGGCTGCCGGCACATTGCCCAGCGCCCTCCCGCCCTCCGCGCCCGCTCACCAGGCGCCCCCCGCAGGGCTCCCCGCGGACTGCCGCGGGCGCTGGGAGAGCTTCGTGGAGGAGACGCTGACCGAGGCCAACCGCAGGAACGCCGTGGACCTGGTGAGCGCGGGCGGGGCCGCAGGCCGCGCTGCCCCTTCCGCGCCGGCTCGGCGCCTGCAGCCCCCGCGGGCTCCCGGGCGGGCGGGCGGGCAGGCGGCGGCGGTCCCGGCCGCGGGGCTCACGCGCGCCGACTCTGGCCGTTTCAGGTCAGCACCCACCACCTGCACCCCTCGAGTGAGGAGGAGGACATGGAGGGCGTGTTCCCTAACGAGCTGTCCCTTCAGCAGGTGCGTGTGGGCCGCGCTGCGGCCGCGCCCTCCAGGCCGTGCGGAGGCCCCGGGCCTCCAGGAGCGTCTCCCGGCCGCGGGGCGGCCGCCCCGCTCGCCGTTCAGGGGGCCCCCGGGCCCCCGCACTGGACAGCACCCCCGGGGCTCGGTGGCAAGCGCGGAGGCTAACTAGGCCGCCCGGCCGGAGCCGCGGGGCGCGGGCCGGTCCCGGGCCTCGGGTCTGAGCCGCCCGCGGCCGCGTCTCTCGCAGGCGTTCTCCGAGTACCAGGTCCAGCAGATGGCCGCCGCCTTCGTGGACCAGTTCGGCTTCAACGACGAGGAGTTCGCGGACCAGGACGACAGCGTCAAGTGAGCCCGCAGCCGCGCCCGGCAGCCCCGGCCCCGCGTCCACTGCCCCGCGCCCGGGGGCCCGGCGGCCCCGCGCCCGAGGGGACAGGCCGCGGGCGCCCAGGCCGGCGCTGAGGCGGCCTCGTTCCCGCAGCGCCCCGTTTGACAGGATCGCGGAGATCGCCTTCCGCGTGGACGCCGCCGAGGACGGCGTGAGTGTCCCGGGCCGCGGGGGGCGGGGGCGGGGCGGGGGCCGGCCGGGCGCCGGAGAGCCACGTTGTCCCTCCCAGCCCAACGCCGCCCTGTTCGAGGCCTGCTGCGGCGACCGCATCCAGCCCTTCGACGACGACGACGAGGACGACATCTGGGAGGACAGGGACGCGCCCCGCGCCGCCCGCGCGACGGCCAGAGCCAGGTGCGCGCCGAGGCCCCGCCCCGCCCGCCCAGGCCCCGCCCCGCCCGCCCAGGCCCCGCCCCCGAAGCCCCGCCCCCGCCCGCCGAAGCCCCGCCCCCGCCCGCCGAAGCCCGGCCCCGCCCCTGAGCGCCGCGCGTCTCCGCAGGTTTGGGGGTGTCCGGGTCTCTGAGAGCGGCTCCAAGAACGGCCGGGAGGGGAGGGGGAGCGCGGAGGCGGACGCTCCCGGCCGGAAGGACGGGCCCCGCGCGGAGAGCGGCTCGGAAGGTACCCGGGCGGGCCGGGGCGCGCGGGGGCGCGGGCCGGGGGGCGCGCGGGGCGCGGGCCGGGGGGCGCGCGGGGCGCGGGCCGGGGGGCGCGCGGGGGCCGGGGCCGTGACCGCGCTCTCCCCGCAGGCGCCGCCTGGACGGCCTCGGAGCAGCCGGCAGGGCCCCCGGCGTCGGCCCCGGGCGCGGCCCCCGCGGAGACGGGCTGGGCCGCCTTCCCCGACCTGCAGCCCTTCTGCTGGTGAGGCGGGCGGGGGGGGCGCCCCCGGGGCGCCGGGCCGGGGCTCAGCTTCCCCCTCGTCCGCAGCGCCGAGTCGGGGCCCCGGTGCAGCTCCCCGGTGGACGCAGGCAGCGCCGACCCGCGGGCCGGCCCGGAGCCGGGCGCAGCGCGCGCGCGTGAGTGGGCGCCGGGGTCCCGGGCGGGCGGGCCGGGGGCGCCGGGGCCGAGGGGCGCGCCCGGGGGGCCCGGGACCCCGGCGCGCGGCCCCGCCCCTCACGCCGCGTCTTGCAGGCGGCCGCGCCCCCCCGAGCGCCTGGAGCGCGGGGGTCCCCGGGAAGGCGCCCGCCGCGGCCGCGGCCTCCGGCGGCGGCGACGGCCCCGAGCGGACGGCGGCTGCGGCCCCCGAGGCCGGCGGCGCGGGACCCGGCCGGGAGGCTCCGCCGCGGCCCGCGGCGGCCCCGAGGTGCGCGGGGCGGGCGGGGGCGGGCCCTGGGGCCGCGGGGGTCGCGGGGACCCGCGGGGCGGGCGCGGGGTTGGGGGGCTCCAGCGGGAGGCGCGCGGGGCCCGGGCGTCCGGCCGCGCCGCTCGGCAGCACTTGGAGGCGTGATGGGGCCCGGGGACCCCGCCCGCGCGCTGCCCCTGCCCCTGCGGGGCCGCTCCTTCCCCGCACCCCTAAACCTTGCGCCGCGGAGCGCGCGGCCGTGACGCCACCACGTGCCCCCACAGGGCGCCCGCGGACGCGACCTCCCCGGGGCCCGCCGCGCCCCCCAGCCCCGCCGGCGCCTCCCCGGGGCCCGCGGCCAAGGACAGGTGAGCGGCCGGCCCGGGGCGGGGGGCGCCGGGCGACCCCGCCGGCCTCCCCCCGCAGGAAGCCGGGGGCCCCGCCCGCCGCCCGCCGCGGCCCGGCCCGAGGGAGGCCGCGGCCGCCGAACCACCTGGTGATGCAATTTGTCTTTAATTTAACTTAACTTAAAATAAATGCTGCACTGGTGACGCTGGCAGTGGACGCGGCGCGCGCCCGGCCCGGCGGGCACAGCAATAAGGCGCCCTCCCGGCGGGCGGCTGCACCCCCGGCTGCCTTAAAGACCCCGCCCGGCGCCCCCACCCGGGCCGGCCGGCGGCGGGGCGCCGCCGGGAAGGGCGGGGCTGCGGGGCCGGGGGTGCAGGGTTACTTCGAGTTTTTAATGTTCCGATATCTGACAGGGCACCCCGAACCCCAACTCCAAATAAAAGCCGTGTTATTCTTACTGCCGCGCCTCTGTGCTGTTCCCCGCCAGGCCGGAGGCCCCAGGCTGGCCCGCGCGGCCCCCGTAGGCCGGGGCCCCCCCAGATCCACCCGCAGGGCCTCCGCGGCGCCCGTCGCCACCCGCGGGCGCTCGGGCTGCCCAGGCCCCGGCCGTGGGGGGCGCCCGGGGGGGCCCGGTGCGGTGCGTCACCAGCAGCCCGGGGCGTCCCTGCCTCCCCGCGCCCCCGCACTCCCCACCCCCCTTCCGGCGGCCTCCCCTGGGAACCCCGCCCCCTCCAACTCCCCGGACCAGGGACCGGCGTGTCCACCCCCGGCCGCCCCTCCGCAGCCCGCCCGCCCCCGCCCGCCCCGCCCGCCCGCCGCCCCGCCCCCGCCCGGGCTTCCCGAGGACGCGCGAGGCAGGCGCAGCTGGTCTCTCCGCTCTTTATAGACTCTGGTCTGGGGACAGGGGCCGGCGGCCGGCCGGGGCGGCGGGGGCGGGGCTATGTACAGGCCCCCCGGGGCGTACCGGGGCCCCTGCGGGCCGCGCCCACGACTCCGAGTAGGTCAGAGCCGCGCGGCGGCGGCGGGGCTGTGCAGAGGGGCCGCAATACTGTCGCGGGCGGGGGTGTAAACATGGCCGGGGCCCTGCCCCCGGGTCGGGGCGGCTCAGGCGTCCGACAGGCAGCTCTGGATCTGGTCCACCCACTGCTGGGCCGAGGGGACGTCCTGGGCACAGAAGTTGTAAACGCGGCGCGTGGTCTTCACCTGCGGGGGGCGGGGCGGCTGAGCGCGGCCCTGTCCCACCACCCCAGGCCTGGGCCCGCCCGCCCTGCCAGGCTCACGTCAAAGAAGGCCTTCTCATCCACGGTCTTGGGGGCGCCCATGGTGGGCGTGCCAGGCGCCACAGTCTCCACCTCGGCCAGGTCGATGACGCCCTTGCACTCCGTGTCCACGCGGTGGTCATAGTAGCGCAGCTGAGCGGGCAGCGAGTCAGGAGGGCCCCTCCCTGCCCACCCCCCACTGCCCCGCGGCCCCTCACCTGGTGCTTGGTCTTGTCCAGCACGAACCAGCGGGCCTTCCAGGGCTTCATGAAGGCCCCCTTCTTGTACAGCGTCCCCTCATAGGACCTGCGGCGGGCAGCCGGGCCAGTCAGACCCCAGAAAGGGAGGTGCACTGGCCGGGGGCCAGCAAGCAGATCGGGGCCGTCCGCAGGAAGACAGGGCGCCCCTCAGTCCGCCGGGCACACGCGGCGGGGTGGGGGTAGGGAGCCGACACCAGGGATGGGCACGGGGGGTCTGGGAGGGCAGCTGTAGCCAGTCTCCTCCAGGCCCGCAGCTGGAATGTACCTGCTGGGGTCCGGCCTCACCTGGACGCACCTGCCTGCCCTCGTGGGGCCCCCCACAGGAGACCAAACCACGCCTGGCTGTGGTCACTGCCCCTGCACCCCAAGCCCTGTCCCAGCCTCCTGGCTCCCACCAGCCGCTGTCGCCCCGCTCGCCCCGCCCCCTCCCTCAGGAGCACCCAGGCAGGGGCACCCGCCTGTTCTCGCTCTCGGCGGTCTGGAACTGGCTGTACAGGGTGCTGGTGCTGCGGCGGGCGGCCTGGCGTGAGCCCGAGGCTGTGGAGCCGCTGCTCTGGTCACTGTCCAGGCTGAGGCTCAGGGTGGAGCCCACCGGCCCCTCCTGCAGGTACACACCCAGCGAGCGGCGGTGGTGGGGGACGCTGGACACCAGCAGGGAGCTGGGGGTGCCCTGGGAGAGGGAGAGGGCCGGGTCAGGGGCGAGGCCTCAATGCCCAGGGAGCCACCCTCCGGCCCATGCGCTCCCCCACTCACACGGCCGCCTGCCCGGCCTTCCAGGCGCTGTGAGGCCTTGGCGCGGTCCCAGGCGTCCTTCCAGCGCTCGGGGGGGCGGCCCAGCTCCGTCTCCAGCCTCTGCAGCTCCTGGGGGACGCCAGCAAACAGAGACTATGCCGCCCGCGCCGGGCCCGCGCCGGGAGGCACGCCGGGGGGCGGGGGCGGGGCCGGGGGCGGCGCACAGGGGCCAGCAGCTGCCACCTCGCCCGGCAGACTGCTCCCTGGGGCGCCTGGCACCCCGAGATGCCAGACAGGGCGGAAGCTCGAGCGCAGCCTGCGTGGAGGGGCAGGCGGGCAGGGTTCTAGCCAGGACGGCGGTCAGTGCCTGCAGGCCCTGCGGGCGGCAGAGGAACGGGGTGAAAGCAGGAGGCCTCTCTTCTCTGGCAGGACTATCCCACCAGGACCGCGCTTTGGCCGTGGCCACGAAAGTGGCCTGCTCCAGCCTCTGGCCAAGGCAGCAGAGAGCCAGAGGACGACACCCGGGCCAGCAGAGCGCACTGGGAGGCGGGCAGGACCCAAACCCCCAGGCCTGGGAGGCTGCACCCCTCTCCAGGAGGGCCACACCCCCCGGAGAACCAGCTGACCCGGGTCTCAAGCACAGCGCGGGGCTGCCCAGGAAGTGACACTGTCGGGTGCTGGTCCGTGTGGCTGCGACGCCCCTGGCTCAGGGGCAGGGCTAAGGGCCGGCGCCGAAGGGTCAGGGCTCGGGCGGATGCTCAGCCGCCAACGTGGATCCTTGTGAACGCGCCCGCAGGGCAGGGAGGGGTGCCGGGCTGGCCCAGCGCCACACATGGCATGAGCTTTTCTAAAAGGCAATCGCGGCGCAGAAGACGCGGCCCTGCGACAGCACCACGACCGGGAACGGGGCGAGAACCGGGGAGGTGGCCAGTCCAGAAGGCAGGGACTGGGCTGAGGGGCACCCCCAGGGCCTCCAGGAAGGGGGGCGAAATGGAGGGCCCTGGTGAGAACGGCGCCCCCAGACTGAGACGCTGGGGCAGGCAAGGGCCGCGCGGGACAGGGGAGGGGGCACCAGCCAGCAGGGGTCCCGTGGGTGCCCGCCCTGGAGTCTCGGAGTGGAGGCGACGGCCCTTGCCGCTGGCGCGTTTCCTCAGCAGCGGCGCACGCCGGCCTGAGGCCCCGGGGGGAGCGGGCAGAGCCCAGGGACGCTGACCCAGACCACACGCCCCCGTGCCCACGTCACACGGGAGAGGTGACCCTGGGGGACAGAGGTGCTGGCGGCAGGTCAGGGGGGCCAAGCACAGGCTCCAGACCCCCACCCCAGCGCAGTGGAGGCCGGGGCACAGCATGGGGCACCCTGTGAGAAGGTGTGAGCACCAACCCCCCCGCTCCCACAAAACCACGACCCTGTGACCCCACACCCAGGGCCGCTGGGCCATCAAGGAGGGGGGCCTGCTTGCTTGGCCTTCGCCCTCCCAGAGGTGGGGCGAGCACCCCACTCTCCCCACCAGGAAGCAGCAGCCCCCGAGACAGTCTCCAAGAGCTGGGGGCAGGCGGGACGGGGCTGCCTGCAGTGCCTGGTCACCGCTCCCCGGGGTCTCGGCCGGCGGGCCCCTGGGGCGGGCTGGCGGGGTGGGCGCAGGGCTGGCAGAGGAGGGCGGGCGGGCAGGACACCGCGCAGGACGTGCTCAGACACGACGGCGGTGCGCACCGGTCACCGCAGGCCGGCCGGAGGGCTGCACGCACCTGCAGCAGGCGGGAGATGGCGTCGGGCTGCGCACGGGGCCGGTTGTCGTAGCAGGGCCACACCACGCGGCGCCGGCTCTGGGGGGCGCCCCCGTCAGGCCGCTCCTCCTCGGGGGGCTCGGGGGCCCCTGGGCCAGCTCCCAGTCGTAGGGCGGGCCCTCGGCCAGCGTCTCCTCGGTGTAGAAGTCCCACACCTTCAGGTTGGACACGTTGCTGTAGGGCCGCAGGACCTGGGGGCGCAGGGCCGTGAGGGGGGCGCGGCGGCGTGGGGCGTGGGCAGGGCCCCCCGCTGGCCACTCACCTCCGCGTCCTCAGGCGCGTACATGTAGTTGTAGAAGACGGGCGTCCTCTTGCTCAGCCGCTCCACGTACTCCCACACCGAGCGGCAGGCCTGCTGCGGCCTGCGCTCCCCCTTCTCCTCGTACAGCAGCCCTGCGGGGGGCGCACTCAGCCCGCGCCCAGCTGTGCCCCGGCCCGCTGGAGCCCCCCCCGCCCCCCGCCGCCCCCCCCAGGGGCCTACCCAGCTCGATGCGCTCGTAGTCCGAGTCGAGCAGGAAGGTTCGGAAGCGCCGGGACGCGTGGTGGTAGCCCAGGAATTTGAGGTAGAACGGGCTGAACTCGAACTCCATGGGGAACTGCAGGTGGACCTGCGGGGCGGCGGGTCAGAGGTCAGGGTCCAGGCGCAGGGCCCCGCCCACCGCAGGCCCCGCCCACCGCAGGCCCCGCCCACCTGGTGCACACAGTCCAGGAACTGCAGGAAAACCGGGGTGACGCCGCCACTCTGCCCCGCCAGGGTGTGGGCCCCGCGGTGGCTGAAGCGGTGGCCGAAGGACAGCCACTCCTTCTCCACCAGCAGCCGGAAACCCTCGAGGGTGCGGTAGAACGGGTCCGAGAGCAGCTGCACCAGCGACACCACCTGCAGCATCACCCACGGGTCAGGCACGCCCAGGGAGCAGGTGCCCCCCCAACACCCCACCTGCACGCACCTGGGTGGTGATGTCCCAGCCGTCCTCCAGGCTCACCAGCACGGAAGAGCCCGAGTCCAGGAGCTCCACCACCAGCACGGCCACCTGCAGCAGCCTGTGGATCTGCGGGGCAGGGCCTCAGCACCGCCCCAGGCCTCCGCCAGCCACCCCCACCACTTCCTCCGAGCCTGCGGTGCACGGGGCCCAGCCCCCACCCGGACGGAGGGCAGAGCACCAGGCCAGGCCTCCCTCCACCGTCCAGGCACCCCCACCTGGGCTGGCCCTGGGCTGTAGTGGGGCAGGGCGCGGGGACAGACCTGGACCAACCACTCCGAGTCCTCCAGGGAGCGCAGGAAGGAGTTGGGGCTGAGGTCAGCCAACGGGCAGCCCGGGACACAGGCCTTCAGCAGCTTCTTGAAGCTGGCCTTCACCTGCCGCGCCTCGAACACCTCGATGGGCACCAGCTCCCACTGCTGCAGGGGGTCTGGCCGCACACCCTGGGGGAGGAGCGGCGGTGAGGAGTGCCCCGGGGCCCTGCCCGGCCGGCCCGGCGCCCCCAGTCACCTTGAGCTGGGCTTTGTCCCCGATGATGTAGAGGGCTGCTCGTTGTGGTCGCAGGAAGCCTGGGTCGGGCGGGGCCCCATTGGCCTGGGGGGCCCCAGCATGTCCCGGCTGGCCAGCCGGGGGCCCACGTCAGGACCGAGCCCACTGTTGCGCCCACTGGCCCGGACGCTGCCCCATTTACCTGCACAGAGAGAGCAGGTGAGTGCCCAGGTGGGGACGGAGCACCACTTACCTGGGCTGAGCTCCCAGGGCAGGGCGGGGGGTGGGGGCGTCAGGCGGTTAGTGCCAGGGCCGCGGGCGGCCGAGTTAACACTGCCTCACTCGGGGCGTTAGTGCCGGTGGAGACGTTAGTGCCCCAGACCACGCGGGCCCCGGGGCCGCCAGCGCCAGGTGTGGGGAGCCAGCCTGTGTGGCCAGTACAGTACCTCGGGGACCGGTCCATCTGGAGACCGAGGCCGCCATGGGGTTGGACAGCGTGGTGACCCTGGCTCTGGGGCTGGGCACTGGGGGCACAGCAGAGAGAAGGCTCAGGCCTGGCCCCAGGCCCCAGTGTGCCCAGTGGGGGACGGGCCGGGTGCGGGGCAGGGGGCGTGGCCGAGTCAGTGGGAGGAGGAGAGGTGGGCCCGGTGTCTCCTGGGGAGACCCCTCCTGGCCCATCGATGATGCTCAGCCCCCACAGCGCTGCCCAGGTGCCCCGGGTGTGGCTGAGCATCAGCCACGGGTGGTTTCCTCCCCAGGACCCACCGAGGGGGGCAGGTGGCATGGCCACCCAATAAAGACACGCTGTGTTCCTGTCCCATGGACGGCATTGGCTCTGTGGCCCGTGGACAGCTGAGGTGCCTGTGTCCGCAGGCCACGGGGCCAGGAGATGGCCTGCGCCTGTTGGGTGGCGCCAGGAGACAGGTGGCCCGCAAGAAACCCACGGCCAGGCCTTCGCCGGCACCTGCCCCGCAGAGCAGGCTCCACTGGGGAGCTGAGCTGACACCAGCAGGCTGCTGAGGACAGCACTGGCAGGGCCCCGAGGTGGACTGGCCCGGCCCCTGCCCTGGACCCTAGGCCCTGGCACGCGAGGGCTGCTGCAAGGGCACCCAAGGCACTGACACTGAGGGGCAGGCCGGGGAGGACCCAGGGGTATCGGCCAGGGTCACCCAGGGACAGGCCGAACGACTGGCTGTGGAGGGCAGCAAAGGCCCAGCTCCAAGCAGGTCTGCCCCCACCCCCACGGTGGTGAGGCACAGGCCCTGGGCTCCGGCCACCGCACCTATTCTGCTGACAGGGGCCGCCCCTCCCCTGAGGGACGGAGGCTGCGCCAGAGGCTCGGCGCTGGGCCTGGAGCAGGATTAGGCAGAAGCGGGGGCCCCGGGCTCAGACGCAGCACATCCGGGGTGGACAGAGGGGCGGGAAGAGTGGGACGGGTGAGACCAAGGAGGGGTCAGAGGCCAGAGCAGACAAGAGCAGTGGTTCGAAGTACGGACCCTGGACAGAGGGGGACAGAGGGGCCCCCACTGAGGCAGTGGCAGGATGGTGGGAGCGGGAAGCCAGCCAGAGGCCCTGGAGGCCACAAGGGATGGCCACGGGAGGGCAGCCGGCAGAGTGAGGGCTGGGATCCTCCCCCCGTCCAGCCCAGGCCCCACCCAGCGCCCTCACCGTGGCTGCCTGTGTGGGTCGAGGAGAAGCCGCTGAGAGTGTTGCGCCCCAAGGCGTCGGCGTGGCGGGGCATGGAGCTGACCACAGCCTGCAGGTACTTCTCCTGTTCCAGACTGCTCGAGTCTGCCTGGGACTGGCCTGCGGGAGGGCGGGTGAGTGGGCGCCATGGGCGGGCAGGGGAGGGATGAACAGCGGGGCGGGGGGAGGGGGTTACCTGGGGAGGGCGCGTTCTGGGTCTTGAAGAGGCCGGCCACACCCTTGCCCTGCAGGCCGCCGGAGCGCAGCAGCACGGCCTTGGAGCGCCCGCTGCGCCAGCAGACCACGGGGAAGCGGCCCTGGCGGTAGCAGCGGGCAACGCGCTGCAGAGTGTTGTCCTGGACGCTCTGAGGCACGATCAGCAGCCCTGGGTAGCTGGGGCGGGCGTGCGCGGTGAGGTGGCCCTGGCCATGGCTGGGCAGGGTGGCGCTGCCAGCACCCCAGCCCACACCCCGAGGCCCAGCTCACCTGCGGCAGATGGCGTACATGCGGTTGACCGGGGAGACCCGGAAAGGCTCAGACCTGGCGCGGCTCAGGCTGCTGCTGAGGGTGCCCAGGCCCAGGCGCTGGTAGTCCCGGCAGCAGGCACGCTCCACCAGGCTGCTGGTGGCCGTGCGCTCCGCGGGCTTCAGGGCCGACGATGGCGTCAGCGTGCTGGGCTCCAGCTCCTCCGACACTGGGGGCGGCACACAGGTCACACCCACTGCCCGGACGTCCCTCCTTTGGGGCCACTCGGCCCACAGCCCCCCCGCCCTGCCTCCACCTGAGATCTCGTCCTCCTGGTCCTCAGGGGGCGGCTGCCCCTGCTGCTCCCAGCTGGGTGGGGTGTACTTCTTCCGGGTGATGTGCTGCCGCCCCATGGTCCTCTTGGCGTTTTTCATGAAGTTCCGGGACAGGGTCCTGGGGGGGGGGGCACGTGGTCAGCCGAGGGGGACACGTGGCATGCTGCGAGGGGCGGCCCTGACCGGGACCCCTGCTCACTTGAGGGAAGGACCCTTTTCCTTGGTGACGCGGGGTGTCCGACCGGGTGCGTGGGCAGAGCCCAGCGTGAAGGCGAAGGAGCCCCTGATGTCAGGTGGGTAGCGGAGCTTGTGCAGCTGCTTGCGGAAGAGCTCTGTGCCATCGGACCCCACCTCCTCGTCGAACACCATCTTCAGCAGCTGCGCCGGACACAGTCTCAGAGCCCAGCCGGCCGCCCGCCCGCCTGCCCGCCCATGCCACCAGTGGCCAGTGAGGAATGCAAGCGCCTGGGGCTGGTGGGGCATGTTTCCCTGGGGGGCCGTGAGGATGGGGAGCTACCCGCCGCGGCGCCCCAGCGCCCCAGCTATAGGGCTGAGGGCCCCCCTCCAAAGCTGCCCCTTAACGTGCGCTATGGGCCTCCCAGGACCAGGCAGACCCAGGCGGGCACACAGTGGACAGACACGCTGGCCCAGAGGGGCCCGGCCCGGCCCACCTGGAAGGTGCAGGAACGCAGCTGCAGCCCGTCCTGGCTGACCTGGTCCACAGGGTTCTGCAGAATGACGCGCTTCTCCTTGGTCAGCGAGGCCACTGGGAAGGAGCGGACCACCACCTGCTCCCCCACTTGGGGCAGGGCGGGAGCATCAGGATGCCGCGGGGGTCACAAGCCTTGGTGGGGTGCGGTGGGCAGTGCCCTACATCCCAGGGACTCGCGGCCCCGGTGGGGGCAAGCCCACGGGGCGGGGGGAGGGGGCATGGGGAGCTCACCCAGGGGGTCAGTGGGCAACCCCGTGAAGATGACCCGGTAGGTGGTGAGGAAGATGGCACCCTCGGCTGGGAGCAGGGCAGGGCCCCCGCCAGTGCCCCCCGCGCCGCCCTGGCGCCCGTCCGGCAGCAGGTAGACGCGCAGGCCGTCCAGCACACACTCCTCGCCCGGCAGCAGGTGCGGCCGCAGCAGCTTGGGCTGCTTGGGGACAGGGGAGTCAGCGCACACCCCGCCCACTGCCAGCCCACTGCCCGCCGGCCTCCGCCCTCACCTTCTGGATGGGGGGCAGCCTCTTGCTCTCCCGGTGCACGGCCTCCAGCGTCTCGATGTGCATTTGCACAATGTCTGGGGGAAGAAGCGCTCAGGCCTGCGCCCACCCATCGGGGCGCACGGTTCCCGCCCAGACCCCGTACCTGGCACCATGACGTGCAGCCCCTTGAGGTGGTCACTGGTGACCCCGCTCTCCGTGCAGACCTTGTCCACGAAGCGGTTGATGAAGCGGACCACTGTCCCGGCCACATCACAGCCCTCCGCGTCCTCAAAGCCGCTCTCTGTGTCGTAGCTATCGGCCACGCTGCCCGCCATGCTGCCCAGGAAGAGGCTTGTAGTGCCCGCCAGGTCCATCCCACCGCCCCCGCCCCACCCCACATCAGGCCACCCCGCCCCACCACAGGTCGCCCACCTGCTGGTGACCAGGCTGTTGCTGGCACTCTCCAGGTCTCCCAGGCCGGGCCGCTCCCGCAGCAGTCGGCTCTTGCTGCTATCCAGGGGCAGCAGCAGGTAGCTCATGCGGTTGGCATAGTGGATGGCCTGGCTGAACACCGTGCTCTCCTCCTTCTGCACCAGCTCCTGCTGCTTCTCGCGGCTCAGGGTGGGCCACAGGCGCCGCTGCTCAGATGCCACGTCCAGGGCAGAGCGCTCGTCCTCTTGTGTGGGCGTCTCCCCGCCCTGCGGACACCACAGGTGAGCAGAGACGAGGCCAGCGCCTGCCCCGGGCCTCACCCTCGTCCACGCCCACCTGGGAGGGCTCCTGGTCCTCGGTAGGCTCCAGATACAGGGCCCGGATGTGAGTCTGCACGTCCCCGTAGAACATGGCCTCCCAGAACTGCGGCGTGCTCCACACCAGGTGCTCCTGCACGCAGCTGTATGCAAACTGCGTCACCCCTGGGCTCAGCTTCTGTGGGGGCAGGGGGGGTCACGCAGGGGCAGTGCTGGAGGGGCCCCCAGGTAGGAGGATGGGACTGGGGGTGCCCTGCACTCACCCGGCAGAAGGCCGTGACCAGGGGCAACAGGGCAGCTGCCACGCCGTGCTCGTCCAGGGCGGTGCAGTCCTGCCAGAGCCCACGCGTCGGAACCCTCCCCAAACCAGTGGGCCCCGCTTCCCCACTCCCCCAGAGCCCCGGGCAATCAGCCGGAAGAGCCCAATGCCCTGCGAGGGCTCGCCAGGGCCATCCCCACCCCAGACCAGGGCTTCCCCGCCATGGGCGTGGCCAGAAACCCCCGTCCTGCCTGCTGGCTAATCATACCCGCCCCCTGGTGGGTAAGGCTGGCCCACCTGTAGGCAGCAGTTCATCATGCGCACGACGAAGTCGAATTGCTGGTGGTCCAGGACAGCCCGGTTCTGCTGCACGTGCAGGTGCAGCTCCTGGGCCAGGCAGCGGCGGGCGGCACGCCCCTTCAAGGCCCTCAGCACAGCCGGGAGCAACTGGTGACAGAGCGGGCAGGGCTAAGGCAGGCGCCTGTGTCCCACAGGGGCACCAGGAAAGGCCACACCCCTGCCCGAGGATGTCCAGGCAACATGCCTTGGACCCCAGCCCGCGGGTGCAACCCACAGTGCGCTGGTGGAAGGACGCTGGACACCCACCCAGGACCCACGGCCACAGGACATGAGGCCCCGCAACGTCGCTGAGGGCCAGGGAACGCGCGCCGCCCGGAGGCACCAATGTGCCACTGCAGGAGCCGCAGCCACCTCTGGGCCCTCAGGCTTGTAAAGACACGGACGCTGCTCACCCCTCTCTGCAGGCCCTGACCGGCCTGGCTAAGGTGGAGGGAAGACCCGGCCTGGCGTCCACCCAGGCTGCTGCCAGCCAGTCTGTCCAGATACCCCTGAGGGCCACTGCCCAGGCACCGGGGGAGAAGCACCTGCATGCAGCACCAGTGGGTCCAGGCCAGCGCCCTCACCTTCTTGGCCTCCAGCATCTTGCCCTCGAACACATAGGAGATGCAGTTGCGGACCACCTCCAGGCGGCGCGCGCTATTGCCGTGGGGCCCGCCTCCCCGCTCCAGGATGGCGGCTGGGGAGCAAGAGAGAACACGCTGGTCTCAGCCTCCGGCCCTCCATCACCCTGAGCCGCGCCCCCCCCACCCAGGTCACGCACTCATGGGGGGGCCCGAGGGCACAGTGGTCCTCCTCTCGGCCTTCACGGCAGGGGGCGCGCCCTGCATCTTGGCGGTGGCCTGGTCCACGATCCACTGCACGGTGCCCTCGTCCAGGCGGGGGAAGGGCCGGGGTGCCCGTCGCAGGTGACTGGCCTCCCCGGGCCGTTGCACCTTATGCATGGCCACAGCGGGGTACGGGTTCTCCTGGGGAGACACGACGGGGGGTGTCGGGCGGGGAGAGGGCTGTGCGCCCAGGCGCGCCCCAGTTCCTGTTCCCGCACAGCCGCTCCGCAGCAACTTGATGTGGCCCCGCCCCGCCCGGCCCTGGCTCACATTCTTGTACAGCTGCTCCGCCAGCTCCTTGACGTGGCACAGCACACGCTGGGGGTGGTTCTCGTCCGCCCGCATCCGAGCCACCTCGTGGGCCACCAGCTAGGGGAGGAGGCAGGGTGAGGGGGGCCAGGAGCGAGGGTCCTCCCGGCCGGGGCGGGGGCTCACCTCATCAAACAGGTCCGTGGAGCGGTAGGGGACACCGCGCTCCGACACAAAGCCGGCGAAGGCCATGCCCTCCAGCACCTTCATCAGGAAGTCGTCCTCCACCAGCCCTCGCTGGCCCAGGAAGGCTGCCTGGGGACATATGGGAGCTCAGCCCCTCCAGCCAAACACCCACACGCCCGCCCGCCTGCCCACCCGCCGGACGCCCACCTTGTGGAAGCGGATGACAGGCTCGGGGTGGATGCGGACCATGTGCAGACACCAGCGGTAGCCCTGCAGGAGCTGCGCAAACAGCCGCAGGAAGACCGCCCGCAGTTCCTTGTCCTGGGCAGAGGGCTGGGTGAGGGCCGCCGGCTCCCCCTGCCCCGCCCCGCACTCTCCCCTCCACCCAAGTGCCTCTGCAGGCCCCGTGCAAGGCCACAGCACCCATGCTGATGACCACCCACAGCAGCCCGGCCCAGCCACAGGAGGACACAGGGGCGCGGCACCCACACCTGCATCTTCAGGGAGGAGGCGCCTGTCGTGGGTGGCGGGAAGGCGAGATCCGCCAGCTCCAACTCCGGATCCAGGATCTGCAGGAGCAGAGGGCAGTGGGTGAGTGGCTGGCTGGCCTGGGCTCTGGCCCCCAGGCCCTGCCCGCTGCCCAAAAGGCCTGTGGCCTCACCATGCTCAGAATGCTGTGCGTCTGGCTCTGCAGCGGCTCCGGCAGGGCTGGGATGTGCACACACTCGGGGACAGTCACCGTCCCTCCATCCAGATCAGCCACAATCACATCCAGCTGCGGACAAAGGGGCCCAGGGGTCAAGGGATGCGCGGCCACTCAGCGGGCCTGGAGCAGCGAGGGAGGCGGCAGCTCACCAGCTCCTGGGTCTCGGCCTGGAAGTCCGCACTGACGCCGATGATGAAGGGCGTGGGCGTGCTGAGGACCTCCAGGAGCTGGGCCGGCAGGATGGGCACGTAGGTGAAGCTGCAACGGGCCGCGGGGGTGAGCCCCAGGAGGGGCGGGGGGAGGGGCGGGCCGGGGCAGGGCAGGGGGTGGCACCTGTATCTGAGGGGGAAGAGCAGGGCCAGCAGCCCCCGGCAGGCGTCGGCTAACCGCTGGTAGCTCCGAGACAGGAAGAGCACCTTGTGCTCCGTGAGCGCGGCGCAGAACAAGGACAGCACGTTGGTGATGCCTGCGGGCAGAGGACGGTCTTGGAGGGCCGGGCACCCACCCCAGGGGCAGGCGGCACCCTGGCTGCCAGGGGAGTGGAGGGCTGAGGCGGGCGGGGCGGGCTCACCCAGCTGGCGGAAGAGCAGGGCCACGCTGCAGCGGCTGACGGGCAGCGAGTCAGTGAGTGGCGTCTGGATGACCTGCCGGTCCCCGGCACCCAGGGAGATGGTTCTCTGCGGAGAGAGAGGAGCCAGTGCTCAGCGGCTCCGGCCAGGCCTCGTCCGTCCAGAGCTCCGCGGCCTGGCCGGGCCCAGCCGGGAAAGGCAGCAGGGCCCGAGGGAAAGGCCATGTGTGGCCTCCGCCAGGCCGAGCTGCACTGCAGAGAAGACTCAGGGCCTCTGGCGGGGCGGGGCGGGGCCTGGGTGGGCAGAAAAAACAAAGAGTCCGTACCACTCCTTCCTCAACAGAGTCCAGCTGCACGGGACAGACAGGCAGAGAGACACGGTTAGACAGCCCGCGCGAGGCGGCAGGCGGTGCCCAGACAGCGAGACAACACCCAGAGACGCACACGCAGGAGCAGAAGACAGGGGCGCGGGCGCCAGGCCGGACAAGAGGCAGCACAGCAGTGGGGACGCAGGGCAGCGGCACCAGAAGGACATGAGGACGAGGCCTGGGGTGGGCCCCGCCCAGCTGGACCCGGAGCACCCGCCAGGCCCTACCCCGGCCATGGCACCAGGAGGCCCGGAGCTGCGGGCAGACGGCACCTGCCCGGACCCACCTGTGAGCCCCCAGCCAGGGGCACGGTGCACGTGAGCAGGTTGCCCACCACGCTCTCCAAGCCCACGCTCAGCCCCTCCACGTGGATGGTGTAGATGAGCCCCAGGCTGTTCTGCAAGGACACCGGCGGGAGTGGCAGCCCCACTGCAGGGACCCGCCGCCCCCACCTCCCACCCCGCCCGGCTGCCCGCCTCACCCTGAACACCTCCGTGTGGTCCAGGCGGGACACCAGCACCAGCGTCTTGGGGGCAAACAGCTGTCCACGGGGCCCCGGCGCCGTAGGTGAGGGTCTCAGCGGGCCTCCCTCCTCCTCCTCCTCCTCCTTCTCGGCGGGGTCCTCGGTGCACCCTGCTTCCTGTGGACAAGGGTGCCCTGGGCTGAGCGATCAGGCACACCCCGCCAGCCCAAAAAGAGGACACAGGCGACTCAGACCGGCATCGGCGACTCCAGCTCGCGGGGTGGGGGCACCAAGACCTGCCAGAGGCCGGAGACGCAGGCAGGGGCCAGGGCGGGCAGTGGGCCCCAGCTCACCTGGGCCCCAGCTCACCTGGGCGGGCTCCGCTGGCTCCCAGAAGGTCAGGCAGGCGCAGTAGTGCCGCTCGGAGTTGATGTCGGTGAGGACGGCCACGAAGAAAGTCGGCGGGCTCCTCTCAGGACACAGCTGCCACCCGCTGGGCTGGCAGAACTGCGGGCGGGAGGGGCGGGTCCGCGGCGTGCTCCAGGCCTCTGCCCCGTGGAGGAGCCCCCTGCACTGGCCGCACACGACGAGGGCCCTCGACACGCGGGGCACGCCCTGCCCGCAGCTCAGGCGCCCCCCGGACACTTGGGGCGAGGCACCAGGAGGCCGGCCCCCCACTCATCACCCCTGACGCAGCTGGAGGCCCGGGGCACCCGCCACTCACCAGCTCGATGCCCTGGGGGAACGGGTTGTCCTCCCAGTCCTTCTCGGGGAAGCGCTGCAGGATCTGGCCCTGGCCTTCCCCACTCCCTGGGGACAGGAGCAGGGGTCAGAGCACCCCCAGGACCTCACCCAACCCAGCCGGGAGTCTCAAGGGGCTCAGCGGTGACCTCGAGGCCAGGAATGGAGAGAGCCCCCCACCCCGGCCCTCACCTGTTCCCAGACCAGCCATTTCCCAAAAACAGTCTTGGGGGGAAAGAACACCAGGCCCCCCCTAACCTCCTGCAGGGCCCAGAGAGGAGCCCTTGGGTCAGGCCCCTGCCAGCCCTTGGCTGGGCCAAGCAGCCCAAGCACGGAGCCCAGGCAGGGGGCGTGCCCTGCCTCCCCAGCCCCCAGACCCATGCACGGCCCCTCTGGCAGGGGACAGGAATTCCAGACCCTCCCACAACCCGCCCCAGATGAGGGTCAACCCCAAGACCCTACTAGCTGGTTGGGCAGCACACAGGCCACGAGGGCAGTGGACACCCCCGAGCTCCCCTCACTGGCCCACCCAGGACCCACATGAGGCACAGGTCTCCCGCCACGGCCCAGAGGGGCAGCAGCTGGCGGAAGGCCGGACAGACCTCCCAGGCTGCGCTGGGGGAGCACTGCGGGCGACAGGCAGCCCCTGCAGCAAGGTCACGGCCGAGGCGGGCAGAAGGGACAGTGGGCAGCCCCCAACCCCGCCTGCTGCCCCCTGCACACCCGGCACTGCTCCAGCCCAGGTGTCCCCGCCCACACACAGCCACATGCAGCATGTACAGAGGCCGCCTGAGGCCGCATGCACAGAAACCCGGATGGCCAAGGCGGCTCCACGCCGCGCACACGCTCTGTGGCTATGGCCCCCAGCTCCAGGAGCAGCCAAGCCTGACCTGGCGGCCCCTGTGGCCTGGGGAGGGCGGGAGGCGCCACAGTTGTTGGCCACAGTCCAAGGCTGCAGGCAGCGCCTTGGGCCAGCGGGGTGAGGAGCCGAGGCAGACTCTCAAACCAGACTCTCAAACCTCAGCTTCCTGCTCCCCCTCCCACTGACACCCCGCAGGCAATGGGGGGAGGGGACAGAGGGAGTCAGGTGTCTGCCGGTGCCACATCTACCCACACACTCCCACGGGGCTCACCGAGGCGGGTCCCTGAGGTCACCCAGGCCCAATCTCAACAGGCCCAAGAAGGTGGGCCCTGAGCCAGCCCCCTCTCCCCCCAGGGACCAGCCACCTGCAGCCCCAAACCACCAGCTGGGCCCGGGCCTGGCGGGCACCCAGGGCTCACCCAATTCTCACCACAAGGCAGCAGGTGGAGGAAGGGGGTCGTGAGCGGATGGGGCCAGCAGCTTCTGCCCCAGGGAGGCGGGCAGAGTGGCCATTCATCAAGGGAAGCCACTCCCATGCAGGGCTCTGCCCCAGCAGCCTGGGCAAGAAGGTACAGACAGAGCCTCCAGCTCCCAGGGCAGACGCTGTGCGGCCCCTGGTCGGCAGAGGGACCCCGGCTTCTGCTCTCCCCCACACCCCCAGACTCCTGGTGCGCCTGCAGGCTGGCGAGCTCTGCGAGTGGGAAGCCACACGGGTGCTCCGCGGCCTGGGCACTCACCGCGGGCTGACAGCTGCCCACACCCACCAACCAACAGGTTCCTCCACGGGAAGTGCCCAGGGCCCAGGCGCACGGCAGGGCCTTCCTGAAAGGGCAGCCCCGAGATTCCAGCCCACAACCTGGCCCCGCTCATGGGGACAAGGGCTGACCTGCACCCCAGGACAGAGGCTGCCAAGGCACCCACCCCAGGCCTGCCAGCCACAGAGGCAACGGGCAGCAAAGACAGCAGCCCTCGGGCAGGTGAAATGACCGACACAGGGAGCCGTGGGTAGGACCCTCTGCGGGCCGAGGAGGAAGGGTATCCGATGGGCCTCCCCTGGCAGCTGCGAATCCCACGGGTGCCTGTGCACAGGGGCCACCTCGGGGCGGACAGCACATACCCAGTCTCCGCTGGCAGCGCATGCCCCACGCCAGGCTCAGCTGGGAAGGCCACATGGCTCCTCTGCCTGCCTCTGGCCCCCGCAGCACGCGTGCCCAGGAAGAGGCAGGGAAAGCAGCCCTTCCCGGGACATTGCCCACCTGGTCTCAGAGCGGGCGCAGCCCAGCCAGGCACCACGCAGCCTCTCAAGGGTGCCCCGACCTCTCCCCAGGCAGCCCAGACAACTCTCCCCCAGCCTGGGACCCTGGGCTCCGGGGTGGGGGCTGGGTGCCTGCCGAGGCCAACCCAAACAGCCCCAACCTGCTCCAGAGGAGGGCAGGGACGTGGGTGGGGTCGGCTGGGAATGCGGCCACTCGACACGGTCAGGACTAGAGAGGCTGGGCCATGGGAAGGAGGATCTCCTGGGGCTGGGGTGCCCCCAGCTGCAGTGAGCACAGCCCCTCCTCCAGCCCAGGGCTCCCGGTCCCATCGAGCGTGTCTTCCACACCCAGGCACACCCTGGCACTGGCCCCCAGTGTCCCATCCACTGACACACCAGAGGCCCTGGGCAGGAGCTGGGCACCAGCCCGGGATTGGCAGTTGCCACCCCCGAGTCTGTGGGGGACTCCTCCACTCAACAGGAAGGGTCTGCCCACGGAGATAACAGGCTCCGGCCCGCCTGGAGAGGTCTGGCCCCTAACCGGGCCCCCAGACAGCACCTCGGAACTCAGCACCAGGCCCTGAGCCCAGCATCTCCTGGTGGAGGCTCAGGCCGACTCCCCTCTGCATCGAACCCTGAAGACCCTGCATTCCTCCGCCCCTGGCCCACCCGCGACTGTCCAAGGAGGGTCCCGCCCCTGCGGGCGCTCACAGGGCTCCAGCAGCCGCCTCGCACGCACAGTGAGGTGGGCACTGGGCTCAGAGAACCAGGTACTGGCCCGAGGTCACTGCCGGAGCAGGGCAGCCTAGGACTTCGTGGTGCTCCCTGCCGGGTTTCCCTTCCCACCCCCCTGGCAGGGCCGCTGCCCGCTCCTCACAGCGCACGGACGCTGCCCGGCTGAAGGCTGCAGGGCAGTGGTCCCGCCCGGAGGAGACCACAGACAGCCCGCCGCGAGCACTCGCAGCCAGCATGCAGCGCGCCGGGCCTCCGCTCCGCGCCCACAGCTCCCACCCTGCGCCACCCCAGCGGTCCTCCGCGCCCCTGGCCCCTGCTCCAGGCGGCATGGGCTCCCCGCTGCCCACGCAGGCCTCCGGCAGCCCCGGCCCGGGCTCACAACGCACCGCGAGCCTGCAAGGACGGCTCTCCGGAGCGTGTCCGGGAAGGGCACGGGCAGGCGGGAGCCAAGAGGCGTGCGCCCGAGCCGCGCCGGGAGCGCCTGAGCGCGCAGGGCCAGGCCGTGAGGCTGGGCACGCCGGCGAGGCGCGGAAGCCGGGCGGCGGGCGGCGGGTGACAGCGGCGTCAGGCCGGCGGCCCCACCCCGCCTTCGGGCTCGGGGCGCCTGCCACGCGGCCCGCCCGCCCGCCCGCGCAGCCGGGGCCGCCCCGCAGCAGCCGGGATTGCGGGCGGCCGCGGAGGGCGTGAGGTCCGCACACAGGGCCGCGCGGGGCCTGGCACGGGCCCCGCCGCCGGGCTGAGGTCACCGCCGGGCGCGCTCCCGCGCGCGCTGGACAGCGCCCGGGCCCCGCCGGGGTCGGCGCGCGGGGGGCAGGCGCGGCCGGGCGGGCGCTCCTCTCCCGCCGCCCGCGGAGCTGCGGCCCGGGCCCGCCGCCTCGGGGGCCGAGCCCGGCCGGCGGCGCGGTCAGCGGAGGCCCGGTCCGAGGAGGCCGCGGGCCCCGGCGCGGCGCCCACCCCGCCCCGGGGCCGGGAGCCCGAGCCGCCAGGGCCCGCCCTCCCGCGGGGGCCCGGCCCGGCCCGCCCGGCCCGCCCGGCCCGGCCGGCCCCGCCGCGCCTTCCGGGTCCCCGGCCGCGCACTCACCGCGCGGGTGCGGCCCGAACGCCACCAGCACGAAGTAGTCCGCGAGCCGCGCCATGGCGAGGCGCGCGGGGCGGCCCGTGGGCGCGGGCGGGCTCCGCGGCTCGGGCACTCGGGGACGGCGAGCTCATGGCCCGGCCCCGGCCCCGGCCCGCGCACCCCGGGCGCCCCGGGCCCGCTCCGCCGCGGCGGCCAGGGCTCCCGCCGCCATCTTCCCAGCCAGCCGGCCCGCCCGGCCGCGCCGTGCGCCTGCGCGGCCTGGCCCCGCCCCCGCGTGGGCGGGGCCCCGAGCGGCGCGCCCCGTTGGTCCAGCCGGCCGGGCGCTGTTCCGGGGGGCGGAGCTCGCCTGTCCGGCCGCGACGGTGGCCGGGGCGGGTCAGCGGCGGGCGCGGCGGGCGCGGCGGGCGCGGCGGGAGGACCGGCTCGCGGCGAAGCCCCCTCGCGGGGCGGGAGGGCCGGGCCGGCGCTGTGAGTCGGGAGGAGGCCCGGGCCCGCCCGGGGCCTCCCCGCCGGGGCGCAGAGGAGGGGCCGGACCAGGTCCTCTGGCTCCCGCGCGGCGAGCCGGCTGCGGCCGCGGGGGGTGCCAGGGCCCCGCGTGACCAGCCCTGCACGTGCCCACCCGGGGGCCTCAGCGCCGCCGCTCGGTGCCGGGAGGGGGAGTGCCGGGGCCGCCTGAGTCCCACGGGCGGGCGCTGACTGCCAGCCTCGCAGCTGCAGCCTCTTGCAGAGCGGCCCGGGGCGGGGGACAGCAGCTCCGGGCAGGTGTCGTCCTGGCCGGTGAGGCCCCGCGGCCTCCGTGCGCAGGCCCCGCCTGTGGCAGGTGGAGAAAACCATTTGCTGGGCTGGATCGAGTTACTTCCACCCACTCAGGTCACTCGCAGGGAAAAGGTCCCGCACCCCCCTCTCCCCGCACCATGCCCAGGAGCCCGCATGCCCTGCTCCCTGTCCTCCGAGTAGATTCCGTCCCAGGGGCCCCCGCTTCTCCTTTCTGCCCCTCTCCCCAAACTGCAACCAGAGGCTCCCACCTCCTGTCACCCGCCGCTGACCCTGGCCGCCCCCTCGGCTGTCCCCATCAGGAATTCCCAGCCACATGTCCTGCCCTCCCTCCTGCTGCAGACCCACCCCAGGCCCCAACCCCAGAGGGAATGGCGCGGCCTGCTGAGGCCCGCTCACTCTCCCCTCGTCTCCCCAAGCCCTGGCCCCGCTGGCTTCCCTCACAGAGAAGGCAGAGGCCTCCTGTCTGCCCCTGCCTGTGGCTTCTCCGACTGTCCCTCCCCCACTGTGCCCGGCGCAGCCCGCACCCACACCCCTGGGTGCGCTAATGGTCATGTGATCAGCCGCCTCTCCTCTTTCCCCCACTGGCCAAAATAAGCAAAGAAACCGGGGTCTCTGCTGATGCCGCCCCACCTTCCTCAGATGCAAACCCAGAGCATGGGCCTCCCCGGTGGTGCAGCGGTTGAGCGCTGGGTTGCGAAGCTGCCCGCGGCCTCTGCGGCGCCTGTTCGATCCCCGGCTGCTTCCCGGCCACCGGAGGAGGGTCCCGCATGGCGCGCAGACCTCTCCTGCCGCCCGCTGCTCCCCTCAGCAGTGTCCTTCGGTCCTTCTGCCTGCTCTGCTCCCCGCTCTGGCTCTGGTGAATTCTCTCACCCTCCTGCGCTTCTGACTGTACCCAGTGCATGTATAAACAAACAAACAAACAAATAAAGAAAGAAAGAAAGAAAACATGCCTCTATAAAAAAAAAAAAATAAAAATAAAAAAAACAAACCCAGAGCATAATACGTCCCCCGGCCAACACTTGTTCATTTATTCATGCAGCAAGTGTTCACTGAACCCCGGGAGCGCCGCGGGAGGGACTGGCCAAGCCATCCGTGGGGAGCGCGGCACCGGCTGGCTGGGAGGCAGGAAGGGGCACCTGCCCGGACAGGCAGGGGGGCTGGAGCAAGGCCAGGAGGAAGGCATGCCCCCACACCCCCAGGGGGAGCCCAGCTGCTGGGCCAAGCTTGGAGAACAGCCCTTGGGCACCGCTGCTGTGCACTGCACTGGCGCTGGCCATGACCACAACCTCCACTGCAGGGAAACACCTTTTGCAGGCACACCTGTGAGCTCACAGCAGGACACTTGCTTTCAGGAAGAAGAAATAGCCTGATGGCTGCTAAGGAGGGCCTTCACCCAGCGCCCCCAAACTGCAGGGGGCGTGAGAGGGGCGGAGACGCCCGCCAGGTGCGTGTTACCTGCGGGGATGCACACTGGGTGTCCGGGCGGCCAGGCGGCCAGGCCTGCGGGAGGGGCCCCTCTTTACTCGCGGAAGTTTCAGGAAACCGCCCAGATCTTCGGGAGGCTACGGCCGCCCTCGGGGGCGCAGACGGGCGGGGCTGGGTCCAGATGTGGCCCCTGAGAGGCTGAGAGTTGGCCAGCCGGCCCGCCCGCGGCCTCTCCCGGGTGGACTTCGGGGGTGGGGCAGAGTTCTGAGGCGGCCAGCCCCACGGCCGCACCCCGGCACCCACTCCTCGGCCCGGCGGGTGGGCCCCTCCAGGCTCGAGACAACGACCCCCACCAGCAGGCGAGGCGGCAGCCCGGGCGCCCCTGGCCAGTCGCCCAGGACTACCCGGGGGGCCAGGCCCTCAGGCCGCTGCTCCTGCCCCGCACGCCCCGCGCAGCCCAGCGGGTCGCCAGGGTGGGGGCCCCCCGCCCGCAGGCCCCGCCCCGGCCGCGGACTATTTAGCTCGGGGCCGGGGCCCCTCGGGGATCCCTGCGCCCCGCTCGCTCGCCCGGCTCCTGGTCCTGCCGGGGCCCTCGGGCTCCGCCGGACGCCATTCCCGGACACTGGGGCGGAGGGACGCGGGTGCCACCTGCGCGCGCCCCCAGCTCGCACTCGGGAAGGCACCCCAGGGGCGGCGCCCCGCAGCCGCCGGCCCGTCCCGTCCGTCCGTCTGTCCGTCCGTGGAGGCGTCGGTGCGTCCGGCCGCCTGGCAGCCCCGCCCGCATGGCCCGGCGCTGGGCGCTCACCCTCGCCTGCGTCAGCCTCTACCTGCGGCTCCCGGGGACACTGTCCCGCGGCCCGGGCGGGAGCGGGCAGCCGGCCAGACCCGGGTGAGTGCCCGCAGGACCGGCGAGCGCCGGCCGCCCGCCCCGGCAGGTCCGCGCTGTGAGCAGCCCCCAGCCTCAGTCTCCTGCAGGGGCGCCCCCCGGGGGCTGCGGGGGGGGGGGGCCCAGGCCGCGCGTCACGTCACGCCGCTCCGAGGGCAGGGCTGAGGGGCCTCTTTGGGGTGTCGCCTACAGTGACCCACAGGTCGGCTGCCCTTTGCCCGGGGCCCACAGGTGAGTGGGACGCGTGACCGGGACCTGTGACCTGGCTGAGCAGCCGGACCCCAGCCCCGGGCCCGGCCCAGGCGGGGAGCGGGTGGGTTTCCGGCCCCTGGACGGCCGTCGGGGCCGAGACTGCGGCTCAGTCTGGCCGCCTCGCTCTGCAGGGAGCCCCCCGCGCGGACCCCTCCCGGCGGCCTGCAGCCCCAGCTCCCCGCGCCCCGGCCCGCGCTCTGGAAGCTTCAGCAGCCCCTGCGACCACAGCGCAGGGCGGCCCCGGCCCCCGCGACCCGCCGCCGGCCCCGGGCCGGCCCCCGCCCCCCGCCCCGCCGCCCCGCAGGGCCCCGCCCCCGCCACGCCCGGCTCCTGCGGGTGGGCTGCGGGCTGGGCACCTGCCGGGTGCAGCACCTCGGCCACCGCCTGTGGCAGCTGGTCGGCCCCGCTGGCTCGCGGGACTCTGCCCCCGTGGACCCCAGCAGTCCCCACAGCTACGGCTGAGGTGGGGCAGGCCCCCTGCCCGCCCCAGCCCAGAGCTGCAGCCCCCCAGCCCCAGAGACCCGCGGACAGCAGCCCCGGGAACAGCAGGGAGGTCCCCCAAGGAGGGAGGCCCCCCAAGGAGGCCGGCGCCCTGCCCCGCCCCCATCCGCTTCGCAGCAGGAACAGGTAGACCCCACCCCAGGGGTACACAGCCTGGGCGCATGTGGGGGGCTGATGCTGCAGCATCTGAGGCTCCCAGGCCCCAGGGCCTCCGGCGCCAGCAGGAGGTGCCGCTGGAGAGTGCAGGAACGGAGTGCGGCTGAGGGAGTGCTCGGTGCCTGCCCAGCTGGCCTCCCTCCCCCGCAGCCTGGGCACGGGAGGCGGCCCGGGAGGAAGGACACACTGTGCTGAGACCGGCCCACCGCAGCGAGGGGCCCCTGCCTGGGCACCCCACCCGGCCCCTTCCTGCTCCCCAGCCTGGGGGCGGGGGGATGGCCAGGTCTCCCAGCCCCAGTCAGTCAGTTAAGTCAGAGCACCCACCTGTGGGGGGAGCTCAAGAGACCTGGCCCTGGCCTGCTGGGACCTGGACTCTCAGGGGCCAGCACGGGACAGGGGGACTGGGGCAGGCTCCCCGAGAGCTGGGGGCCGGTGCGTAAGGTGCCCACGGGCCCTCTCGTGTGCCCGCCGCACCTCCGAGCCTGGCGCGTGTGGTCGGCCGCCCGCGGCATCTGCTACGCAGTAAACTCTGCTCCGGCACCTGCTGTCTCGCCTGCCTGTGTTGCTCTGTCGGCCTCCCAGGAGGGAGGCACCAGCGTCTCTGGGGGCAGAGCTCGGAGGTGGGCATTCCCAGGGTGGCGGCTGGCCTGAGCCCCAGGGCCAGAGCCCTCCACACGGAGGGGCCCTGGGTGTGTCCGAGGCGCCCATGTTCTTCCAGCTCGGAGCTCGCCAGGCCGGAGAAGGCAGCTGCCCTCGACCAACCGTGGGACCAGCTCAGGCTGGTCCAGCCCACCAGGGTCCCCCCACATATGGCCCCCCATGCAGAGAGGCTCTCTCCACACACACAGGGCCCCCCACACAAGGGGTCCCCCCACCCAGGGCCCCCCTCCAGGCATAGGGCCCCCCCCCACAGGGGCCCCCCCTGCAGGGGCTCACACACACACACACACGGAGTCCCCCTCACACGGGGCCCCACAGGTGGGGCGTGGGCTGGGATGGCAGTGGGAGGCAGTCCGAGTCCGTGGGGAGTTTTCAGGGAAGGTGGCCTGGAGGAAGCTGGGCTGGAGGACTCGGGTGTGGGAGGCGGAGCTGGGGGGGTGCCAGGCCCCAGCGCACAGCTGTGGCAGGAGAGGCTGGGGCCAGCGGCGGCCGGGGCGGCCACAGGCCGGGTCTGTGGCCCCTGAAGGGCCCTGGCAGAGGCAGGGCGGCAGGCAGGGGCTGAGGGCACGAAAGGCCCAATCAGGGTCCACCGCCCCTCAGTCCCGGGCAAAGTCCTGGCCCGTGCAGGGGCTGGCCCTCGTCCGCACAGCATGTCCCCTGCCAGCAACACCCCACCCCTGCTCCCCTCATCAGCAACACCCCTGCGGCCTCGGCACCCCGGGATGGAGGTGCCCAGTGCCCTTCCGCAGTGTCCCCTGACCTGGACCGCTCTCCCGAGGGGTGATGAACTGCTGAACTCAGCTCCCACGTGCCAGCCACGGGGTCCCCTGCGGTCTCAGCACCGCACCTGGTGCCCGCCTGGCCCCTGCCCCACAGCCCCACCTGGAGGCCCAGCAGTTACCACCGCCTTCGGGCCATCTTGCACCCAGACCCTGCCTTTGGGGTGATGGCTGTGTCCCCGGCCCCTCTCCAGCGGGGCGCGGCTCTCCGGGGCGCAAGCAGAGACACCACGAAGTCCCGCACCTTCGCTGGCTGTGGCTCGCAGAGGGGCCGAGGGCGCGGAGCCAAGGAGGCAGCCTCAAAGCTCCAGCTCCCGCTCCCCCTGAGCGCAGCAGGTGGGACAGCACCCAGGCGTCCTGAGCCAGCGGGCTCTGGCTGCTCCGGCTTCCCTGCCTCCTCCCTGTGGGGCACGTGGGCTCCTGTGGCGCCCCACAAACGTGCGCTGTGTGACGGGCGAGGGCACCCGCGCCGCATCCCAGGACTAGTGTCTCTCTGCACCGGTACCCCGGGGCACGGGCTGCGCTGGCGGGGACCGGCGGGGACCGGCGGGGCGCCCGCTAGCCGAGACCAGCCGAGGCCACCGCGGTGCTGCTGTATCGCTCCACCTGGGATGGCACCCCCAGAGATGGTAGCTTCGCCCCACCAGCTCCTTGGCCAAGCACGTACACCAAGTGTGCGTGCGCTCCGTGTGTCCTGCCCGAGGGTGCTCCTGGGGGGGCACCGCCGGCCCTCGGGCTGCCCTGTGTAGAGCCGAGGCGCTGTGTCCAGCTAAGTGCTGACTTGGCCCGCTAGAGATGGAGCCCCTCACCCCACACTCCGCAGACACCCCTCCTTGGCCAGATTCCAGTCAGCTGCCTGCACCCTCTTCGCCAGTGGGCCTCACCCCGCAAACTCGGTGAGCACCCCTCTGTCCTGCCGGACGTCCCCTTCGCGACCCCCGCCCCGGCCCAGCTCTTCAGGGTGGGGCTTGCTCTCTGCCCACAGAGCTGCGAGTCGTCAGGCTCATGTTCCGCTCGGCAGGCGCCCCCCCAGCCCCGGTGCCGCAAAGGGACCAGCCGGGCCGGCACCCTGGGCCGGCTGGGGGCTGCGGTGGGAGCCCAGGGCGGAGGGCAGGTGGTGGGCGGCAGGGCAGCTGAGGTCATGGGGCCCAGGGCCGGCCGCTGGGGGCCGCGCGGCGCTGACACATTAACCTGCTGAGGCCGGGAGGAGGACGGGTGGGTGGTCACTCGTGACCGAGCGCCAAGGCCAAGGGGCCGGGTGGTGTCTGGTCACTTATGTAACCTGCAGGCATATATAGGCAGCCGCCAGGGGCTCGCGCTGGCCTCCAGCTCTGCTCCCGCCATGAAAGTGCTTGTGGTGAGTGTCCAGCCGCGTGGGCAGCGGGCAGGCGGCAGCCCCCCACGCCGGCTCCCGGTCCCTTCTTCCCGGGCAAGGACTTCCTCCATCCTGCTCGGGTCTGGCTGGGGCAAAGGTCCGCCGTGGCCCCCATGGGAGGTGTGGAGCGGGCCTCGTGCTCCCCCCTCAGCCTCCCAGCGGGCGCCCACAGCGCGCATCCCCCCGACCCGGCCACCTGGTGAGGCAGGTCTTGCTCCCCACCCCACCAGGGCCCAGACCCTTCCCTGGTCTACCGGCCAGATGCGGACCCCGAGGCCGCCAAGGACAAGAGCAGCTTCCGGAACTACGCGGTGAGGACCCGCCCCCCCCGCCCCGCCCCCAGCCGCCCCCCGCCCGCTCACCCGGACCTCTGGCCCACAGTCCGGCCCGCTCCTGGACCGCGTCTTCACCACCTACCAGCTCATGCACAGACACCAGACGGTGGACTTCGTCAGGAAGAAGGTAGCCAGGGGCCCTGCCGCGGGAGGCGCCGCACTGAGCGGGGCAGAGGGCTGGGCTGGCCTGGGGGCCGGGCCGGCTGACCAGCTCCCCTTGGCCCAGCATGCCCAGTTCGGGGGCTTCTCCTATAAGAAGATGACTGTCCTGGAGGCCGTGGACATGCTGGACCAGCTGGTGGACGAGTCGGACCCCGACGTGGACTTTCCCAACTCCTTCCACGCCTTCCAGACGGCGGAGGGCATCCGGAAGGCTCACCCCGACAAGGGTGCGCCTGCCGGCTGTGGTGCTGCCTTTGAGGCCGGGCGGGGCCTGCCCACCCCGGCCTGGACCCCGCGCCTCACCAGCTGCTGTGCCTTCCCTCGCAGACTGGTTCCACCTGGTGGGGCTCCTGCATGACCTGGGGAAGGTCCTGGCTCTGGCAGGGGAGCCGCAGGTGAGTGCAGGGGGCGGGACAGCGGGCTGGGGCCAGACACCCGCTCTGACCCGAGGCCACGAGGCCACGAGGCCACCGCACTGCCCCTCCACAGTGGGCTGTCGTTGGGGACACCTTCCCAGTGGGCTGCCGCCCCCAGGCCTCCGTGGTTTTCCGAGACTCCACCTTCCAGGACAACCCTGACCTTCAGGATCCCCGATACAGGTGCTGCCCCTCCCGCCCTCCCCCTACCCCCATGCTCCCCATTCCTGGACGCCCCTGAGCCCCCATCTCTCTGCAGCACAGAGCTCGGCATGTACCAGCCGCACTGTGGGCTCGAGAACGTCCTCATGTCCTGGGGCCACGATGGTGAGACCACTTAGAGGCTGCCGGCGGGCCAGGACACGGTGGGGCACCCCCTGGGCACTGTGACACCCCCTCTCCCACAGAGTACATGTACCAGATGATGAAGTTCAATAAGTTCTCCCTCCCCCCAGAGGTAGGTGGGGAGAGGCCAGCCCCAGGAGCCACCCCCCCCCCACAGTCCCCCCTGCCCCCGCTTAGCCTGACCCGCCCACCGGGCACCCACCCCACTCGGCCTGGACCCAGCCCTCCCACCGGCCCCCAGCCTGTGCTGTGGCTCCTCCCACCTGCCCAGGCCTTCTACGTGATCCGCTTCCACTCCTTCTACCCGTGGCACACGGGCGGCGACTACCGGCAGCTGTGCAACGAGCGGGACCTGGCCATGCTGCCCTGGGTGCAGGAGTTCAAGTACGGGAGGGGGCTGGGGCGGGCGCTGGGGGGCCGCGGTGGGGGGGGCTGGGGCTCCTTCCCCCGACGCCGCCCTTCCCCCACTGCAGCAAGTTCGACCTCTACACCAAGAGCCCTGACCTGCCGGATGTGGGCCAGCTGCGGCCCTACTACCAGGCGCTGGTGGACAAGTACTGCCCCGGCGTCCTGAGCTGGTGACGCCCGCCGCCGGGGCTGATGGACACCCCAGTGTGACCTCCTTCTGTCCCCTCGCAGCCGCCTCCCTGCCCCGGGGGCCCATCCCTGCTGGCGCTGTCCCCTGCATGGTCACTGCCAGCGCAATAAACCCCTTGCAGCAGCGCGTGGGGTGTAGTGTGGCTGCAGGCGTGGGGCGGGCCTCCTCGGACTGTCTCCCCTCCTCCCAGCGCCCCGTAGGAAACGGCTCTCCTCACCTCACTGCCTCAGGTGGTCCCCAGTCCTCCGGAATCCTCGGCTTAGCACAAACAGGAGGCCTGAGAGCAGCTGTAAAAGCACCTGTGGGGGGACAGCTGCCCAAAGTGGGGGTTCTTGGAACTCTCTGAGGGAGCCCAGGGAGCTCCCTTCCCCAGGGAACCCCGAAGGGGCCCCCAGGGAGCCCCTGCCTCCTGGCTCAGGTGCCTACCTGCTGTCCCGTGGCCCCCTGCAGCGAGCCGAGCCCTGTTCCTGCCTGTGTTCATGGCTGGAGCTCAGGCCTTCCAGGTGCTTCTGATCAGCCACACTCCTCTTTAAATGAGCCAGTTTCCTCCAAGGAAGTGGGCGCAAGTAACAACACGGGAGGGACCTAGACTTATTAGCAGGCTTGCTTGGGGCTGCGAGCAGGACCACCTCCCCTGCTGGGCCCCGGCTGCAGGGCGGCGGAGCCAGCCTGGCGAGGAGGGTGGCAGCTTCAGCGCGCACAGGACCCAAGGAAACCACGGGCAGGAATCCCTGAAGGGCCTAGCTCCGTGGCCACCAGCCTATGCGGGCGGCCGCGCTCCTATCCTTCCCGGGGGCGTCCTGGCCTTGGCTGCCGGCGCTGGCCACCCCAGCTGCTCTCCAAGGTGGTGCATTCCCAGCTTAAAGCAATTCTTTTTTTTTTTTCCCCAAAGAGTTATTTGTTTATGCAAGAACTGGGGTACAGGCCAGATGCGTGGGAGGGTGAGAGGATTCACCGGAGCCAGAGCGGGGAACAGAACAGGCAGACTGACGAAATCCACTGCTGAGGGGAGCAGCGGGCGAGACAGGAGAGGTCTGACTTGCCATGCGGGTATCTCCCTGGCCGGCCGAGAATCAAACCTGCGCTGCAGAAGCTGCAGACAGCCCCACAGTGCTGCGCTCAACCTGCTGCGCCACTGGGGAGGCCCCCTAAAGCAATTTTTTTTGACTTAATGTCTTTGAGGGCAGCAGAAAACCCACGCTCTCCGGCTCACACCTCCGAGGTCAGGCAGCAGCTGTCCTGGCCCCCGCAGAGCCCGCGGCTGTGGGAAGGGCGGTACAGCACGAGCCTGAGAGAGCCATGCACAACAAGATCAATCCGAAGGGCAAAACCACGTCTGGACGCTGGCGTGACCACCCTGGACAGGCAGACCTGGCTGGGCAGCGACCGTCCTGGGCTGAGAGGGAGGGACGGGAAGGCATGGGGCTCGGCGTTATGGCAAACGGCTCTTCCCCATCCCAAACGCCCCAGAGAAAGTTTCGGAGCAGGGAAGGTGACAGAATTCGTCCTGATGTACCTACAGTTCTCACCAAAACCAGGCATTTTAAAATTATTTACTTATGCTACAAGAACTGGGGTGCAGGCCAGAGATGCGGGGGGTGAGAGGACTCCCCAGAGACAGAGGGGGGAGCAGAGTGGGCGGGTCCACTGACACACAGTGCTGTGGGGGCAGCGGGAGACAGGAGGGGTCTGCCGCACCCTGTGGGTCACTCCCTGGCCAGGGTTGCACTTTGGCTGCAGTGGCTGACGGGAGCTCCGGAGTCCAGAGACTGACCCCGCGCCCTCAGGGAGGCCCAGACCGGCATGTTCCTGACAGAGCAATGACAAATTACAAAATCTTGTCTTTGAGCCTGGGTCTTGTGTGACGAGTTGGGGACAACCCCCAGGCCCTGGTGCTGCGTGGCCTCAGAGACAGCGGGCGTGGTGGGCAGTGCGGCCACCAGCGGGCAGTGGGCTGCTCAGCGGCGGCTCTCTGGCAGCCTTTTCTTTTTTTTTTTTTTTTTATTTGTTTGTTTGTTTATACATGCACTGGGTACAGTCAGAAGCGCGGGAGGGTGAGAGAATTCACCAGAGCCAGAGCGGGGAGCAGAGCAGGCAGAAGGACCGAAGGACACTGCTGAGGGGAGCAGCGGGCGGCAGGAGAGGTCTGCGCGCCATGTGGGACCCTCTTCCGGTGGCCGGGGAGCAGCCGGGGATCGAACCGGCGCTGCAGAGGCCGCGGGCAGCTTCGCAACCCAGCGCTCAACCGCTGCGCCACCGGGGAGGCCCTGGCAGCCTTTTCTTAAGAATGGACCAAGTGAAACTTCGGGACAAGGGTGGCTGCTCCAGCCCCGCTATGCCAGGGGCTTTGCCGTGTTTCTGGGTGACAGTCCCCCGAGGGCCACGCCAGGGCCACGGAGGTGACACCTGGCCCTCTTCTCAGTTTTTTGGAAATAATCTTCATTAGAGAATTATTACAGTAACACGGAGTGAGTTTATTTTTGCACTTAAATAACAGCAATGAGTCCGTATTGCAAGGATTTGTCAGTTTAATTTCCAAGGTGGTGACTGTGGCTACCCACGAGCTCTGGAATGGAGACTCTCCAGGGTCCTCTAATCTGAGACGGCCTGTCCATGATGCAGCTGACCTCCAGACCCCCATGGGGGGAGGTGGGGGCCATGTGGGGCATCACGGAGACTTGCCCAGCACCCCAGAGCCCGCCTGCACCCCAGCCACACGGCGCCCCACTTGGCGGGCCGCATGGTGGCCACTCAGCCTGCAGGCAGCTGGCCTGCTCTCCCCGTCCACTGTGCTCCCTCCACCTCCAAGGGGGTCTCCAGATGAGGCGGGGCACAGGCGGCCGTGGAGACACGCCCTGGAGTCCACATGCAGGAAGGCCCAGGACGCTGTGCTGCCGGAGCCAGGGCCCCCGGGGGCCGCTCCTCTCAGTGCTGGTGACCTCTGGAGAACACGCAGCCGCCTGCTCGCTGGACAGGGCCCCCTGCACAGGGATGCGCAGTGGGGCGGGGACTCTCGGGGGCAGCAGACACTGTGAGGACTTGGGAGGTCCGGGGAGGGGAGGGGGCGGGGGGGAGTGAGGTCCGGTGGGGGTGGGGCAGGGCCGGGTTCAGCTCTGGGGAGGGACGCTCCTGCCAGACTCTGTGACCCTCCTGGGGCCCTCCGAGTCAGGACCTCGGTGGGGTGTAGACAACTGTCTCCTTAATGAGAGGCTTGTCGGGGGCCGAGTACAAACCAGAAAACCCCAAGGATCAGCGTCCTTTCCCAACCGTTTCTCTGGAGGGACCGTCGCTGCTCCTGAGTCTGGGAGGGACAGTCTGCCCCCCTTTTCTTTTGGAAGGGGAACAGGAGAAACTTGGGGCTGCCCCGGCCCTGCCTATGACCGCCTTTCTGCTTGGCACATGGTGTTGGGGCTCCCAGAGAAGGCTCCCCACACGTGTATGTCCTTTCACTATGGGTCAAAACGGTGTCCAGTGGCAACAGGGGAGGAGCTGGGCACGCTGGGGGCCTGCAGGGTCCATGGGGCCAGAGCACAGGCTGGGGCTAAGGATGGCCCGAGGCCAGGAGGCTGCCCAAGCCCTCCCAAGGCCTCCTTGTCGAGCCCCATAGGAAACATGGGTGCCCTCAGCTTCTGCTCCCACCAGGGGCGTCTTCTGGGAAGTGACAGGACAGAGGCGCAGCTGCACCCCCCCTCTCCCACCCCAGCTGGGGTTCTCCGGCTCCCCCTTCTCCCCCCCATACCCAAACCCTGGGGACCGCCCTGAGTGTCCACTCCTGGCTGCTCCTCTCCTGCCCAGCAGCCCAGTACTGACCCTCAGTGCTTTCCCGCGGAAGCGCAAGCAGGGAAGGAAATGGATTCTGGGGACTTCTCCGGCCATCCACCATGGCCCCTGGCCTGCCCTGCGGTGGCAGCTACCAGGCTGTGTGGGACTGAGGCTTGGGGCCTTGGCCCTGCCAGACCAGGCCCTTGTGTCCACTTTATAGAATGGACAAGGGTGATGGGAGAGCACGTCAGCGGCTGGCTGGACAGCACCGAGGGCTATATCCAGCGCCATAGGCGGGAAGGCCCTCCGTCCTCTGGCAACCAGTGGGAAGGGAGAACCAGGCTGTAGGCCAAGCATGAAGACCCTTTATTGGTTCATGGGCCCAGATGACGCTGGATGCCCCCCACTACCCCGTGTCTCAGCAGCTGGTGCTGTCCCCCAGGCAGGGGCTGGGCCCAGCGGCTCTGGAGGAGGGGGCCCATCACTGCCTGGCTACCCGTGCGGGCAAGGACTGCGAGCCAGGCACAGCTCCACACGCGGCCGTGCCCAACCCAGAGGGTGCCTGCAGAGGGAGCAGTCGGAGGCCCTCAGGGCTGGGGTTCCAGAGCCTGCCTGGTGGGCGGTTGCCATGCTTCCTGGTAGCTGGTTAAGGCACAGTGGCTGAGTGTCCCGCTGCAGGAGACGACTCAGAGGCGTGCAGGGACCCTGACCCTCTCGTCCGGCAGCCGACAAAATGCAGCTACTTTTTCCGCCGGGAGAGCCGGGAACCGCTGCTGCAGCTGCTGGGAGCCGGGGCCGCCTGTTGGCCTGAATCCTTCCTGTGGGCTGGCCTGTGCTTCTCCTCCCTGGCCGGAGGGGTGGACCTGGGGATAAGGGGGCCCAGCAGGGCCTGCAGGACCCGAATGGCCCCCACAGTGGCCAGGAGCCCCCAGAGCAGTGTGGGGGCCTCCACGGGAGACAGCTGTTCCCGCAGCCAGCAGAGGGTCTGGGTCAGGGTGTTGCTGGAGCTGCGGGCCCGGGGTGGACTCTTGTCCTGTGGGAGCAAGGTGAAGAAGGCCTGTGAGGTCCCCCTGCAGGCCGCCCCCTCTGCCACCTCCTCTGGGCTGGCCAATGGGCCGCTACCTGGAGGCCAAACTGTGTGAGCAGCATGTCCAGCGTCGGGTCTCCGAGGGACACCGCTGGGAAGAACTCCTGCACCCACTGGCGGCGCCACCACTTGCTGCAACAGGACGGGCATTGGGAGAGGGCAGGCCTGGGCGCCCAGGCCCCTTCCCCCTCAGCCCAGGCCTTACCCCGGCTCCCCTGGCTGTGAAAACCAGTACTTGTAGAGCTGGGCCCGGACGTAGGTGGGGGGCTGCTCGTGGAAGGGGTACCTGGACAGGTCTGTCTGGATGAGCCGGATCACTGTGGGGAGAGCCGGCTCGGCTCAGGTGCGGCTCCCCCGCCGGCCCAGCGCCAGGCCCAGCCCCACCTGGCCCACCCCGGCCCGCCCCAGCCCACCCCCCGCACCCGGCTCGCGGCCCTGCAGCAGGCGCTGGACCAGGCTGGTGAACCAGGGGCTGTGTGTGTGCGGGCCCAGCGCGGCGAACCACATCTGCCAGTCGAGGCGCGGCTGGTGCGGCGTCACCACCGGGGGCGGCCGGCTCACGTTTCCAGGCTTGTACAGGAACTCGATCTCCTGCGGGGCGCAGCCCGTTAGCCTGTTAGCGGCTCGCGGACAGGGCCCCTCCAGCCCGCCCCGGCCACGGGGCAATCACCGTCCAGCGCTGCCCGTCGTAGCTGCCCTCCAGGACCACTTCCGGCCGCCCGCCTAGGCCGGTCATCCGGCGGAAGAGGCCGTAGGAGTTGGCCAGCTGCAGGTGCTCCACGGCGCCGAACAGGCGGTGGGCCCCGGCCCAGAGGCGGCCGTGGGTGGAGGGCTCCAGGTAGGAGTAGGGCACCTGGGGGCAGGGGCGGGGCTCAGCATTGGGCGGGCTCCACCCCCTCCCCCCTCCCGCGGGGCCGCCTACCAGGCTGGTGAGGAACATGGCCACCGTGGCCGCGCTGAGGACTGATAGCGGGGCTGCAGCACAGAGCTTCTGCGGCCACCCTCTCACCCGCGTCCACCTGGGAGGAGACCCAAGCGCCGTCAGGCCTGCCCTGCACAGCCCAGCTCCACCCAGCTCCACGGACCACTTACCTCCAGAGGGCGGTCAGCAGCTCCCAGGCCAGGGAGGCCGCGCCCAGCCACATGGTGGGCAGGGTGACTGTCTTCAGCCACTGGGAAAACTGGTGGAAGGTGAAGGCTATGGAAGGGAGGGGTGTGAGGGGGTGGTCGGCCCTGCCTTCTCCCATACCCCACCCCTCCCCGGCACGCACTGGTTCTGGAGAGGATGGTGTGCTGTTCCCAGTTGACCTCCAGGCCAAAATAGTGCACGGTGCCGTAGGCCAGCAGCCCGTAGACGGTCAGCTCCAGGAGCAGGGACAGCCCAGCCAGCAGAGTCTTAGGCCAAGCTGTGGGTGAGACCGCCCGGGCCCACTGGGATTGAGCATGCCTGAAGCCGGGGCTGTGGTGGAGCGGGAGCCAGGGGCGCTGGGGATGTCAGGGGCTACAGGGGTGAGGTCGGCAGCTGTGGGGCGCAAGCGGGCACTCACAGACAGGTGTCTTCCTGTTGCCAGGCTCGGCAGCCAAGTGCACATCATCCAGGAGGGCAGAGGTGAGCACCAGGGTGAGCAGGTTGAAGAAGTTGTAGTTGCCAGTGACGATGATCAGCACTTGCAGCAGGACCTGAGATCACCCCAGCTCTGAGGGCAGCCCCTGCTGGAAGTCACCCCCCGGGCCTCTCCTGCCTCTTCCTCCCACTCCTTGGCCTCTGCTCTGCTCCATCTCGCCTGTGTTCTGTCCTGCACACCGGGGTGCCCCTGCTGCCCGGAGAAGCCTGCCTACCCTGCTTCCCCCCTGCCCAAGGCCTTCCTGCCAGCGGGTCCCCCACGGGGCCACTGGACTGTCTGAAAAAGGCCTCGCGGGCCGCCCTGACCCACCTGGGTGTAGAAGGCGGCCAAGCGCAGGCGGCGGACAGGGGCGAAGAACAGCGGGGGTACAGCCACCTCGATGAGGAAAGTGGCCACCACACTGAGCCTGTGCAGCCAGACGGGCAGGTGGTGGGCAGCCCAGGCGGCAGGCGTGGGCAGGCACTGCGTCTCGTAGTGGTAGGTAAGGGCTGCAGTGATGGGCAGACAGTGAGTCTGGGCACGGGCCCCCAAGACCTCCCCACAGCCAGGCCGGGCCCCTCACCAGTGAGCCCCCACCACGCGGGGCAACGGCTGGTCAGCTTTACCACTCCGGACGCGAACATGAGGCGAAACAGCAGCCAGCGCACAAGCCAGAAGGGCAGGTCTTCATGGGGTGAGGCGCCTGCCAGCCTGCGCTGCAGGGGCTGCCTCAGGGGGGCCACCAGCACAGCCAGGAAGCCTGTCTCCAGCAGGAGGGAGTCCCTGTGGGAAGGAGCAGCAGCACAGGCCCCTCCCCATCATGGCCGGGGAGAGCAGGCACCCCATCCCACCCACCAGCCTCCCACTGGCCTCCCACGCCCAATGGCCACTCACCACTGGAAATAAAGAAACACCTGGCCCACCTGCAGGGAGAGGGGGGCGGGGTGTGATGTGTGGGCAGGCAAGGGGGGAGGGGTTGGGGAGGGTCCCAGCGTTGGGGGGCAGGCGGCCCCACTTGCCTGGCAGGCTGATAGGTAGGCAGCCCAGAGCAGCAGGTAGGTGAGGGAGTGGCGCAGCTGGCACATCAGCAGTGCCCCCAGGGCCAGCAGGGTGCCCAGCAGGGTCAGCAGCTCCAGGCCCTGCGCAGTGTCCAGCCCCAGGCGAGGCGCCTCCCACAGCAGCGTCGGGGTCTCCCACAGCTGCTGCCAGCGCCCCTTGCCCTGTGGCCGCAGTGTCCTCCGGGCCGGCAGGATGCCCTCGGCGCCATACAGGCCTGCGGGAGGGCCGGTCAGGAACGGGGCCGGAACTGCCCTCCAGGGCCGGCCTCCCAAGTCAGGGCCTCGGGTCCTCCTGACCCTCCCACCCGGGTCAGGCTCCAGGGGGCCTCCCCGACCCGGGGTCGGGCTCTCCAGGTCCCTCTCCCCAGGCCCGCCCGGGTCAGAACACGGAGCCCGAGGGGGGTCCGCGCCCGGCGCGCCCGCCTGCCCGCACACCCCGCGGGCCGCAGGACCGGGCCGCCGCCCCCACCCGCGGGCGGGCGAGGGCCGGGGCCGGCGGGGCCGGGGGGGCGTCCTGCCTCGGCGCCCTCACCCGGGATCTGCGTGTAGAGGGAAGCGAAGGCGACCATGAAGACGGCGGCCACGCCCTGGAGGAAGAGCTGCCGCGGGACTCGCGAGCCCGCCATGTCCGCTGCGCGGCCGGAGGCAGGGAGCGCGCCCGCCCCCCCGCCGGCCCGCGGCCACCGCGGGCCCCGCCCCGAACGCCCCGCCCCGCCCCGCCCCGAACGCCCCGCCCCGCCCCGAACGCCCGCCCGCGAGCCCTGGACGCTCCTCCTGGCCCCGCCCCGCGCGCCTCTTCTGGCCCCGCCCCGCGCGCCCCATCGCTACGCCTGTCGCCTCTCGCGCGCCGCGGGTTCCCGGGTTCCTCGCGCGCGGCTAGGGCTGCGCTACGTCATAAATGTGCGCGGCGCGGCACGCTACGTGCCTTCCTGGGCGGGAACACCAAAATGGCGCCAGAGGTAGTGGCGGGCTGAGGACGATCCGGGACCCCTCGAAGCCCGTGCTGCGGTCTGCGGGCCGTCGCGACCCCTCCGGACATGGAGGACGTGGAGGCGCGCTTCGCCCACCTCCTGCAGCCCATCCGCGACCTCACCAAGAATTGGGAGGTGGACGTGGCGGCCCAGCTGGGCGAGTATCTGGAGGAGGTGAGGGCGGCGCGGCCGGGCGGCGGGGGCGGGCCCGGCGGAGGCGGGGAGGCGCGCGGGCCAGGGCGGGGGTGCGGCGGGGCCGTGGGCGGCGGGGAGGCCGCAGGCTCCGGGTCTGGTCCCCAAACTCCTTTCCCCGGCTGCATCCCGGCCCCCACCCCCGCAGTTGCTCTGGTCCGGAGCTGTCACCGCTGGTCTCTGCCCGCCCGCGGGTTGTGAACCGGCCTTGGCGGGCGGTCGTCAGCGGGTCTCTGATGCCACAGAAAAGACGAAGCTCGGTTGCGCGCGTGTGTGTTGGAGGTTTCTGGGCGGCCACCTAAGAGCTATTATCTTGGATTTTCGAAACCGCTTCCAACTGCTGACTTGGGCCGTCCCATCAGCCTTTCTCTCCTCCTTGCGGGAGGCTGTGTGCCAGCCTGGGCTGTGTGGCCTGGTGACAGCTGTCCCCGAGTTCTGAACCTCAGTCCAGCTCAGACTGGTTTCCACTTGGGCTGCCCTTGTCCTCACAGTGACCTCCCTCCTACCGAATTCAAGGGCTGCCAGCGTTACCTGGGTCACCGGCAGCAGTCGTTGGGCCTACCATCCCTTTTTACAACAGGTTTTGGGCTTTGACTTTCTTTTCAATTTCATCATCTCTTTTTCTCTCCCAATCTCGAGTGCCGGCCTGGACCATCTTCCCATTTTTTTCCCTTGAGCAACCTTGTTTACTCCCGTGATTTCCATTTCATTTATACATGAGGAGAACTCCCAGGCCTGTAGCCATATTCTAGGTCTTTCTTCTGAGTCTTGTGTCCAGCTGCTCCACTGTGTGCACATCCACTTACGGGCACACGGCTCCCAAACTTACTCCATCTAAGGTGGAGCTGTCTCTTGCTGCCAAGTGTTGTTCTCCCTGACCTGGGCACGGGCTCCGCTGTTCGCCAAAGGCAAAGTGCATGTCTGTGTCATGTGGATTCTGTCAGCTGCGCCCCAGGGTCTCATTTGAAGTCATTTGTTCACTCATAAGTCTGCTTCTGCTAACCGCCCCTGGAGATTCATAATAAAGCTCTCTTCCTGGGCTGCATCCACTGACTTTCGCCCTGTCCAGCAGCAAATGTGACTCAAAAAAAATGAAAATCAGCTTGTGGCCCCAGCCCTCCCTAGGGCTATCTGTGGCCCTGTAGCCCTGGCCCTCCCTCGGCGGCAGGGGTTTTCTGTTTTACTGTATTTTATCGTTGGGGAAAGATGTCAGTGGCATTTGCACTGGAGTTGTGGCCCACAGTTTGAAGAGCGCTGCCTTCTTTCCTGTGTCTCCCGAGTCCCTGGGGTGGGGGGCAGCGCCCCCCATGCTCACACACCTAAGCACGGGGCCTGGGCTCGGGCTGGGGTGAACACCAGGCTGACCCGCTCCCAGAGCTGCAGCGGGGAGGCCCACATTCACACCCACTGCCCCACCACTCGCACACACCACCCTCATTCCACCCACAACTGGGGTCTGGCAGCCCTGCTCCCCTGACGCTGCCGCCTGAGTGAGCACAGACACCATGAGGTACAGTGCGGGAGCCCCAACATGGCCAGGGGTCCCCAGGCCACCTCCATGTCTGCCACCTCCATTTGGCTGAAGACGTGACCCTGTGGGTTTGGTGATTAACTAGAAGGGCTCTCTGGGCTCAGAGAAGCTGCCTCCTGCTGGCCATCTTGTGCTGAGGATGCAGCCCAGCCTAAGAAGAGCTGCAGGGGTGAGGCCTGGGGTTAGGGGTAGCACCTACCCCTCCCACACATCCTTGTGTTCCCCAACCCAGAAGGCTGTGTGGGCCCTGGATGGGTGAATTTAACACGGGTTGGCTCCATCCCCTCCCCCCAGGGTGGGGACTGAGCGCCCATTGTCCCATGGCCAGCCCCCAGAGGTCACCGGGTACATCCAGAAAGGAGGTGCCCTGCACCCCGTGTTTGTGAGTGGTGCGCTCTGGGGACATGGAAACACGAGGTCTTGGCTCCACAGGTAGGGGTCCAAAGACCTGTCTCCCCCACAAGAGATGTTCTTCCAGAGTCACCAGATGTGTTATGGGGCAGGGAGAGGGCACCCCAGGACCCCCAAAGCTGCCTGCTCTGAATAGTCCTGCCACCCGCTGCGTCAAGACAAGACAGAGATATCTTTAGCGGAAAGGCGCCTAAGTACAGTTGGTGTGGGGTACAGAGAAGACAAAGAATAGTTTCTAATTCCAGCACCCGAAGTCGCCCATCCCCTCGTGGGTAAAAGTCCAGCCAAACAGGGTTGGCCCAAAGCAGGGCCTCTGAGGCCAGAACCCGAAGGCACCTTTTGGCTGGGGCCCATAGAAAAGGGGTCACAAATAGCCAGATAAGCCTAGGAGAAAAAGAACAAAGTCAAAATCAAGACCGAAGCTGCCACTGTCACCTCCCTCAAGTCTCTCAGCCTCGTCTGTGTCAACTGGCCCAGGACCAAGAAGCCAGCGCGGTTTCTTTCCCTCTGTGTTCCCCTCCTCCAGCTCCCTGTCCTCTGCCTGCCTTCCCAGGTGCCTCTGCAGCTTCTACTCCTCCTCCCTGCTCAGCTCACCCCCCTTGGGTGGGGCAGGGGACCTGGGTCCTCCCCTTTCTTTGGAGACCCTCTTACATTCCCTCCTCCCAACCTGAACCTGCACTGACCGGGCAGCCGTGGGCGCCCGTGTCAGTGGGGAGTGGCTGGGTGACCCGGCCCCAGGGCAGAGTGCAGAGCAGGCTGGAATCAGCGCCCTGCCCACGTCTTGCAGCTGGACCAGATCTGCATCTCTTTCGACGAAGGCAAAACCACGATGAACTTCATCGAGGCGGCGCTGCTGATCCAGGGCTCCGCCTGTGTCTACAGCAAGAAGGTACCTGGCACCCCGTGTCCGGCCAGGGCGGTACCTCCCTCCTGCTCGCCTGCCCATGGCTCCAGGGAATGTTGAGTTCGGAGTCACCGGCCTGCTGCTCAGCGGTGCCGCGTGCGGGCGCCCACGGGAAGAGAGGCAGCCCAGGAAGGAGGGCGTGGGGGGCAGCCCAGGTGGCGGCGAGCCCGTGGGAGAGCTGGGCGCGGGGAGGGGGCCGAGGCAGTGGGCAGGCTGAGGGTGGAGGGGAGGCCCACTCCACAGGGACATGGGCCCCTGGCTGTTTGCTGGTGAGAGGGTCTGATGCAACTGGGCTGCCAGAGAAGCAGTTTTGGCTGAAACTGGCAGGACGCGAGCCCAGGTGTCCAGGGGGAGCCAGACTGCGGCCTCGGTGGGGAGGCCCTGGCGGGGCCGTGGGCTCACAGCCCCCTGTTGCCAGGTGGAATACCTCTACTCGCTGGTGTACCAGGCGCTCGACTTCATCTCTGGCAAGAGGTGCGTGCCAGGGCGGGCCGGGGGGAGGGGAGGGATGCTGGCCGCTGCTCCCACCCACGCCCACCCTTGCTCTCTTCAGGCGCGCCAAGCAGCTCTCCCCACTTCAGGAGGACGGGGGCAGCTGGTACTCTGGCTCCAGGGCCCCCCAGGAAGTGGAGGACGAGGTGAGGCTGGTGGGCGGTGCCTGGCCTGCATGTGTGTAGCACCCCGCTGAGCCCCTCATTCCCCACAGTTCCTGTCGCTGGATGACCTCCCTGACTCCCGGACCAGCGTGGATCTGAGGACTGGCCAGGCGCCCAGTGTGAGTGCCCCCGAGGCGGGGTGTGGGGCCCTTCACCCTCGTGGCTCACCCCTGCCCGCCCCCACAGGAGATCCTCATCATCCCGCTCCTGCCCATGGCCCTGGTGGCCCCTGACGAGGCGGAGAAGAACAGCAGCCCGCTGTACAGGTGGGGCCCCGGCCCGGTGGCAGGCGGGGGGAGGGTGGCAGGGGAAGGGTGTCTGCAGTGGACGTTTCTGCCAGCACAGCTGTCAAGGGGAGGTCCTGGCCAGCCGGAAGGACTTCAGGATGAACACATGCACCCCGCACCCCAGAGGGGCCTTCATGTTGGAGCCGGTGGGCATGTCCCCCGAGGAGGCCTCGCTACCCAGGAGCCAGAAGGGTGAGGGTGCCTTGGGGGGCTGGGCAGGGCTGGTGGAGGGGGCTGGGCTGATCTGTCGATCCTCCCCAGAGGCCCCGGGGGCTGAGGAGCAGCCCATGGAGTTGTCTGCTTGTGGGAGCCCCGCCCCCAACCTCTGCCAGGAGCCAGGTGAGAGGAAGCCTGGGGCCCCGACCCACCCTGCTGCTCTGGGCAGCCTCTTGCTCTCCTGCGCGGCCCGCCAGCTCCTGGTACAGGCCCCAGCGTGTCTTGGGGCCGACTGTGTCCTTGCTCCCTGCCCAGGCCCCTCTCCAGAAGGTCAGCAGCCGGGCGGCTGGGGTGAGGACGATGATGCCGAGGGGCCGGGGAAGCCCCCCGAGGCCCCTGCAGCTGAGGCCCCTCTGGAGTGCGAGGAGCCCAGGAGCCCGCAGCAGGTGGGACCCGTGCCTGAAGCCACCAGCCCGGCCCCTCCTCGCCCTTTCTGACCCCCTACCCCGCCGGCCTGGGCACCACCAGGTGGCAGTTGCTCCCCTGTGTGGACTGGACAGACTGGGGGGCCTCAGGCGTCCCAGCCTAGAGCAGAGTCTTGACGCCCCACACGCTGGTGGGTCTGGGCTGGGGCACGGGCTGCTGAGGGCTGGGGCTTCCTCTTCAGTCCTCCAGTGGCTTCCCTTCTGCCGGGTGGGCCCCTGCAGGGTCTCACCGGCTGACCCCAAGCAGAGCTCGGGGCCTCAGAGCCATGGGTGGAGGGTCCTTGTGCCCTTTCTCTGCAGAGCGTCCAGCCCCGGAGGTACGTGCTGCGGGAGAGACAGGCGGCCCTGGCGCCCGCGCCCCAGCCGCAGCAGGTGAGCATGAGGGCAGGTGCGGGGAGCTGGCCTCAGAACCTCGCCCCTCGCGTCATCCTCTGGCTCTGGGTTGGGGTCAGACCCCCAGGCTGTCAGCGCCTCTCCTCAGCGCCTGCTCCTGCTTGTACTCAGGAGCCCACAGACCCCTGGCAGAGCCTGGACCCCTTCGACTCCCTGGACTCCAAGCCCTTTAGAAAAGGTAACGGGGGGGGGGGGGGGGCGGGGGCGTTTGCACTCAGCACAGGGGGAGGGATGGGTTCTGAGAGAGTCCCTCTGCCCCCAGGCAGGCCCTACTCAGTGCCCCCCTGCGTGGAGGAGGCCCCGGGGCAGAAGCGCAAGAGGAAGGGCACTGCCAAGCTGCAGGACTTCCACCAGTGGTGCCTGGCCGCCTGTGAGCAGGGGCGCGGGGGTGGGACTGTGGGGCTCACACGCCGTGAGGGGTTCTGCCCTTGTGGGCTGGGCTGCTGACCGAGGTGTCCTGCAGATGCTGACCACACTGACGGGAGGAGGCCCCGGCGGAAGGGCCCATCTTTCGCGGGTGAGGCCAGGGCCCAGGGTCTCTCCCGGGGGCAGGGGCGCACTCTCTGGCCTGGGTGGGCTGGGAGCTGGCAGGACGTGGCCACCTCTGGCCTCCCGCAGACATGGAGGTCCTGTACTGGAAGCATGTGCGGGAGCAGCTGGAGACGCTGCGGAAGCTGCAGAGAAGGGAGGCAAGTAGCGGTGTGGGCGGGCGGGTGCCCAGCCCCAGGTGGCTGCGGTGCCCTCACAGACGCTTTGTGCAGGTGGCCGAGCAGTGGTTGCCCAGGGCCGAGGAGGGGCTGTGGCCAGTGGAGGAAGACCGCCTGGAGGACCCCCTGGAGGATCTGGGGGTAGCAGGTGGGTGTCTGAGGCGGGGGAGGGGGGCCAGCCCCTTCGTCAGCTGAGTTGCCTTCTGCTGGCCTCTCTGTCTCCCAGATGACCTCCTAGAGCCTGGGGCATCCCCTGAGTCTGCAAGGACAAAGCACGAGGCAGCGGCCGACCTGGGTAGGTCTGGGGGTGGGAGGGGTGCTGCTTGCTGGGCAGCTGGGTCTGGAGGCTGCTCACCCACCTATGCCCTCTTGCAGCGGAGGCCATGCCGGCGTCCCTGAGCTACGAGGAGCTGGTCCGCAGGAATGTGGTAGGTGGGGCGGGGCGGGGTGGGGGGATTCCTGCACTGCACAGAGGCCGCAGCGCCCCCCCTGTACCCCCAGGAGCTCTTCATCACCACCTCACAGAAGTTTGTGCGGGAGACAGAGCTGAGCCAGCGCATCAAAGACTGGGAGGACACGGTGCAGCCGCTGCTCCAGGAGCAGGTGAGGGCCCGCGGGCGGGGGGGGGGGGGGGTGGGCAGCTGGGAGGGCCCCCGCAGCCAAGCTTGCCTCATATGCGTCCCCCGCCCCCTCCCCAGGAGCAGCACCTGCCGTTCGACATCCACACCTATGGGGACCAGCTCGTGTCCAGGTTCAGCCAGCTGGACCAGTGGTACCCCTTTGCGGAGCTGGTGGCCGGCCAGCCTGCTTTCGAGGTCTGCCGTGCCATGCTGGCCTCGCTGCAGTTGGTGAGTGGCCGGGCATGCGCGGCAGGGCAGGGCGGGGCCTGCTCCCTCTCTGCTGACACCCCACCCTCTGCTGGCACCCCACTCCGCAGGCCAACGACCACACGGTGGAGATCACCCAGCAGCCGGGGCTGGAGGCGGCCGTGGACACCATGTCCCTGAGACTGCTCACGCACCAGCGGGCGCACGCGCGCTTCCAGACCTACACCGCCCCCTCCATGGCCCGGCCCTGAGGGCCGCCCCCGCCCCCGCCCGCTCCGGGCTGGCCCAGCCCAATAAAGTGCTGACGTCACAGCTCGGCGGTGCGGGGGACACGTGTGCTCTGCCACACCTTTAATGAGCGGCTCAGGGGAGGACGCTGCGGAAAGCAGCCATGTGGCGCCGCACGCTGTCCGCGATCTGCTCGGCCGACCGGGCCCGGCCGTAGTAGTCCGTGAAGAGGCCGTCGGGGCTGAGCAGGTAGATGGCGACCGAGTGGTCCACGATGTAGTCCTGGTCCGCGTCGCGGGGGCCCGCCTGGTAGTACACGCGGTAGCTGCGGCTCACGCGGGCCACCTCCTCGGCCGAGCCCGTCAGGCCCAGCAGCCGCGGGTGGAAGTCCCGCACGTAGCGCGCCATGGCCGCCGGGTCGTCGCGCTCGGGGTCCACGGTGACGAAGACGGGCTGCACGGGGGGCAGCCCGGGCTCCGCCTCCAGCCGCCGCACCGCGCGCACCAGCTTGTCCAGCTCGTCGGGGCAGATGTCCGGGCAGTGCGTGAAGCCGAAGTACAGGAGCACCCACTGGCCGCGGAAGTCGGCTTTGCAGCGCGCGCGGCCCCGGTGGTCCACCAGGCTGAAGTCGCCCTGGCCGACGGCCGCCCGGCGCAGCGCCTCGGTGCGCTCCCGCTGCCGCCGCCGCTCCTTCTCGGCGCGCGCCGCCAGCCAGGCCCCGCCCAGCCCGGCCCCCAGCGCGGCCGTGACCAGCAGCCGGGTGCGCAGCCCGGGGCCCTGCCCGCCGCGCTCCGCGGGGCTCCGCGTGGACCCGGGCCTGGGCCCGGCGCGCGGCGCCGCACTCCCCGGGGGCCCGAGCAGGGCGCGCGCGCGCCAGGGGGCCCGAGCCGGCCGCAGCATCGGCCTCCGCGCCTGCAACGGCGAAGCGGTCAGGGCGCGCGCGGCCAGGCGGCCCGCGCCCCGGGGGTCTCGCCCCCCGCCCCTGGGCGCCCCCGAGCCCGGGCGGGGCGTCCCGGGCTTCACCCCCAGCCGCCCGCGCCGAGGGGCGCCCCCCGCCCCGGCCCCGCCCACACGCGGCCCTCCCGGAGCTCGGGGAGCAGCGGCGCGCGCCGCGCCGGGCGTCGGGGTCCCGCCGGGCCTCACCTGCTCCTCCGCCGCGAGCCCTCCGAGACCGGCCTGCGCGGCCCGCGGCGCCGCTGACCTTGGGCCCGGGCCCGGCTCCTCCGTGCGAGCCGGCGCCCGGCGAGGACGGCCCCCGCCCCCCGCCCCTCCCGCCCGGGGCGCGGCGCCGCCGACCGCACCGAGGAGCGCGAGCCCGGCCGGCGAGGCGTCGGGCAGCGGCCGTGCTCGCGGGGCCGGCCGCACGCCCCGGGACGCGCTCGACGCAGCGCACGCGCGAGGACGGCGCCGCGCACGACGCAGCACGCACGACGCAGCGCGCACGCGCGGGAGGAGCGGGCCGGGGGCGGGGCGCCAGGGCGCCCGTCGCGAGGCCCCGCCCCTCGCCGGCGTTTTTCCGCCCCCCGCCCCCGGCGCGCCAGGCAGGGACTCGGCGTGGGCGCCCCAGCTTTATTGCCGCGTGTCGGGGGGCGCGCGCGCGGGCGGCGGCAGGACGAGCTCGGCGAAGGGCGAGGGGGCGGCGAAGGGCGCGCGGTCCGACAGCACGAGCGCCCCCTGCAGGGCGCGGCGCTGCGGGTCGCTGAGCGTGGGCGCGTCCCGGTGCACGCGGAGCCAGGGCGTCCCTGCGGGCGGGCGGTCGGTCAGCAGGCGGTCAGCGGGCGAGGGGGCGGGCGGGCAGCGGGCGGGCGGTCAGCGGTCAGCGGGCGGGCGAGGGGGCGGGCGGTCAGCGGGCGAGGGGCGCTCACCGCGGCGCAGCCTCTGGCCCACGTCGACCAGCAGCTCGGCGCCCACCCCCGGCCGCAGCGGCTCCCCTGCGCGGCTGCGCCCGGCGCCCAGCTCGTGCAGCACCCGCGCCAGCGGCAGCGCGCGGACCTGCTCCACGGTGCCTGCGGGAGAGGCGCGGGGGGTGGGCGCGGGCACGCGGGGAGGGGCGGAGGGAGCCGGGCGGGGCGCGGCGGGGCGGGCGCTGGGGCTCACCGTCCGCAGGCGCGCGCAGCTCCTCCCGCTCGCGGGCGCGGGGCAGCAGCTCCCCGCGCTGGGCGGGGGTCCCGGCGCACAGGGCTCGGGCCAGCTCCGGGTCCACGCCCTGCGCCGCGAGCATCCTTTGGAAGCGGCTCCGGGCCGAGCCATCGTCCAGCGCCGCGGCCACGCGGGCGGCGCCGTCCGCCTGGGCCTCCGCCATCCCGCTGAGCCAGAGCAGGGCGCCCCCTGCGGCCGAGGGCAGGACTCAGGCGCGGCGGGGACCACAGGCAGGGGCGGCTCCGCGTCTCGGCCCCACGCTGCCCGTCCCTCACCGAGCCTAGTGACCAGGTCGCGCAGGTCGGGCGGCCCGGCGCCGTCCAGGCAGAGCAGGGCCTCTTCCACCTCCAGGGAGTGGCCCACGCTGCGGCCCAGGGGCTTGTCCATGGCCGTCAGAGCTGCTGCCACTCGCAGCCCCAGGCCCGCCCCCACGCCCACCTGTAAGAGGGGCAGTGTGGACCCTGCCGGGGAGTGGAGGCACTCCGGGGTGGGGGTCCCCCCAGCCGGCAGGCAGCCGTGAGGGTCACCAGGTGTGGCTTGGAGGGGCACTGCTGGCCAGGATGCTGCAGGGCTGCCGCGGCAGCTGCCCGGGTCGTGGGGGGGGGGGCGCACAGGTGTGGTGGGCACAGGTGCTCACCAGCGCTTCTGCCAGCTCCCGGGCCTGGGCCCGGCTCGGGAAAATCGCAGCCTCTCCGAACTTCACGTCCACCACCAGCGCTGACAGTCCCTCCACCGCCTTCTTGCTGAGGATGGAGGCTGTGGGAGGGTTGGGGCTGGGGGGGCTTCCAGGGGGCTGTGGGGTGCTGGCCCCATCAGTCGTAAGGGGTCAGAGGCCCTAACACTGAGGTCGAGGCAGCCCGCGGTGGAAGCCCTGCCTGGGAGGTGTGTGGGCCCGGTGGCCCTGGGCGGGTCACCTGTGATGAGGGGCAGGCTGTCGACAGTGGCCGTCACGTCCCGGGCTGCGTACAGGACCCCGTCCGCAGGGACCAGCCTCTGGCTCTGGCCCACAATGCAGCAGCCCACGTGCTCCAGGAGCCCCCGCATCTGGTGGTCAGAGGCATCAGGACCCTTAGCAGCCTCCAGCCCCTGGCCCTGCCAGGCCTGGTCAGGGGCTCCTCGGTCACTTGGGCCGTGTCCAGACCCATGACTGCTGACTGCCTGGCCCATGTCCTGTGACCCATTAATGATTGATCTGCACCCCGTGGTTTTGGCCAGGTCTCCTGAGCGACCCCAGAGTGCCATCCACCCCAGGCCAGCGGCCGCCAGTGACCCAGGGATGGCTTGGGTCGATGTCCCCGTCAGTGACCCTTCCGAGGGTCGGGCTGGTGCTTTTCCATCAGTCACCCGACCAGTGGCCAGCCAGTGGCCAGCGTCTACCTGCTCTGGGCTCTGGATGACAGTGAATCCAGGAATAGACTCCAGTTTATCCAAGGTGCCCCCTGTGTGCCCCAGGCCTCGTCCACTGATCATGGGTACCTGCGGGCAGGGACACTGAGTCCACTCGCTAGGCCTCGCCTCCCGCCCCCCCCCACCTCCGCCCATGAGGGCCACCGGGATCCAGCTTCCTGCGCAGCTGTGGGGTCTGGCCAGGGGAGAAGTTCTGGCTTGGGGTGTATGTGGGGGGTGGAGGGGAGGTCCCCTGTGGCTATGGAAGCGGGCCCTGCATAAGCTGGCCTGGCACTGAGGGCGCTGAAGGGGAGGAGCCCCCTGGGGGGTAGGGGTCGAGTTCCGAGCGCATCTGACCTTGCAGCCGCAGGCAGCCAGAGCAGGTGCCAGGACCAGGCTGACCTTGTCGCCCACTCCCCCCGTGGAGTGTTTGTCCACGAGCTGCGGGCGCCACGCCTCGGGCCACTCCAGCTGCTGCCCAGACGCGGCCAGGGCCCGGGTGAGCGCCGCTGTCTCTTCCAGGTCCATGCCCCGCAGCCGCACAGCCATGAGCATGGCCCCTGCGTGCGGGTGTGGTGGTGTAGGCGAGCCGGGGGATGTCCCCGGAGAGAGGGGTCCCTCGGGGTCACACTGGCGGGAACCCCGGACCCGCAGCCTCTGGGGAGGGGCCCACCGTCTCCACGCACCGATCTGCGCGCCTTGGGCGCTCCCGTCCACCACGGCGCGCACGAAGGCCCGGATGTGGCCCTCGCTCAGGCGCCCTCCGTCCCGCTTGCGTCGGATGAGCTCCGGGAGCTGCGTGCGCTCTGGAGGCGGCGCCCGACTCCCTCCCCCCGAGCGGTCACCGGGCGCGTCGGGGGCGTCCATGGCTCCGGCCCGCCCCTGCGTGGCCCGTCTGCGCGGCCCGTCCGGCTCCCGCTCCCCGGCGCCAGCGCCGCCCCGGCCCACCTGTCCCGAGCACCGCGGCGCTCGCCCGGCCCGCGCAGGGTTGCGGCGGAACCGCGGGCCCGGGGTCCGCAGGCGCGCGAGGGGCCGGCCTTCGACGCCCAATGGCGGCCCGAGCTGTGCGGGCCCCACCCAGCCCGACCCGCGCGGCCAATCGCCCAGGGCCCCGCGGGGGCGTGAGGCCGGCAGGGCCCGCCCGCCGCCGGCCCGGGACCGCGGCCCGAGCCCCCGCCCGGCCCGGCGCGCACAGAGAGGCGGACGCGGCGGCTCCCGAGGCGGGATTAGGCGAACATTTATGCGGCGCGCCCGCCCGGCGGGTCACTTGTCCACGTCGGTCAACATCGGGGCCAGGTAGTCCGAGTGCCTGATCCCGAAGGTCCAGCCGCGAGGCTTCCGGTGCTGCGGACCCGCAGGCGTCGTGAGCGGCGGCTCCTCCGTGTCCCCGCGCCCCGGACTTGACCTCAGGCCCCCCCACCCCCCGCGCCCCCCGCCCGCAGACCACCTGGTCCACGTTGTAGGCCGCGGGCCCCGGCTTGCGGCTGCTGTCCCGGGGAAGCGACGTCCGCGCCAGCATGGTGAACTGCGGCGCTCGCGACTTGTAGGTGCCGGGGCTCACCACGTGGTAGGCGCAGGGCCCCGGGGTCTGCGGAGGGAAGGGCCGCTGGGTCCCGGCCCCCCCTCCAGCCGGCCTGGCGCCCGCCCCGCGCGCCGCGCACCTTGCTCAGGTCCTCCAGGAAGCTGCCCACGGTGCTGCGCCCGTAGATGGAGTAAGTCGGGGCCGAGGCCTTCCCGACGACGCGCGGGCCCAGCAGCGGGGGCACCGAGTAGGTCGCCGGGCCTGCGGGGCGGGGGTGCGGTGTCGCGGCTGGCGCGGGGCCCCGCGCGCGACGGGAAGGGCCCGGGCGCTGGAACGGGCTTTGGTCTCACCTGGGGTCTGCTGCTCCCCGTGGACGCCCCAGTTTCGGGGCGCTATGGTGTGGCGCGGCGCACTGGGGTACGTCGCGGGGCCCGCTCGCTCGGGGAAGTACCGGCCTGCGGGGCGGGGCCGGGGGCGGTCGTGCTGGGTCCCGGGAGCGGGCGCGTCCCAGCCACCGTGTGCTTTGGGATCCCGATAGGGGGAACCGGACTTGGAGGTTCGGGGGCCCACAGGGCCCTCGGGCTCCGCGGGGCTTCCCGGGGCGCTCACCCGGGCCGGGCGTGAGGAAGGGCGCGGCGCGTTGCGGGCGGCCGTGGATGGAGTAGGCGGGGGAGCCGTCGGGGCCGCGCACGGTCATGCGCGCCGGGACCAGGTGGCCGGGCCCGGGGCCGCACGAGGTCTGCGGCGCGGGGAGGCGCGCGCCGAAGGTGAAGGCGGGCGCGCGCGGCCGCGAGGGGTCGTGCTGGAGGTAGCCTGCGGGGCGCCCCGGCGTCACCCGCGCCCCCGCGCCCCAGCGCAGACCGCCGGGCCCCACTGCGCCCCACTGCGCCCCCCGCGGCCGCCCGCCCGGCCGCCCCAGCCCGGGCGCACCCCCTCCTCGGGCGCAGCCGCCCCGCCCGCCCGCCCGCCCGCGCCCGCGCCCGCGCGCCGGTACCGGTGTTGGGCGGCAGCTGGTACTTGGGCCCCGGGCCGCTGTAGAGCGCGGCGATGGGGCCGCGGGGCCGGTGTGGCCGCCAAGGGCCGACCCAGGCGTCCGAGCCCATGGCGCGGGTGGGCTGCGCTTAGGCCTGCGGCTCCTGTGGACAGAAGGTGGCGGCCCGGCCCCTCCACCCGAGTTCGCCGGGACACACTTCCCAGCCCCCCCCAGCCTGACTGTGTCCCCGCCCGTGTCCGGCCCGTGTCCCCGCGGACAACCAACCCTGTTGGGGGGTGCTGGGGGGCGCGGCCGGCACGGAGCCTCGAGGCCGTCTCCCGTCCCCTGCCCCGAACACGGGCTCGGCCGGCCTGCGCCGCGCCCGCGCCCGGGTTTCCTTTCAACACTTCGGAAAGGGAACCCCCAGAGGCCCGGGGCGCTGGGACGTTTCGCGGGCATTGGCGGGGATCCAGGAGGGGGGCGGCGGGGCCCCAGAGGAAGCCGCCGGGGTGATGCACTGACCTGCGCCCGAGCTCCGGCGGCTGCGCCAGGGGGTGCCCGGATCGCCGCCCGCGCAGCCCGACCCCATTGTGTCCCGCCGCCTCCTGGCAACCGCGTCGCGCCGGCCTGGCTCCGCCCCGGCCCGCGCCCGCCTGGCCTGGCCGTGTCCGCGGCGCTGGGAGGCGGCCCCCAGGCGGCCCAGGCCAGGACTCGACCTCACGCCTCCCCAGGCTGCCGTCCCTCCAGAACCCACCCCGCTGCGGCAAAGCAGCAAGAAAACAGCGAAACTGAAGGCGGCGGCCTGGCCCGGCCCAGGAGGGCTCCCGGAACCGCTCCCGCCCCGCGCTCCCTCCCTTCCCCGTGCTCCCCTCCCCCACACTCCCCCCAAGACTCCGCAGACCCCCCCACACTCCCCCCACACACTCCCCCAAGACTCCGCAGACCCCCCCACACTCCCCCCACACACTCCCCCACACTCCCCCCAAGACTCCGCAGACCCCCCACACTCCCCCCACACACTCCCCCAAGACTCCGCAGACCCCCCCACACTCCCCCCACACACTCCCCCACACTCCCCCCAAGACTCCGCAGACCCCCCACACTCCCCCACACTCCCCCCAAGACTCCGCAGACTCCCCCACACTCCCCCACACACTCCCCCCAAGACTCCGCAGACCCCCCCACACTCCCCCCACACACTCCCCACACTCCCCCAAGACTCCGCAGACTCCCCCACACACCCCCACACTCCCCACACTCCCCCCAAGACTCCGCAGACTCCCCCACACACCCCCACACTCCCCACACTCCCCCCAAGACTCCGCAGACCCCCCCACACTCCCCCCCACACTCCCCCACACTCCCCCCAAGACTCCGCAGACCCCCCCACACTCCCCCACTCCCCCCAAGACTCCACAGACTCCCCCACACTCCCCCCCACACTCCCCCCAAGACTCCGCAGACCCCCCACTCCCCCCACACACTCCCCCACACTCCCCCCAAGACTCCGCAGACTCCCCCACACTCCCCCCACACACTCCCCCCAAGACTCCGCAGACCCCCCCACACTCCCCCCACACACTCCCCCACACTCCCCCCAAGACTCCGCAGACTCCCCCACACACCCCCACACTCCCCACACTCCCCCCAAGACTCCGCAGACTCCCCCACACACCCCCACACTCCCCACACTCCCCCCAAGACTCCGCAGACTCCCCCACACTCCCCCCACACACTCCCCCACACTCCCCCCAAGACTCCGCAGACTCCCCCACACACCCCCACACTCCCCACACTCCCCCCAAGACTCTGCAGACCCCCCCACTCCCCCCACACACTCCCCCACACTCCCCCCAAGACTCTGCAGACTCCCCCACACTCCCCCCACACTCCCCCAAACTCCCCCCTACTCCCCCCAAGACTCCAAAGACTCCACCCAACTCCCCCCACACTCTCCCCACACACTCCCCCCACTACCCCCAAGACTCCGCACACTCCCCCCCACTCCCCCCCACATCCCTCCACACACCCCCCCATCACCCCCCCCACTCCGCCCCTCCAAAACCATCCGGGGAACACCCAGGCTCAGGGTCCAGAACAAGACTGAGCACCGGACACCGATTCAAAAGTGAAGCAAACTGACTTAGAAAGTAGCACATGTCCCTTCTCCGGCCGCGAAGGGCCCCCTCTGGGCGGGGGCAGCTGCCCCTCAGGAAAGCAGAGCCTGTGTGACCCGAGGAGCAGCTGGAACAGGGGCCTCCCTGGGGCCTGGGGCTGGAGTCTCAGGGGAGCCTCCCACAGGCCGGGCCGACCCCCCTTGTCTCCGCTGCCCCTCAGCAGGGTCTCGCCTGCTCTGCTCCCCACTTTGGCTCTGGGGAGTCCTCTCCCCCCCACCTCTGGCCTGCCCCCCGCTCTCGTAGCATACATAAAAATAAATGTTCTTAACAAATTTTAGATACACGTAGCGTTCGCTCCACAAGCGGTGGGCGAGAGGAGAGGAGCAGCTCCGCCAGCGGCCAGGGGAACGGCAACGAGTGAACCCCCGCTGGGGCGGCCAGGGGACCCCATGCACCCCGTCCACCCTGTCCACCGAGGACCTGCGCAGCCAGGGCAGGCCTCGGGGGGCTCCCCCCGCGGAGGGCATCAGGGTGAGGAAGCGGGAGGGGCCGGATGCCCGGGCCCTTGGGACAGGCCTGGGAGGGAGGCGGCCTGGGAGGGAGGCTGATTCTGCTCGCCAGGCCCCGCGATACCCACCCCCCCCCCCCCCCCCCCCCCCCCCCCTGCAGCCGGGCGCTGCTGGGGGGAGGGGGGAATGCCGAGTGTCGAGTGTCGAGGAGCCTCTGGGCCGCGGGGGCCAGGGCGGTGGGCTTGTCCCCGGCACCCGACAGGCAGCGGGCGGAAGGCAGGCAGGCGGGGAGGGGCAGCCCTTCCCAAGGACACAGGATGGGCGGCCGGGCCGGGCCTGACGCCGGCGAAGTAGCCGCGGGCAGCTGAAGGCCGAGGAGGAGGAAAGGGCCTGGGCGCAGAGCCAAGCCGCGAGCGCCGGACAGGACCGGCCCTTCCGGCCCGGGGCGGCCCTCGCTTGGCCACTGTGAGCACTGACGCTGGTCTCCGTCCTCGCCTGGCCTCCCCCACCGAGGCTCCGCCGCCGCACGCTCTCATCGGCCCCGGGGAGCCGGCGGCGCCCCAGCGCGAGGCCCACCTTAGGGCAGGGCCCACCTTTCACTGTCACCCCATAGTGGGGGCGGGGCGCCGGCACCCCGGGGGTGACACACCTGAGGCTCCCCGGGGCCCAGGCTGGGTGCCAGGGACGCTCCTGGCCAGGCCCTGCTGCCCCAGCCAGGGGCGACTCCCGCGTTGCTGGAGGGGGACAAAGGTGTGCGGGGGGGGCTGGCCCGCCTCGGACTCTGTTCCCCGCCCGGAGCCAGCCGAGGGGCCAGCAGGCGGGTCCAGCCTCCGTCGGGGGGCGGGGGGGGGGCAGTGCGCTGCAGGAGGGCGGCTGGGAGGGGACATCGGAGGGCCCTGGGCACAGGGCGCCCCGCGGGCGGTGAGAAGCCCGGCCAGTGAAGAGGGAAATTAAACGTTGGGTTTTCTTTATTGGGGTCGTTCCGCCCCTCTTGACAGCTTAGAAAATTGCTTTGAAAAACGGAACCAGGAAGGTGCAGAGGCTGCGGGAGGCCGGTGCCGGCCCCCTGGGCCCGCTGGGGAGGGGCAGGGGGCGCCCTCCTCACTGTGCCAGTGACCAGGACCCGCGCCCCCGCCCCCCCAGGGCCTGCAACCCCTCTCGGGTTCCTCCTCTGATTTCATCAGCGCCTCGGGTTGCGGAGGCTGCAGATAGCATCTCCCTTGGGGTAACTCTCTCCCCGCGGCCCCCTGAGTTGGGCCCAGACGCAGAGGAGGGACACTGCTGATGCCAGCGCAGAACGACATTGGGGAGCACTGACCTCTGCTGCCGGGTTCCATGGAGGCGAGGTGGGGGCAGGAGTGGGGGGCGTGAGGGAGACCCCAGCTCTCCCACTAGGCCCCTCAGAGAGGGCGGCCCCGCCGCAGATGGAGGCCCGCCCCTCCCCTCCAGGGGGAGCGGCCTGTCCCCTGCAGGGGCCACCTTAACCGGGGGCCGTGTGGGGCACCGGGCTGGGCAGCTTCCAGCCGGCCGCCGCGGGGGCTGGGTCTGCAGCCCAGCACCATGGCCCAGGGCGGAGCAGCGGCCGCCAGCCCCGGCTGGAGCTGGGCCGGGGCCGGGGCCGGGGCCGGGGCCGACGACTGGGCGCTGACCCTGCTGGCGCTGGCTGTGGTGGCCGCCACGGCGCTGGCCTTGCATTGGTTTGGCTCCAGACAGGACCCGGAGGCAGCGGGGCCGGCGTCTGCGGTGCCCGGCACCGGGCTTTCTCGGGCGGGAGGAACCGGGCCCGCCCTGCTCCCCGGGGCCGAGGTCAGTGGTGGTGGCCAGGGGCGAGGCTCAGGGCAGGGGGGCACAGGGGATGCGGGACACGCGCAGGCTGCCGCAGGGGCCTGCGCTCAGGCGTCCCCGGGAGGCCTCGCTGCCCCCGCTGCCCCTCCACTGGAGACCCCCCGTGAGGTGGCCTGCGGGGGGCCCTTGGGACAGCAGCGTGGCCACACCCCCGAGGCCCCCCCAAGTAAAGGAAGGGAGCCTCTGAGGGCAGGCAGCAGCAAAGTCGGGGGGACGTCTGCGGCCCTCCTCATACACTTCACCCCGCAGAGTCCCGGCAGAGAAGAGGAGGTTCGAGCGAAGGCGGGAGGCCTCCGAGCCCAGGTCCCGGTGCCCCGGGGCCTCACAGGGCAAGACTCCAGCCCCTGGAAACAAGGCTCGAGGCCACCCAGCTCCCTGGGGAGAGGCCCCGGCGGCCCCCCCCAGGCGAACCACGGCTCAGGGCACAGTGTCTACCGCCCCCCAAAACTGGACCACCTGCGCTTGGGCACCGTGGTGAGCGTGTGGGACACGGTGGATGCTGCCAGTGGCCTCTGGGCCACCCCCGTGAGGCCCAGCGCGCAGGCCGGGGCCCTTGGGGATGGCTCAGAGGGGGGGCTCAGGAAGGGCAGCTCCCCAACAGCCTCAGTCCTAGCACTGGGCTCAGCGGTAGATGGAGGCAAAAGTGGGGAGACTGGGCCCCCAGCCTTCAGGGAGTCTCGGGGCTCCCCAGGGTCCGTGGAAGGCTGGCCGTGGGCCAGGAGGGAGGTCCTCGTCACCGGGAGCTTCAGCCAAGCCTCAGACGCCACACGCTCTTGGCCAGAGGCGCGGCAGTGGGGACATTCCCCCCTGTCCCAGGGGTGGGGGGCCACGGAGGGTGGGGCTGCTGTCAGCATGGGGCGCGGCACGGCAGAGGAGCCAGGCGGCCACCGCACCCCAGAAGAGAGAGGATCCGGGCAAGGCCAGGGGGATCCCGGCAGCAGCCGGCAGCCTGCGGGTAGGGCTGCCGACCAGGGGCTGGGGCGGCCCCCGGACAGAGAGAGGCCAGGCTCAGACCCCTGCCGGGGCCCCGGGTCTCAGAGTCCCCCTGCCCTGCCCCGCCCTGAACCCCCAGAGTACCCCCAGCCGCTGGGCTCCCCGCCCACAGCCCCTCGACCATCAGGTGCCTTCCCCGCAGCCCCCACACTCCCGGCCTCCTCTTCAGACTTGCCGCCTTCTTGGGTTCCTCCTGAGTGCGGAAACCTCGGGTCAGCTCCACCCACGGCCCCGGCCCCGGCCCCGGCCCCGGCCCCGGCCCCGGCCCCGGCTCCCACTCTGGCTCCTACTAGAGGGCCCAGGCCTGCATCTCAGGGACCCCGTGCGGCTCTCTGCAAGGGTGACCAGGGGGCGCAGGACTCAACTAGCTGGGGAAACCTTATTTTGATGGTTCTTAGGAGTCACCCTCTCCCCAGGCAACCTCCGTCACGAGGGAGAGCCCCAAGCACCCACCCTGAGGGCCCCAGCGGCCCCAGCAGTTTCCCACCCTCTGGGAGCAGAAGGTCTGGTGCGCCCCCCGAAGGGGCTGCGCCCAGGGAGTCAGCAGGGGTGCACCCCGGGGCTGGCACAGGGAGTGGGGCTGAGGCTGCCCCTCAGCCACAAGAGGGGAGCGCGGAGGCCAAGGGGGTGTGCACCCCAGGTCCTTCCTCAGCTGCAATGCCCAGGGCACCCCCCAGGCCCTGCGAGCCCACAGCACCCTCCCGCGCCTCCAAGAGGGACTCACAGCCGGTCCCCCGGCCACGGAAACGCAGCCCGGGCGAGGCCGTGGAGAGCGCTCAGGGGGTCCACCCGGCGGCCCCGGAGCGCAGCCCCCGAGAGCGGAGCCCCGGGGAGCGGAGCCCCGGAGCGGCGCGGGGGGCGCGGCGCGGGGCGCGGCCCACCGAGGCGCAGCTGGAGGCCCGCAGACTCCTGGCGTTCCTGCAGAGGCCGGGCAGCTGGGGCGCGCCGGAGGGCGCGGGGAGGCCCAGCGCGCGGGCCCCGGAGCCGGCGGCGTTGGCGGCTTGGCGGCAGCGGCTGGACCTGGGCAGCTGCCCCGACGCGCTGGCCTTCGCGCGGCGGCACGGGGAGCCGGGGCTGGCGCGCGCCGCGTACGCGCTGCTGAGCGACCACCTGCTGCGCGCGCTGGGCCAGCCCGGCCTCTACCGGCGCCTGAGCGCGGCCGAGCGCCAGCGCGTGCTGAGCCTGCGCACCGGCCGCGGCCCCGCGGTGCTGGGCGTCCTCGCGCTGCCCGGCCTCTACCAGGCCGGCCGCCCGGGGCCCGCCCGGGGCCCGCCGGCGGCCCCGCCCGCGCCCCGCGCGCCCCGCCCGCACCTGCACGTGCTCGACCCGCGCGAGAACGCGTGGCGGCCCCTGGCGCCGGTGCCGGACGAGGCGCCGCTGCGGGGCTGCGGCCTCTGCACCATGCACAACTACCTGTTCCTGGCGGGCGGCGTGCGCGGCTCCGGCGCCCGGGCCGTCTGCTCCAACCGCGTCTTCTGCTACAACCCGCTGACCAACGCCTGGGGCCAGGTGCGGCCCATGCGGCAGGCCCGCGCGCAGCTCAAGCTGGTGGCCCTGGACGGGCAGCTGTACGCCATCGGCGGCGAGTGCCTGTACAGCGTGGAGCGCTACGACCCGCGCGCCGACGCCTGGGCCGCGCGCGCGCCGCTCCCGGCCGGCACCTTCCCCGTGGCGCACGAGGCGGTGGCCTGCCGCGGGGACATCTACGTGACCGGGGGCCACCTCTTCTGCCGCCTGCTCCGGTACCGCCCCGAGCAGGACGCCTGGGACGAGCGCCCCTACAGCGCCGGCCACCGGCGCTCCAGCGACATGGTGGCGCTCGGGGCCTTCCTGTACCGCTTCGACCTGCTGCGCGGCGTGGGCGCCGCCGTGACGCGCTACAACACGGTGACCGGCTCCTGGAGCCGCGCGGCCTCCCTGCCCCTGCCGCGGCCCCTGCCGCTGCGCTGCGCCGTGCTGGGCGACACCATTTACTGCCTCAACCAGCAGGTCACCGCCACCCTCGTGGTCTGCGAGGGGACCGCCCGGTTCCAGGCCAAGGGGCTGCAGCCCTTCCCCCTGGGCAGCAAGGACGTCCTCTGCCCCTTCACCCTGACTCTGCCCGCGGCCGACCCGCAGCAGATCGCCCTGGGAGCCGGCGGGCGGGGCTGAGCGCCAGAACTTTCGCCCTGGTGTCTGGAGCGACTCTCCCTCTGGGTGGGTTCGGACCCCCTACGCCTCGCCCCCCACCTCCGCCACCGGCAGGGAGCGCCCCCCCCAACCCCCTGGCTTCCCTCCTGCGTCTGCTCACAGCACCCGGCTGGCCCCTGCGTCCACGGCTTGGTTCTGTCCAGGCCTCAGGGGCTCCCCACCTCCGTCAGGGCCCCTCCCTGGGCTCCAGGTGGGGGTGTTTGTGGGACCCCGAGCCCCAGGACTCGGCTCCTGGGAAGGACACGAAGACACACCCGTACAGGACCCCCACGCAGAGGGAGGGGGAGAGGGAACAAAGAAGTCCCCCTGAACACCCTTCCTTCTGGGACTCTGCTGTCTGGAGGTGCTGGGGAGCCTGGCTTGGTTTTCCCAGGAGTAGCTTTGGCCACCACCCCTCCCTTGTCAGCGGATCCCTAAGAGCCCAGAACCTGTGGTGAAACTGCTGTGCTGTGACTCCGCCGCGCAGGCTGCAGCCTCAGGACCTCTCCCGCCCACTCCTCAGCCCGCCCTCAAGGGAGCCAGGGTGAGGCTGCCACCCATCCCCTGGGAAACGGCGCTGAGGACCGAGCCCGGGCGGGGCTGGACAGCCAGTGCCGCCTCCGCTCTGGCCCCACGGGAAGGTGGAGCCGCTGCCTGGACACTGCGTCCACCTGCCCCGTCCCTGTCTGGCGGCTTTCCCTTTTCCTTCCGCGCTTGGTCCTGCTGGCAGCAAACGCGTGTCATGTGGGGAGCTTCTGTAGCTTAAACCGGTGGCGTTTGGTCGGCAGGACTTGGTGCGCAGCGGGGCGGACGAGAAGCGCCCTCCGGTTGTGCTCCAAAATACGTTTACTGACAGACACGTGCTGGGCAGGGCGAGGGGCGCGGCCCCGCCGGGCCGCTACTGCGGGCGCTTGGTCTCGCTGAGCAGCTGCTGCCAGTTCTTCTCCATCTCCTCCTTGCAGCCGAGGAAGGCGTCCTCCAGCCTGCGCATGGCCTCCGCCAGCCCGGGGTTGGTGCGCATGACCACCATGTCGTAGGCCATCCACGTGGCCTGCACTGCAACGACCAGACAGGCCCGTCAGCCTGGGCGCTGGCTTCTGGGCCCCGGACCAGACCCCACTGAGCCACCCACTCTACCGAGACGAGGCCGGCGGGCTACGGTTGTGGGGGCTCCGCAAAACCGTCCGTCTCTGACCCACAGAGCCACGAGAAAGTCCCTCATGGAGCAAAGGCCTCGGCTCCTGGGTCCACCAGCCCAGCACGGGAGGCTGGAGGCCAACCTGACAGGACAGGGCAGGAACAACCAGAGCCAGCTCAGGCCCTTGCCGGCCTGCAGCCTGCGGCCAGGCCTTGAGGCCACCCGGGCTCACAGGCCCGGGGCCGCCCCACCTCTCCTGCAGGCCCGAGGCTCATGTGACCCAGCCCAGCGGCCCAGGCCGGCCCTCTCCACCTGGGCTTCCATCACGCCCGCTCAGGCTCCACTCTGGGAGGGCGTGCGGCACCCAGGGACGTGCCCTCAGCTGCGGCACCGCCCGCCTCTGGCTCGTCCCCTTTGGCAGCCGTGGCCAGGCCTGTGGGGATGAGCTTCCCGCCAGGCGTGGGCGGGCGTGTGGGGAAGCCCACGGCGCTGGCGGAGAACAAGGCTCGCCTCCCTTCCACAAGCCAGCCGCCCCGGGAAGCACATCCCTGCTCAGCCAAAAAAATACCGGAGACTTTGGGAAACGGTCCTCAAGGAAATTAGCCAGAGCAGAGACCGCGGACGGACAGACACTAAGCGCCAGGTGTGTCGGCATGCAACGCAGCCGAGGGCGGTTTCTCAGGGCTGACGTGTTTGGTTAGAGGAAACGTGAGAGAGGCGTGGGCAGCATCGCCAGATGGGGGCGCGAGTGCCGGGGCACCCCGCCCCACGCGCACGGCACCCCAGGCCTGCAGTCTCGCACCCTGGCACCACCCTCTACCATTCTGGAGCAGGGGGCCTGCAGACCAGGGCGGCTCCAGGGTCCCCACTTGTGAGCGGTGTGGCCGGAGCTTATGACTTAACTCGCAGCCTCAGGCTCAGCACCAGGCCCGGTTCCCGGCTGGCCGTGAAGGGCACACAGACGACACCGGCAGGTGGCACGGCGCACACCAGGTGCTCAGAGAAGGGAGACGCACCCCTAAAATAAGTCATCCTTCAAAACTGAAGCTCAAAGGGGTGAATATGCCCTACGAGAGTGCCCTGAAAGTTCTATTTGTTAAAACAGACAGTCCAGTGGGAGAAAACTGTCGGCTCAGGGACAGACTCAGGAGATATGCGGATTAGTATGCGGTGAAAGTAACGCCACAAATTAATGAAAAAAGAACAATGTATTACAGATAGGGTGAAGATAGAAATGTGAAGACCAAGTAACAATATTAGATCAAAATTTAGCAGAATACTTGTGATCTAGGGACTTCTTAAAAAATCACAAACCAGGGCCTCCCCTGTGGCGTGGGGGTTGAGCGCTGGATTGCGAGGCTCCCCGCAGCCTCTGCAGCGCCGGTTCGATCCCCGGCTGCTCCCCGGCCACCGGAGGAGGGTCCCACATGGCGCGCAGACCTCTCCTGCCGCCCGCTGCTCCCCTCAGCAGTGTGCTTCGGTCCTTCTGCCTGCTCTGCTCCCCGCTCTGGCTCTGGTGAATTCTCTCACCCTCCCGCGCTGACTGTGCCCAGTGCTTGTGTAAATAAATAAATAAATCTTTTAAAAAAAAAAAATCACAAACCACAAGGCAAAAAATAACTGAATTTGTTTTTATCAAACAATTGTTTTCAACTCGGGACAATACGGGAAGGCAGAAGAAACATACGCTTCTTAAGACTGATGATGGGTTAATATCCAGCCTATGTAACAAACGGCCTCAAATGTGTGAGAAGAAGGCAGGAAATGAAATGATTTTTGAAACCCTGGAATACGGCAATGTGGTCAAGAGGAGGAGACGAGGCCACCTGCACGCTGCGGCGGGACGGCCAGCTGTGTCGCGGGAAGCTGTGGGGCTTGGGCAGAGGTGGCCTCATGCGTCCCTTCCGGGAAACACCTCACAGTTGCGGCTGCCTCAGCAGGACGCCCAGGGCAGCGCTCCCCATAGGCTCCCCAGTGCCCGCCGAGCAGTGAGCGAGGCCTGAAGCCACCAGGAAGGAAGGGCGTCCTGTGCTGAGGGGACGTGCTCAGTCACGCCAGAAACGGCAGCCCGGAGCACACCACGGGGTAGGGGTGGGGGGCAGGACACGCCGCTGTGCTGCGTGTTCAGTCCTCTGTCAGGAAACACCCACATTAGGTGAGTCCGCAGAGATGGAAACAAATGGTTGTTGCCCGCCTGGGACCGGGGCTAGAGCCTGGGATGGCTGCTCCGGGTGGACGGCGTGTCCTGCTGGGGTGATAAGAATGTTCTGGAACTAGTAGAGCTGGTGGTCGTACTACATGGTGCATGTTTAAATGCCGCTGAATGTGTATTTTAAAACAGTTAATCTTATGCCACGAGAATTTCACCTCAATTAAAAAAAAATGCAATGCAGATACTGGAATTACCTTCATTTGTGTGAAGTGGGCACAGGACCTGGGAGGTTAAGAACCAAGGTCACAGAACAGGAACGTGGCAGGGCCGGGCGTGGCCAGGGGTCAAGTGGCGTCCACCCCTAACAGCGCAGCACAGGCCTCTCAAAAGGAACCCCTAAAACTAACAAGTATGTGAAGAGAGACAGGGACTCGAGAGAGGGAGAAGTCCCGCCTATAGCTGCCACCGTGTGTCTCTTAGACTGGCAAAGCAAAGAGGCTGGATAACAGCAATTGTCTGTAGGTGCTCTGGCCGGCCCCGCGGGGGAGTTTGGCTCAGGCGGCTGGGGTCTGGTGGTGACCCCCAAGTGACCGTGGCCCCCTGAGCACAGATGCACCAGAACGCTCCTTGAGGTGTCGTGCTGCTGGGCACAGCTCTAGGAAGTCTTGGTGCATGTTACTGGGAAGAACAGAGCAGCGAAAGGGAGGCGCCTCCATCAGGCCCTGAGGGCTCCATTGGAGAACAGTGGCCTTGACCTCATTGCACAGCCTCCATGTGAAAAGGGCACACGTTGAGCCTCCTGGGGACCTGAGGGTCAGTCTTAGGCTGTCACGCTGCGACCCGAGTGCAACCCCAGCCAGGGAGCGGACCCACAGGGCACAGCAGACTCCTCCTGTCTCTGCACTGCCCCCCTCAGCAATGGGGAGCAGCCTGTTCTGCTCCCTACTCTGTCTCTGGGAAGTCCTGTCACCCCTGCACCTCTGGCCTGCACCCCAGCTCTTCTACACACACACAAAAAAGAAAAAAAATTAGACTTTTATTGCCCCCCAAATTAGAAAACTGTACAGAACATTTATATGAAAACAGAATTATAAAAAAAACGGGAGGATATGAAACACAAGCTAAGGAAACAATCAGCTGAAGGGGAAATCAGGAATCTGACATCAGTTTAAAGAACGAGTTGGGGCAGCCCCAAGGCGAGGGATTGCGGAGGGGCGGAGACAGCCCTCCCCTGCCAGGCTGGAGAAAGTCACTATGCTCCTGCAGGGAGGGAAGGGCTGTGTCCAGAAGCCAGGCCCTGCCATGCAGCACTTGTGTGTATCATCAACTTTAAAGTTTACTTAGAGAACTTACAAAACAAATTTTTAAATTATCAGAACTGAGCCCTTTCTGTGACCTGCTCCACTACACTGTCACTCTGTCTCTAAGACGACAGCGTTTTCTCATGCCCTGCGTTCCTGAGCGGGGTCAGATCACCCTAATGCTGTGAACTTACTATTATCACTTAGTGGCCTACTCGACCACTAAGTTAATTATCATTGGAACATTTGCCAAAAAAGAGAATCTTTAGTACACCTAAATAAAAAGGCAGCCCACAGCCTGGTTCCTTTGGCAGACAGATGAATTAGAATTACATTACAGGGCCTCCCTGGTGGTGCAAGGGGTTAAGCACCGCACTATGAAGCCACCCGCAGCCTCTGTAGCACGAGTTTGATCCCTGGCTGGCCAGGGAGAAACCCACATGGCGAAGCAGACCTCTCCTGTCTCGCCCACTGCTCCCCTCCGCAGTGTATTTCAGTCAGTCTGCCTGTTCTGTTCCCCGCTCTGTCTCTGGTGAATCCTCTCACTCCCTGCATCTCTGGCCTGTACCCCAGCTCTTGTATGCAGAAATAAATAAATCTTTTTTTAAAAAATATTTATTTATTCATTTATACAAGAACTGGGGCACAGGCCAGATTCACGGGAGGGTGAGAGGATCCACCAGAGACAGAGTGGGGAACAGAACAGGCAGACTGACGAAATACACTGCTAAGGGGAGCAGCGGGCAAGACAGGAGAGGACTGCCACGCCATATGGGACCCTTGCTGGCTGGCTGGGATCAAACCGGCGCTGTAGAGGCTGCGGACAGCTTCACAGCACTGCGCCACCAGGGGAGGCCCAAAATAAATAAATCTTAAAAAAAAAAAAATTCCATGTTACAAAGGAATACAAGGGAAAGCAGAAGAAAGTAGAGCACAAGTAAGCACGTTTCCCTGATCAAGGGAAAGGACTAGGGACTAGGGAAAGGTTTTCTAGGTATCAAGCAATGGGAATAAATTAAAAAGGAAAATATTGATAGATTTTTACTATATAAGACTTGTATTTACTAAAGCTTCATACACAGAATTTAAAGTAAAGCAACAAACCGGAAAAAAATTTACTATAATTTTGAACAGACTTTATAATCTCAGCACACAAAGAGTTCTGACAATGCAATAAGAGATTCTGCGGCAGAAACCCGCTGTCCCCACTGCACACTCGGAGCCAGCACTAGCTTAGCTTTCCATCCCGTGAAAGGCCCCGGAGTGGGTTTCCTGCCTGCAGTCTGCTCGCCCCAGACCAAGCCTCACACAGTCCCCAGGGCTCCCTGCTAGACCCCGTGTCTTCCTTGAACCCCTCTGGCTCCGACCCACTGGACGCTGAGTGCTGAAGGTCTCTCTCACCTTCAGCCTTCACTTTCTCTGAGCTGTCACCTCTTGAGTGCCATGTGCCAGGCTGGCCCCTGTGCCACCAGGCTTTCCTTCCGGCCCCGGCCTGGTGGTCTCTTTCCGACCCCACCCCTTCCCGCCACCCCCAGTGCCACAGCCTTCTTGTCCTTCCCCAGCACTCAATCCAAGTCTTACTCTCCTCCCCAAGCAGTCAATCTTTCCTCCCTCTCCCTCCCCATTAACTGGGGGTACCCCCTCTTTAGCATTTGCCAATATAATATTGAACTATGTTTTGATTTAATTTTTTTTAATTTATTTATTTGTTTGCTTGTTTGTTTGTTTTGTTTATACATGCACTGGGTACAGTCAGAAGCGCGGGAGGGTGAGGGAATTCACCAGAGCCAGAGCGGGGAGCAGAGCAGGCAGAGGGACCGAAGCACACTGCTGAGGGGAGCAGCGGGCGGCAGGAGAGGTCTGCACGCCATGGGGGACCCTCCTCCGGTGGTAGGGGAGCAGCCGGGGATCGAACCGGCGCCGCAGAGGCCGCAGGCAGCTTCGCAACCCAGCGCTCAACCGCTGCGCCACCGGGGAGGCCCTGTTTTGATTTAATTTTAATTTATAGGCTTCAATTAGTCTTTTTCCAGCCCCACCACTATTTTGAATGAAGCAGCTTCCCTCTTCAAATCTATGTTCCTAGAACACTTATGCTCAGTAAATGCTGTTACTGGGAGAGTATTTAATTAGCTTGAAGGAATCATTTAATTTAAAATGAAAATTCATTATAGAACTTTAAAAAAGGGAGTTAAACATATTTTTTTTGCAAAAATCGCAAACATGTCTAAGTAGAAATTTTCTAAAGCCTGTGGCAATGGAGATTTGCAAGCTAATAATGACGTTGAAGATAGTTTGTTTTCATTTGAGTAGAGTATGCATGCTTTCTAGAAACTGTCTTACTTTATGATTTTCTCCAGCAAGATGAACTCACAGTTTATAAGAATGACACAAATTCTAAGTCAGTAAAGAAAACTACAACGCCACCGCTGCAGGCTGGCCCCAAGCAGCGGGCACACGCTGACCAAAGCCACAGCCCTCACCCTCTCCTAAACGGGCACTCATCCCGCCCTGGCCGCCATGTCCCCAGGCCGTGGCTCCATTTCCACGGCTCACTAGTCTGAGCACAGTTATCTCAGTTCTTTTTATTGATAAACGGCTCACAGAGAGAACAGTCCAGTTCTGCCCACAGGGGTCGTCTGAGCATCATCTGTCATCCGCGAGTACTTGCACTTGGGCCTGGTAATGTGCCGGTAACTAAAGAAGTCACTATGTCATCCCTCAAGAAGGTAACGGTCCAGGGCAGAAATAAGGTGCAAACACACAGAGAACAGTCAGAAAACAACTCGGGGCACAGTCAGCAGTGTCAGTTTGTGGTGAGAGCTCGCCATGTCTAGGCCGAGAGCCGGTCGGGGAAGTCTACCTAAGAAGGCGCTTGGTTTGAACGTGGACGTGGAGGGAGGACTTGGCCTATGAGCAAGAAGGGGAGACGTCTTGCATGGGGAAACAGCCTACCTGAGATTTTCTCCATTTCTTCCAGTAGCTTTTCCAAGTCTTTATTCAGGTCTGACAGCATTTTCAGCATGTTGTCGTATTTCTTTTCCCCAGGGTCAGGGTCAGCCATCTGGGGATCGCACAGAAAGAAGCCAGGTGAGCCAGGCCACCTTTCAACCCATCCCACCACTCATAGCTGGCAGCCCAGGAACCAGAGGTCATCTTTCTTTCTCTTCTTGACCTGAGGGGTCACCGAGAGTTATCACTTTCATTTGCTCATAGAATAAATAGTGAATGGTCCATGGGTTAGGGAGGCCCAGTGGTAGGGAGCCACCAGAGAACCGAAGCCTGCCCTCGCGGCCCTCCTTAAAGAGAGGCACCCTTTCCAGTCTCTTCTGTCCGTTGCTTCCTTCCTCTCTTCACGACTGTGCTTTAACTGAGGTCCTCGAAATCCACCACCGATTACAGGCTGCTGAGGACCGGCTCTCCACCAGACACGCACCAGAGTCCTGTGGGCACTGCAGTGCATTTGTGGATCCAGACAGAAGATGTTCTGGTGGGGAGGACAGTTCATAAACACAACACAAAACTGTGAAGTTGTAAAATCTCTACAGTTTTCTAACAAAAGAGATAAAGAAATGCAAAATGGAAGAAAATAATTTATTATGTGAGTGGTTCCAAAAATCTGTGATGGCAACATAGTAGGTAATGATTCAATTCGTGTCTAAGCCATGTGGGTACCTGGCCAATTCACCAAGGTCCAAAGCTCCAGTGATGTTTTATTGATGCACTCAACATACTGATTGAGCACTAGTTTTGATTCTGAAACTATAGCAATAAAGAAGGTAAATTGAGAAACCCTTGGTCTCATGAAGCTTATATTCTAGTGGGAAGAAGAAAAAAAAACATTAATAAGTGAAATAAATACGAGGGGATAAAAAAAGCCCCCCTAGAAATGGAGGGTGGGAGAGGGCGTGTGTAGGGCAGAGGCTGCAACTTAAATAAGTGTGCAGGGACGGCCTTGCCGAAGCAATTCTGATAAGAGACCTAGAAGAAGTAACAGAAGGAGCCGAGCAGGTGTCTGGGGAAAATGGATCCCCAAATGCAGGAGAAATGTTTAAGAAAAAGGGCCCTTAGCCAGGAGCTTGCTGGCTGAGCCAGAGGAAAGCAGCGAGAGCAGTTTCGCTGCTACAGAGAACGCAAGCGTAGAAGATGAGGTTACAATGCGGGCAGTGGTGTTATGGTGGGACTTCACCCACTGGAAAGACCAGCCTTTTATTTGAGTGAGATGGGAGCCTGGGGGGTGATAATCTGATGTACATGTCAATAAATTGCTAGGTTGAATAGCTGGGGTGGAGGGCATGGGGCAGAGAGACTATTAACAGCCATTGTAACCCAGTAAGAGATAGTAGCTTGGGTCAGCAGAGGAGTAATGGAAGCTGGGTGGTGGAGAATAGTCTTTTGAGGGCAGGGTGACCAGCTGCTGACGAGTCAGTGCAGAGGCAGAGAGAGCGCGAAGGCTTCTGACTGGCCGTCAGAAGGGGAGCTGTCATTCCCTGGGCTGGGGGGCAGCAACAGGTTGGTCACTGTAGGAAAGAACTCAGTGTAGTAGGTTGAAGATGCCTATGAGGTTTCCAAATCGGGCTGTTAATTTGGAAGCTGGACAAATGAGTTCAGGGGAGAGGGTACAGGTTAGAGATAGAAATTTTGGCATCATCAGGGGCCTCCCTGGTGGCGCAGCACTACGCATGAGTTTGATCCCCAGCCAGGGAGACAACCCACAGGGCGCAGCGGACCTCTCCTGTCTCCCTGCCACTCCCCTCAGCAGTGGATTTCAGTGGATCCGCGTGTTCTGTTCCCCTGTCTCTGGGGAATCCTCTCACCCCCCTGCACCTCTGGCCTGCACCCCAGCTCTTGTATGCATAAATAAATCTTTTAAAAAAAGGAAATGTGTGAGAGCATAAAGAACTAGAATTACTGTGAATATTTTATGTATTCGTATGTTTAACGGAATCCTTGTTTGTCATTCTAGTTTGAAATGTGAAATTGATTATTATAATTTTTAAGTCAAAATCTTACTAAGTTTATAAAGAGTTTTAGGATATGTAAGAGAAATTGAGGTTCACCAAATTTATATTTGACTTTGATATATTTGTAAGAATTATTTAAGGTGTGAAGATTTGTCATTAAGATAATTGAGGAACTTAAAGGTATATTAAAATGGAATATGTTAAGTTTATAATTACAGGAGCTTAAATTTTTCAATGGAACAAAAACATCACGTTACTATTTAACAAATCAAAGAATATTTTTACATTAAAAAAAGATTATGCATACAAGAACTGGAGTGCGGGCCAGAGGTGTGGGGTGCGTGCGTGTGTGTGTGTGTGTGTGTGTGTGTGTGTGTGTGAGAGAGAGAGAGGATTCACCAGAGACAGAGTGGGGAGCAGAACAGGTGGATCCACTGAAATTCACTGCTGAGGGGAGCAGAGGGGAGACAGGAGAGGTCTGCTGCACCCTGTAGGCAGCTCCCTGGCTGGCCAGGGATCGAACTTGTGCTGCAGTGGCTGCGGACAGCTTCACAGTGCTGTGCTTAACCCCTTGCGCCACCAGGGAGGCCCAATAATTTTACATTTTAAAGGACAGGTTTACTAGGAAAAAGAGAAAGAAAAAGAGGCTCCTGCAAAGGAGAACTGCCAGAAGAATTTAGAATAAGGTAACCTTATTTAGAATAAATAATTTAATAATCTTATTTAGAATGAGATTTATAAGTTAAACTTAAATTCTTGAGGAAGACTGGATTTTTAAATCAGTAACTGTAGTACCCTAAATGTTGATGTTTAAAACCTAAGTAAACATTCAAATATTCCTTTTTTTCTGCCTAAGAATGCCTTGTGAGGCACCAAAGCTCATATTTATCAGTATCAGGTCATGTGCTCATGTACAGCCCACATACCAGCCATGTAAAATCCCTGCTATGACAAACCCGGTGCCTTACGCCGTGCGCCACTGCAGGAGCCGGGGGTTCAATCGGCTAAGTATAAAGAGCTGCTGCCAAAATCAAGTTTCTTGGAAGAGCAGCAGTTGCAGCCTTCCCGAGGACCCTGAGGACAAGCACGAGCACTGAGCACGCTCTCCTGCCCACGTGCCTTTACACACATTGTTACTCTACTGCCAGAAACACTCAGCCCGGGGTCACTTCTAGGTCTGCCCTTTCATTTCCCACCAGGCAGCTCTGCAGGGTGGTCTGCACCTCCTTTACCCTCCCACAGCAACTATGCCAACTTTCAAGCAGTCACTGTTCGAGCGAGCGGCTTAGATTTCTAAGATCCTGTAAGGTAAGTACTTAATAATATTAACTAGGTTGCCCAAGGGTGCCCAGCGAGCGCTCGCAGCCCTGAGCCCCAGCGGTCTGGCTCCACTGTGCTCGCAGCACTTTGCACAATCTCGGCGCATTCTCAGGAGCGCATGAGTGGACAGAATGACAACAGGGAATGAGCAATCGCAGAAAGGTTCTGCACGTCTTGCCAGCAGGAGCTACTCCGATGCAGGCTCTTCCACTTATAGGCTGTGAAACGCTGGAAAGTCACACTGTTTCTTTATGTCTCAGTTTGCTCATCTGTAAAGTAGAAATGGCAGCTCCCTGCAGTAATCGTGAAGAACGCGGAGCCAGGCCAACTCTCCACACCACAAAGCCACGTGGCTGTGACACAAAGGAAGAGTGCCTGCCTGCATCAGAAAGCCACTGCTCAGAGCACACTTTGCTGTAACTAGGTGGGAAAGAGATATGAATCCAATCATATAAAAGCTGACATTTATTTCAAGATTAATATGCGCGAGGAATCATCCTCACAACGATGCCACGCTACAGAGCTGTCATCCCCACGCTGTCCAGAGGACGGAGAAGCAGCTAGCCAGAGCCAAACAGCGAGCACAACTGAGCAGAGGTGGAGCCGTGATCCCCGAGTTGGGCTCACCCGCACTGTTTTCTCGGGATCGCCTCAGAAGGCTTGGGCCCCCTGTTGGGACAGACCCAGCCACGGAGAGGAATGGATGTGGGTGGAAGGATGGGGCAGGGAGGCTTGTGCTGGGCGCGGGGCTGCCGGCGTGCGTGGCGCCTCAGAGCTGTGCAGGCCGAGCGATTCCAACAGCTAAAATGCAGCCCGAGAGCCCTGGGCAGGGGCTAAGTGGGCAGTCAAGATTTGAGGTGCTTTAGACATTGTGGGAAGAGATGAAACAATTCCCAGTGAGCGTATAAAAGGACAAGGGAAAACGGACTAGGAAGAAGCCTTCAAACGGTCAGCACCCAGAGCAGAAGAAAACAAGCCCCTCAGGCTCTCGCAGGGGCTAGAGGCCTGTGCCCGCGGGCTGTTTGGAGCCGGGCAGGGCCAGGGCAGCGGTGCTCACTGGGCAGAGGAAGCAACACCAGTGGGCCACAGGCAGGGGGTGACCGTGCCATAGAGAAAGTAAAGCGTCATGGCCCTGGTGGGGGCCTCTCTCCAGGTGGGAACCAGCATGAGCACATGGGGTGCCTGTCTGGGGGGGAGGGAAGGGGACAAGGCTCTGGGGCAAGTGTGGGCTGGACGCCCAGGGAGCCAGGAGGGGCCAGGCCGTCACAGGCCAGGCCATTGCCCCGTGTGTGGAATTGGGCGGCAGAGGAGGGGGTGACGGCTGGGACTGGGCTGCGCCCTGGTGGGTGCTGAGGGCCGCAGCAAGGCCGCGGGGCTGCGGGTCCGGCGGCGGCGCCGGCCGGCCCTGCCTCGAGACGCCGCGGAGGCGCTTCTGTGCAGGGACGGCCGTGGGCGCCGCGTCCTGCAGGCCGGGCCGGCTCGGGGCCGCTCGAGGAGCGCCGGACACCGGCCCCGAGAAGCCGCAGCGGCGCGGGCGAGGCGAGGGGCGGCCTGGGGGGCTGAGGGCGGCGGGCGGGGCCCAGGGGCGCCAGGCCCAGGCCGAGTCCCGCTTGCCCACCGGCGGGGAGCACCTCAGGGGACCCCGCTCCGGGGAAGGTGCACCGCGGCCCCCTCACGCGGGCGCGCCCAGGGTGCCGAGGGGCGGCACGGGGACCCCGGGGCGGCAGAAAAAAGGCGCGGGGAGCGGGCGGGTTGGCGGGCGCGGAGGGCGGGCTGGGGCCCCTCAGGTGTGGAGGCCGTGAGGGAATGGGGCCCTTCTGGGGAGGGGAAATGGGGGGACGCCGGCTGCCGGGGAGCCGGGTCGGGGCGGGGTGCGGCTGAGGGCCGTGGGGGGCAGTGAAGGGACGTGAGAGGCCATGGGCGGCCGTCTGTGGGCAGACGGGAGGGACCCTGCCGGCGTCTGTGGGGGCTGTGGGGGGTCGTGGGGCGGCGTCTGTGGCGGCGTCTGTGGGGAGTCGTGGGGCCGCGTCTGTGGGGGCTGTGGGGGGTCGTGGGGTGGCGTCTGTGGGGGCTGTGGGGGGTCGTGGGGCGGCGTCTGTGGGGGCTGTGGGGGGTCGTGGGGCGGCGTCTGTGGGGGCTGTGGGGGGTCGTGGGGTGGCGTCTGTGGGGAGTCGTGGGGCAGCGTCTGTGGGGGTCGTGGGGCGGCGTCTGTGGCGGGGTCTGTGGGGGGTCGTGGGGCGGCGTCTGTGGGGGGTCGTGGGACGGCGTCTGTGGGGGCTGTGGGGACCCGCGTGTGAAGCCGAGGGCTCGGGCCGGGACCTGGGGCGTCCGTGTTCGGAGCGGGGTGCGGGCGCGGCCCAGGGGGCGCTGGCCGAGGGCTGGGGCGGCGGCGCTCGGGGTGAGGGGCCGGGGTCGGGGTGCGGGCGAGCAGACGAGGGTCGGGGTGGGGTGCGGCGGCCGCGTGCGGGGGGCGCGGCGCCGGGCCCGCGGGCCGCCCGCTCACCTCGGGCTCCGCCTGAGCTCGTCGCCCGCCGCTTCCAGAGGCGGGAGGAGGCGCCGGCGCCGCGCCGCCCCTTTCCGTTACCAGCCCCGCCCCCGGGCGCCCCTCGCCCTCATTGGGTGGGCCCCGCGGAGGGGGCGGGGCCTGGGCGCGTGGCACGCCCACGTCGGGAGGGCCGCGCCGGCGCCGTGAGCGCCCATTGGCTAGCCGGGGCCGGGGGCGGGGCCGGGGCGGAGGCCGAGGGGAGCCCGACCCGCGCCGGGGGCCGGGGCCGCGCCTGCCCTGTCGGTGTCCGCGGGGGCCCCGCGCCCGGGACCGCCCTGGGCAGCGCGGCGCGAGGGCCGGCGAGGGCCCCGGCTCCCTGTGCGCGGCGCCGGGCCTCCGCGCGTCGGGAGAGGGGCGCGGGCGCGCGCCTGGGGAGGCGCGGCGGGCTCGGGGCCGCGGAGGGCGCTCGCGCGGGGGCTGGAGTCGGGGCGTTCGTGGACTTGCTTGGAAACCGGGGTGGCGGGCCGGCCTCGCGGCCTGGGAACACCTCCAGGGCCCACAGGCCTGGGCCTGCCGACCGGCCCGGGGGGCTTGTCCTGGCGCCGGGCGCGCGCCCACCCGGCCGGCCGAGCCCGCTGCTCGGCTGCCCCCTCCGGAGCTGCCAGCCGCCCCTTCCCAACCTGGTTCCCCGCGGCCCTTCCCACCCGTGAGCCCCGCGTGCTTCCATCCAGCCCTCACTCGGTTCCCCCGTGGCGCCCCAGAAGAGCAAACCAGGACCGGCTGATGAGGAGCAGTGAAGGAACCGCAGGGAAGAGGAGCCGCTCGGGCCTGAGAAGGCGGGCGCGGGCGTGGGCTGGCCAGCCTGCCTCCCTCGGGAAGGGGGACGCTGGGGCTCAGGTTCCTGGGAGGAACAACTGGGCTGGAATGTGTGGGACCAAGAAAGGGGGTCCCCCAGGCGTCAGTATGGGCCACTGTGCCCTCTGCTGTCCGCTGCACGCTACACGTCCCGGCTTCCCTTGCAGGCCAAGGCCTGGCAGGTCCGCTGCCCAGGCAGGCCCAGCCGAACCTCTGCCGTGCCAGCCTCACCCAGTCCCACGCCGCCGGTGAGTTGGTGCCCACAGCAACTTCAGGCTCCCTGCAAGGCATGGCCTCTGCAGCCGAGTCTTTTTTTTTTTTCTAAGATTTATTTATGTGTACAAGAACCGGTGCAGGCCGGAGGTGCAGGGGTGAGAGGATTCCCCAGAGACAGAGAGGGGAGCAGAGCAAGCAGATCCACTGAGACACTGCTAAGGGGAGCAACAGGGAGACAGGAGAGGGCTGCTGCACCCTGCGGGTCACTGCCTGGGAAGATTGCACTCAGGCTCCAGTGGCTGGTGACAGCTTGATAGTGCTGAGACTCACCCCTGCGCTCCCAGAAAGGCCCTGCAGCTGAATCTTTGATGAGCAAGAATCTGCTGGGGGTTTAACTGTTGTGGCCTCCAGCATGAAGGCAGATGGGTGGACCTGTGGGGTACAGGGAGCCCCCTGGATCTGATGGCTTGTTACCGTAGGCTTATGCCTCCACTGAGGACTGTGGTTTCTCCTTTTATATATTTTAACCAAGAACAAATCAGGTGTAAACATGTTTGATTGAGTCTCAACATGAGCTAAATGCTAGCATACTGCAAAGTCACTGTTCTCCCAGGGCCGGGAAGGTTGGTGTCCCCGGAAGCCTGCAGACACCCAGCGCCATCCCAGAGCGGGTTCCAAAGGCACCTGAGACACAAACCTCCGAAGACACCGCTGGGAGCCCAGAAAAGCTCTGCACTGATCGACAGACTGGGGTTGGGGCCTGCCCTGGGCCTGCTGGGTGCGCTCAGGGTTAACTCCTTCGAGCTGTTATGGGGCCTCGGTCACTCCTCGGCTCTCGGTTTATTTTTCCAAGAGTGTGGAGGCAATCACACCAATGTTCCTCAGGGCAGGCAAGTCAGACTCAACATTTAAGTCTCATTTAATCACCAACCACCCAAAATCAGCAGTGTGAGTTTCCTTCAGTGCCTCCCTGTCTGGGTTGCCAGTTCCTTTGGCAGTCAGCGCTTCCCAAGGGCTCGGCTTAAGTCCATCCTTCTCCCAACCCTGCCGCAGGGGTCGCGGTAACGGCAGTCCTGGTACCCGTAGTCTCTGTGCCATGGCCAGTCTGGGTATGTCATGCGCTAGCTGGGGCCTGCCCCATCAACATTTAGGTCAGGCATGGCCTCTACTCAAACCCCAGTGGCCCCCTGTTGCTTGGAGAAGCCAGAGTCTGCCCTCCAGGTCCTTCTTCCTCTGGGAAGCTCTGGCCCCCAGGAATGCTCCACCCTGAGGCCTGTGATCACAGGGCCTCAGAGGCCTGCCTCCGCAGCTCTCCCGAATTGCCCGGCCTCCTCCTGCTCCCTCCCCTTCTGGCTTCTCCTGTCCTGCTCATTACTACGGGCCCCACCATGTAATTTACTCATTCTTCTTGTTTGTTGCCTGTCTCCCTCTCTAGATGCTGCGCTGCAGGGAGCGGGCCGGTCTAGCTCACTGCTGCTCCTAGAGCTCTTGAGTGCCTGATGAACCATCAGCCCTGTACAGCCCCAGGCCTCCTGCCGCCCTGCTGGCCCCTCTGCTCCACAGCCACCTGCCTGCCCCAAGCAGGGAGCCCCCCCCAACCCCCACCCCCCCACCCCTGCCATGGGCAGGCTGTGCCTGACCCACAGAATCCAGCACAGAGCAGGGCTGCACCTGAGCCCAGCCCTGGCCGAGGGCTGAGATCTAGATCGTTCCAGCAAGTGTACACGTCCCGAGAAGTACTTTTTGTTCGCAACTCATCTTATTTTAATAGAAAAGCCGCCCGAGGGAAGGACCCTATGTTGCTCTGGCTGCTCCTGGTGTCCCCTCCAGACATAGGCCCTGGCAGCCGGCCTCGGGCCTGCAGCCCACCCAACCCCACATGCCCAGGAGGCCGGCCCAGGTCTGTGCAGTCCTCGGCGGGCAGAGGGCAAGCCTGGCATGGAGGGGGTCACTCTGCAGACACAGTGGCCCAGGGCACAGTTGGAAGGCCTGAAGCAGGAGTTGATCCCGAGCGCACGTGTGGGTGAGGACGGGCCACGGAGTCATGCGCCTTGCAGCGGAGTACACGTCTGCCCGTCCAGCCCTGCCCGTGCCACCCTCTGGCTGCTGGGGCAGGGGAGGCTTTCTAGTTCCCAAATAATACAGGTTCTTTAGGGCTAAGAAAGAGTTCCACAGTCTTATTTTTAATTGTGTCCAGCAAGGAAAAAAAATCAAAATCCCCTCCCTGCTCCAACCCCCTCCACCTCCTGGGCCCTCGGCGAGCAGAATCAACCCAGGAGCCTGCACCAGAGCTGTCCTCAGGCCGAGCCTGTGCGCGCCACCATGTGTGCAGGTGGCCCCGGGCCTGCCGCCTCGTCTGGGGATGAGAGGGCAGCTGGCACCGCCCAGCCCTCAGCTGACAGCCTTGGGAATTTGGAACAGACTGGCGATGTCCAGCAGGGCCTGGCGGATGTGGTTCCCAAAGCGCTGGGCGTTCTGTGGGGCCAAGAGTTCAGACTGCCTGCAGGCGCCCCTGCCCCTCTGGTCCCCAAGCCAGGGCTTGCCCAGCCAGGCAGGGGCCTCAGGCTGATGGGGAGGAGAAACTCACCGTCTCTGAGCTTGAGAACTTGCTGGAGACGTGGAAGAACATGGTGTTCTCGCCAGCGATCATGTAGGAAACCCCGTAACCGTCGTCTGCTACCTGAAGGTGGCGGGGGGGGGGGGGAGGGGGCGGGCAGGCTGGTCTGGAGGCCCCACATTACCCTGGCTCTGCCCACGAGTTTCGAAGGACGAGGTCCCACCCCAGATACCCCGGTTCCCCGCGGCCAGGACTCTCAGGTGGAGGCCAGCATTCCCTGCAGTCTGGCCCCCAGGATGGTGACCCGGGCCCCAGGTAACTCCTTCCTTTGGGAGGCTCTCGTGCTCCTGCAGGGCAGCTCGGTGCTCTTGCAGGGGGCCTGGGCTGTCCAGCAGACACCCTCTGGGGTCCCGGGCACGGTCAGGTGCCACCCGGGCTGCTGAGAGGGGAGAGTTGGGGCCCGTGTGCCAGGCATCAGCTGCCCATCTGGGTCCTCACGGCAGGCCCAGTGCAGTGCCCTGGCTCTGGCGCGGCCTCTGGGTGGCAATGCACATGCCACCGGGACCCCTGAGCCTGGTCTTCCCACCGACCCCCTTCAAAGGCACTTACAGGGCCAAAGCCTCCTCCGGCGCCCAGGTGATTGGGGTGCTGCTCCGGGTCAAACATGCCAATCTGGAACTGGGCAGTCTGGCTGGTGGAGAGGCGCCAGGGCTCGGCATGTACCTGCGGCAGCCGGTCAGGCACCTTGGACCCGTGCGCCGGCGCAGGGGCCCGTGCCTGCTCCACCACGGTCCTGACCCAGGAGCCCCGCCCCGTCCTCTCCCATGGAGCCTGGGCATCATCTCACGTGCAGGCCTGTCCCTCTGGCCTCACCACTCCTACTGCCCCTGACTCCTGACCCCCAGCCGCCTGCTGCCCCCCAGCCCTGCACCCTCCCTTAGCACCTGCCCCCGCCTGCCCTAGGCCCCCAGCTCATGGGGTCCTCACATGAGGTGACTCATCCATCTGACCCTGCCCCAGCATACCAGCCCCAGGAGGGCGCACTGCCCGGGGCCAGGACCGGTGGGGTTGAAGGGCAGGAGAGCCGGCCAGGCCGCGAGCCTGCCTGCCCACAACACTGACCTCATCCAGGAAAGGGGAGTCGACCCCCAGATACTTGGCAACCAGGTAGAGGCAGAAGAGGTGCCGGTCCACCCCGGCCCCGGTCATGGCCAGGCGATACATGTTCTGGTGCTTGTCTGAGGCCTTCCTGAACAGGTCTTGGAGGTCTGCTCTCTGTGGGCAGCGGTGGAGGTGAGGAGGGTGGCGGGCTGTGGGGCTTGTGGGGGCGGGCAGCAGGCGCGGGGCTTACCATGTGGGGGCCCTTGGCCATGGCCTGGACGAAGGCTGTGGCCTCGCTGGTGCAGGAGCGCACGGTCTCCGTCCGGCCCTCCCGGAACAGCCGCGTCATCGAGGCCTCATAGGTCAGGCAGAAGGCGCCCCTGTCCTGGGGAGCACAGGGAGTGAGCGTGGCAGCGCGCCCGCGCCCGCCGCCACCCGCCGCTGCCTACCCGGAAGTACGCCAGCTGCAGCGCCAGCTGCACGAAGGCGTCGGGGCTGGTGCGGCACTTCTTGATGAAGCCCTTGCCAAAAGGCAGGAACTGGAAGCAGTAGAGCTCCACGTCATCCGCCAGCGCCCTGGCCTCCAGATAGGCGCGCTCGATGGCCGCCTGGCACTGTGGGGAGGGTGCTGTCAGCAAGTGACTGCTCTGTGGGAGGGCTCCAGGGGCCCTGCATCCCCAGAGCGGGCTAGGTGTGGGGGACGGGTAGGGCCTGTGTCCCCCACCTGCTCAGGGAGGTCCCACTGCAGCCGCTGAGGTGGCACCAGCGAGGGCCTGGGTGTGCCCAGGCAGTGGCCGGTCTCAGTGTAGCCCAGGTGAAAGGCGTCTGTGGCCAGGACGAACTGCAGGGAGGAGGTCAGCTGAGAGGCTGCCCTCGCCCCCAAGTCTGCCCCGCAGGGCCTCCCGGGCCTGATACCTCCCAGAGGTGTCCCATGATCGGGGCATCCGCCCAGGCGTGCTCTGTGTTGAGACCCAGCTGGCCGTTCTTGAAGGCGACGAGGGTGAAGGACTTGTCAAACCACCTACAAAAGGCGGAGCAATGTGGGGGGGCCGCGGGGCCAGGGCTAGGCCAGGGAGGGTGGGGGCTGTGGGGCCGCGGGGGCAGGAGCAGGGGAGGGCCGGGGCTGTGGGGCCGCAGGGCAGGGCAGCGACCGGACAGGGCCGCACCTGTTGCAGCAGTTTCCGTGCAGCAGGGCCTTGCCATAGAGGCTGAGGCTGGCCTCGTTCTCAGGGTCATAGCCGTGGGACTCCTCATCCAAAGCCACAAAGAAAGCGGCCCGCTCGATGGCCTCCAGAGCGGCCTTGTTCCTGCCAGAGCTGAGGAAGGCCTGGCGCACCTGGGCCCACTCTGTCCTGGGGACAGGCGGAGGGGGAGGGGGGATGACAGCCCTAGTCGGTGGCGGGCAGGGGACTGTCGTGGAGGGTGCTGCTGCCCCAACCCCTACCCCGTGAGAGCAGGGCAGAGCCGGCTGTGCCCCACTTCTGCAGCTCCCCCATCTGCAGCCTGGCTGGCCAGAGGCACGGGTGCCGGCCACACCCCTCCCGGCCGGCACCTTCCCACGGCGGTCAGGGCTGCCAGCCTCTCCTCCCCTGGCTGGGGTGCGGAGTGGTCATCCAGGATCCTCTGGAACTGCATCTCCAGGTCCCGAGGCTTGAGCAGGTGCGAGCCCTCGTACAGCCACACTTTGAAGAAGCGGCCCTTGTGGTAGACGGCAATGTGCCTGCTGTCCGACAGGTGCTGCAGCACATCTGTGACAAAGCCGTGCCCTGAGCATCCCCAGTGCGGGCCCTTCAGGGCGCAGGACACGAGCTCTGGGGTTTGTGCATGGTCAGCAGTGGGCGGGGACGCTGGCCAGACTGGATGCCTCCCCCAGGGAGCTACTGGAGGGGTGCGGCCTTGAGCCTGAGGGCCCGGGCAGGGCCAGTCCAGGCTGCTCCCACCGCCTGTGACCCCAGGACCTGGGATAGGCAGGAGGGCGCCTGCCGTGGGCCGGTACCTGTCTCCTTGCCCGGGATCCGGGTGGTGTTGAACATCCTCTCCATCTGGAAGGAGCACATGGGCACGATGCCCATGGCCATCACCTGGGGGAGGCGGGCGAGGTCAGACAAGGCCTCCCCTCCCAGGCATGCCCCAGCCCTCCCACAACTCACAGGCTTGATCTCTTCGCGATCCAGCTTCCGGCGGTACTGGATCATGGCATGTACAACGTTGCCCAGGCGGGCGGCCTGCACCTCCGTGTTCTTGACGAGCACAAAGTCCTGGGAGCAGCACAGCCCAGGTGGCAGCCTGGCCTGGACACGGCCCGTCCCTTGTCCCACCGGGCACCTGCCAGCCCACCCCACCCAACCACAGCTGTACTGCCAGCTCTGCAACTGATGGGTGGGGTAGGGTGAGCCTACTCCTGTTAGAGTTTCGGGGGGAGAACGCTCCCAGCCGCAGCGGCGAGGACACAGGCGGGGCTGGCCAGGAGAGACGCTCTCGGGAGGTTCCTGACAGCGAAGTCAGGACAGGCCCTGGCAGGGATGTGACCTGGGGCTGGGAGGGTGGTGGGCCTGGGGCAGCGTGAGGGCCTGGGGCGGCTCCTGGGTCTCTGGACCCCTAAGCTGCTTCCTGACCGTTCTTCTGGGGGTGCTGTCTTTCCTTGCCCTCAGGCCTCCCTGGAGAACCCTGGCTGCCTGTGGAAACTGCTACCAGAGGCCCTCACCATGGCGTAGTAGTTGCTGTTCACCATGAGGGGGCTCCTGGCGCGGAGGTAGATGTACTCTTCCCACCAGTCGCTCACCTGCGGGCGGGTGGGATGTCAACAGGGCAGGCGGGTGGGGGACAAGGGTGCCAGGAGGAGGGACTCACGTAGTTCGTTGCCCACCACGACTTGAACACCAGGTACTTCTGCAGCCTGGGGGCCGTCTTGTCCTGGAACTCCTTGGCCAGTGTCTCCACGTGGTAGTAGCCCTCTTCGTCCAACAAGGGGCGCACAGACTCCAGGTACTGCGTGGCCAGGCTGTGGTCAGCGCCTCCTGACCCCGGCCTCAGGCCCACTGTCTCCAGCCCACTCTGCAGGGAGCGGTCCCTGTGCTGGGACACTTCCAGCTAACCCTGCCCGCCGGACGCCGGCCCCAGGCCTCACCCGCTGGATGGTGGCTGGCACGGTGGGCACAGGGAGCTTAGGCAGGGAGGTCTGGAAGCTGTAGAGCATGGGCCGCCGGCTGGACAGGAGGCGCACGCAGATCTGGGGCACAAAGCAGGGTGTTGGGTGGAACGGAGAGCAAGGTGGACGAGCAAGCCCTTGAAAGGCTGGCTGGGACCAGGACAGGCCCGCATGCCCGCTGCTGTGCCCACAGCCTCCCCCGCCAGCTGCAAGGCCTCTGGGCTCAGCCTGGGACCCGGTCCCTCCACCCGCCTCTGCTCACAGCCCAGGCTTTGGTGAGGCGGCTGGTCCGGCGGTGCATCTCGAACATCCAGCCGTGGTAGGAGAGGAGCAGCCTCAGCGCTTGGCGGAAGAAGACGATGCCCACGATCCAGACCCCGGTGGAGAAAACGACCATGCTGAGCAGCGCCCGGGTCTGCGGGGTCTGGTAGGGGCTTCTGCTGCTGGAGAGGGAGGGGTGCTGCGGAGGGACTACTGGAGGCCAGCTTGGGGAGTCCCGCCCTGTCCTGACAGCCATGCACCATCTCAGGGAGCTGCCTGAGAAGAGGGCCTGCCAGGGCACTGAATCTGAGCCCTCACATACAGACTGCAGGTGTGCAACCGGGACTGCAGAGACCATGAGGGGCCTGTGTGGGGCACCCCAACCTCCCTGGCTCAGGAACCCAGCCCTGCCCCCACACCTGTGCCCTTCCAGGCCCCACTTCTCACCCCTCAGGGAGGTATCTCTGGATATAACAGACCAGCCCCATGGAGATGTCCACCTTGCAGTAGGAGGAACCCACTGTTGCCATGACGATGACCAGCCAGCTGGTGGGGCTGCCGGGGTACACACCCCTGAGGATGCCATTCTGTGGGGCACAAACAGGCACCCTCATGGAGCAAGAGGACAGGCCGGGGACAGCGGGCAGGTGGGAGGCCCTGCCCTTGGCTGGGAACTCCCCCACTCACTGGCTGGGCTCTTCCTCCTCTCCAGGGCTGGCCATCCCCTCCTCCCGCCGCCCTGCACCCCACCCGACCCCCCAGAGCTTGTCCCCCAAAGGCGCTGGTCAAGGCGGGTGGAGGACCTGGACGTGGGCAACAGCCAGCCAGGCGGGAGAACCACCTCTGCCCACCTTGATTCGAATCAGGCGTTTCTTCCAGGAGTTGACCCCGGACAGGTAGACTTGTTTCAGGGCCGCCCGACTGAGCCGGAAGTCGACCCCTTCTGGGGTCACTGTGAACTGGAAGGCCACGGCCTGGTGCGCTTCCGCCATCCTGGGGGTTGGCCGACACCTGGGGGGGCGGGGCTCAGACCAACCGAGGCCCCGCCCCCGCCCCTCGAGGAGCCCTGGCGCGCCCGCGCCCTCCCGTCCCCGTCTCGAGCCCGGCCCCGCCCCCTCGCCCGCCCCCGCGGCTGACGGCCGCCCGGCCCCGCCCCCTCGCCCGCCCCCCGCGGCTGACGGCCGCCCGGCCCCGCCCACTCCCCGCCCCGCGGCGGATGGCCGCCCGGCCCCGCCCACTCCCCGCCCCGCCCGCCCGCCCGCCCGCCCCGCGGCTGACCGATGGCTCCCTGACCGCTCGCGGCCGCCCCCGCCCCGACCGGCCGCTGCCCCTGGCGCCGGCGCGGACGCCCTGGCCCAGCCCAGGCCCCGCCCGCGCTGCCAGCCGCCAACGCCGCTGAACCCCCGGGCCCCCCGCCCGGGCTCGGAGCGGGGCCGAGGCTGGACGGCTTCTGGGGCCGGGCAGGGAGGGCCGGCCGCTGCCCCTACTCACGGCTCGGGTCGCTCCTGCCCGCGCGTGGGGACAGTCGCTCGGGCGCGTGTCCCCTCGTCCTTCAGGCCGGCCACCCCGCCCTCCCGGGAACCTGACACCCACTCCCAAATTTGGGCCGAGAAGGCCACGCAGGCGGCACCCAGACCCCACCCCCGGGCCGGAGTCGCGGTGGGCGGCGGCTCGCAGGGGCGGGAAGGCCGGGACCTGGGGCGGGGGCTGCCCCAGCGAGGACGCCGTGGGAGCTAAAAATAGCCGACTGGCGGGGAGAGGTCACCCGTCAGCCCTGCCAGGGGCGTGGGAGCCGGCCGGCACCCCACCCAGGGCCTGCTCGAGTCCTGCCCTCTGCCACTTGTGAGCGGGAGCCAGGGGTCCACTGGGGGGCCCCAACCACTCTGCGGCACCAAGTGGCTGAACTTTTCAAAGAGCGGGGGCTGGGCTCTGCGTGGGGTCCCTTTGCACGGGGTGCACCCCGTGGGGAGTGCTCGCCAAGGCCTGAGAGGAGACAGACCACGAGGGAGGAAGCCTGTTTATTGTGGCGGGGTACACTGCCCGCGGGAAAGCCGGTTGGGCCTCCAGGCCTCTGCCCTCCCTCCAAGGCCGCCAGGAGCCCCAGGAGAAGCCGAGGGTCCAGGGAGCAGGGTCAGGAGGCGGGGCGGAGGCCGGCCAGCTGCCTCTTCTGCTGGAAGTAGGACTGGAAGCGAGACTGGGCATACTCCTGGGAGGAAACACCCCACATGGTGAGAAGGCCTGGGACCAGCACCCCACACCCTCTTGGGGTGCCCTTCCCCGCTTCTCCACCCCACCTCGAGCCCCTGGGTTACTAACCAGGTAGCCAAATTCTATGGTGGACATGGATGCCTGGAGGATGGACCAGAGACCCCAGAAGAAATGGGATGCCAAAGCGTACCTGAGGGGCAAGGGCAGTGTGAGCGCGGCATGGCCTGCGGCCCCAGGCTGGAGCCAAACCCTCCCTGCCCTGCCCTTCCCGGCCTCACAGCTCCCCCTCGTGGGCCTCAGACCTCACCCTCCCTCCAGGTCCTTGTGCGCCAGGGCCTGCACCCGACTGGCTCCTTCTCAGCCCCACTCCGCACCCCTTTCCTCACCGATTGACCTCCACCAACAAATCCTCTTCCAGTTTTGTCTGCTCCTCTTGAGAGATGGTCTCACCTTTCTTTATCTCTGCCAGGTAATGGCGAATAAAGTGGAGCTGAGGCCAACAAAGGAGAGGGGAATTGGGAGGCTGTGGGGTCCCCCCTCAACACCCATTGTCGCCGTTCCTTCCAGACACCACCGCCCCACGGCACCGCCCCGCCCGGCTGTACCTGCTGGTCCCGGGTGGGGTAGTCTGCGGGCTGCGCTATGTAGTGAGGCCACTCCTCATGCGTGTAATTGTAGACCCACTCGCAAAAGTGGTTCCCGATGTCAAAGCCCCTGGGGACGGGGCGCACACTCAGTCTCACGCCCAGGCCCCGGGGAGCAGCCCCGGCGCCCCCCTCACCTGTAGTTGTAGCTGCTGTACTCGAAGTCCACCAGCATGAGGCTGTCGGCAGTTGTTGGCTCTGAGAGCAACAAGATGTTCCCTGGGGAGGGTGAGGCTCAGGTCACCGGGAGTCCGGCCTGCCTGGGTGGGGAGACTTGGCGCTGCCGCCTACCTTCCTGGATGTCGTTGTGACAGAAGACCACGGGCGACGGGGTGGCGCTCAGCAGCTCCCTGCAGGGGGCAGGGTGCAGGCCGGCATGTCAATGGTTACAGGGGGACCAGTGGGCCACCCTGGGCATGGCCCCACTGTCCAGCAATTCCTGGCAGGCCCACGGGTGCCACGGCCACCACCTCCCACGCCCTCTGCTGCCGGCCCTCTCTCACCGGAGGCTGCCCATCTCGTCCTTCAGGCTGCAGGTCTCCAGCAGGTTCAGCTGGGGCAGGCAGGTGAGGGGCAGGTCCTGGATCTGCTTTAGGTACCTGAAGCGTGAGGAGGATGCCGGGATGGGCTCTGCTGTCCCTCTGTTGCCTCCACCCGTCACTGCCTGGCGTGTCTGGTAAGCACCTGGAAACCTGCTGTGTGTGGCCCCACTAGACACTGGGATGCCACCCTCTCGGCTGGAGGGCTGGACGGGCATGGGTGCCGCTGGCGCAGGTTCAGCCCAGGGGTGTGGCCCGGAAGCCCCTGACTCACCGCTCCATGGTCCCGAACAGCCAGCGGGGCTCCTTGGCGAAGGGCATCTCCATGCCATGGAACTGGGCCATCTTGGTGGCGATGGCTGCGGACAGCACTGGCTCCCGGAGCTCCTGCGTTCTCAGCGGCCGGCTCTGCACCCAGGAGCTTGTCAGGGTGGTGAGGGGGCTGGGGCGGGAGGGGGTGGGGCGACGCGGGGAGGTCAGGGTCTTGCGGGAAACCCCCTGTCGGGTGAGGGGTGGGTAGGTCGCCTTCAGGGTGCAGGCCGGGGGCCGGGGGCCGGGGGCGTCGTACTGGGAGGTACTGCTCCAGCCGGCCCTCGGGAAAGACGCCGTAGAGCTGGGGCCCCAGCGACCGCTCGGCGAGGATGGCGAACATCACGCTCTCCAGGACCAGGGAGTCCACGCCCTGCGGGGACGCGCACAGCGGGGGCCACGGTCCGCGGGCGCCGAGGGCCGGGCGCGCCGCCCCCCGACGGCCGCGGGCGCGCGCTCACCTGCAGGATGGCCCCGTACAGCCGCAGCAGCACCTCGCGGGGCTCCTCGCCGACGCTGGGCAGGTGGTCGGGCAGCGAGCAGCGGAACAGCAGGTTGCTGAGGCCTCCGCTGCGGACCACGGCGCGCGCTCAGCCCGGCGCCCCCGGCGCCCCCGGCCCGCCCCCCGCGCGCCCCCCGCGCGCGCCCCCGGCCCCGCCCGCCCCCGCCCCGCCCGCCCCGCCCGCCCCCGCGCGCGCCGCCCCCGCCCCCGCCCCCGCCCACCTCACGGGCTGCACCCGCAGCTCCTCGGGGGGCACCCGGCGCCAGGCCCCGCCCAGGTACTCCCGGCACCACTGCGAGGCCCGGCGCTCGGCGTCGCGCGGCAGCGCCGAGAAGCGCCGCCGGTTCGGGGCCGCGTCCGGGCCGCTGGCCGGCGGCGCGCTGTCCTTGGCCGGGCCGCCGGCCGCCCCGGCCCCGCCTCCGGCCACGGCCGCCCCCTCAGCCGCCATCGCGCCGCTGGCCCCGGCCCAACGCCCCGCCGCGCTCGGCCGCCGCGCTCGGCTCCTTCCGGCGGCGCTCGGCTCCGCTTCCGCCCGCCCGGCCGGCTCGGGGCGCCTCGGGCCTCTCCGGCGCCGCTCGGGCCTCTCCGGCGCCGCTCGGGCCTCTCCGGCGCCGCTCGGGCCTCCCGCCGGCCGCGCCCCGCCCCCGCGCCCGGCCAAGGGCCCCTCGCGCTCCCGGCGGGTCCCCCGCGGGCGGGGCCTCCCGAGACACCGGCGCGGCCCGGCGGGGGCGCGGGGGGCGCGGGGGTGCGGGCGGGCGGCTGGGGCGGAGGCGGCGGTGCGCGCGGCGTGGGGCGGTCGGCCGCGGGGGCTCGCGGCGGGGCAGCTGCGGGCCCGGAGCTGGGCTGTTGGGGGTCGGGGGGCGAACCCCCAGCCGCAGCAGCCCCCCCAGGCCTGGGCGCCCAGCCGGGCGCGCTCGGTTCCAAGCCCCTGGCCGGCCCGCGTCAGCCTCTCGGCAGGCGGGTCCGCCGGGTCACCGCGCCCGGCCTGCCGTTCATTTGCTGACCGTTTCCGTCCAAAATTCAGTACTGACTAATTCTGGGCTTATAAAATGAGCTTTTGAAAATTTTTAAAAGAGATTTATTTATTTATGCACACAAGAACTGGGGTACAGGCCAGAGGTGTGGGGGGTGCAAGGATTCGCCAGAGACAGAGCCGGGAACAGAACAGGCAGATTGAAGCACTGCTGAGGGGAGCAGCGGGTGGGTCAGGGGAGGTCTGCTGGGCCATGTGGGCAGCTCCCGGGCCAGGGATCGAACTCATGCTGCCGTGGCTGCGGACAGCTTCATATGTTGCGTCTTAACCCCTTGTGCCACCAGGGAGGCCCCCAGCTTTTGAAATTTTCATTTGATTGTTTAGAATGGTTGATTATTAGAATTGGCATTATTTCTTTTTTTTTTTTTAACCTTTATGGTTTTTATCTTTTTTTTTTCTTTAGATTTTTTTATTTATTTATACAAGCACTGGGTACAGTCAGAAGCACGAGGGGTGAGAGGATTCACCAGAGCCAGAGCGGGGAGCAGAGCAGGCAGAAGGACCGAAGGACACTGCTGAGGGGAGCAGCGGGCGGCAGGAGAGGTCTGCGCGCCATGGGGGACCCTCCTCCGGTGGGCCGGGGAGCAGCCAGGGATCAAACCAGCACTGTAGAGGCTGCAGGCAGCTTCGCAACCCAGTGATCAACCGCTGCACCACCAGGGAGGCCCTATTTCTTTTTTTTTTTTTAAGAAAAGATTTCTTTATAAAAGAACCAGGGTACAGGTCAGATGTGCGGGAGGGTGAGAGAATTCACCAGAGACAGACTGACTGAAACATACTGCTAAAGGGAGCAGTGGGTGAGTCAGGAGAGGTCTACCACGCTATGTGGGTATCTCGCCAGCCAGCTGGGATTGAACCTGCGCTGCAGAGGCTGCAGACAGCTTCACAGCACTGCACTCAACCTGCTGCACCACTGGGGAGGTCCTGCATTATTTCTTTTTAAAGTGTTTGCAAGACTCCACCAACGGGGCCTCCCTAGTGGCTCAAGGGCTTAAGTCTCAGCACTGTGAAGCTATCCACAGCCACTGCAGCACGAGTTCAATCCCTGGCCAGGGAGCTACCCACATGGTGCAGCAGACCTCTCCTGTCTCCCCGCCCCCCCAGTGGATTTCAGATCCACCTGTTCTGCTCCCCACTTTGGGGAGTCCTCTCACCCCCACACCTCTGGCCTGTACACCAGTTCTTGTATGCATAAAATAAATAAAAATAAATCTACAAAAAAATCTCTAGGACTATAATGTGCCTGTTGAGGCTGTCACAGTCGGCCTCGGTAATATGCCGTCTCACATGCGCGCCCCCCCCCCACCCCCCAGTGCTGTTTCATGTTTCCTTACACACTTGTTTAAAACTCTGCAAAAGGAGGATAATTTTTTAAAATGTATGCAATTATTTTTTTTAAGATTTATTTATATATTTATACAAGCACTGGGTACAGTCAGAAGCGCGGGAGGGTGAGAGAATTCACCAGAGCCAGAGCGGGGATCAGAACAGGCAGAAGGACCGAAGTACACTGCTGAGGGGAGCAGCGGGCGGCAGGAGAGGTCTGTCACGCCATGTGGGACCCTCGCCGGTGACTGGGGATCCGGGGATCAAACCAGTGCTGCAGAGGCTGCAGGCAGCTTCGCAGCCCAGCCCTCAACCGCTGCGCCACTGGGGAGGCCCTGCAATTATATTTTGACGAAATTTGGTAAGTTTTTTAGGGTCGTGCTCAGTCTTCACCCCCGCGTGTGGACCCAGGTTCTCCTTGGCTCTGGGTTTTTATCACCGAGAGCTCACTGGGCAGACAGGCCGGTGTGCTCTCAGATTTGCTTTGCCTGATGTTACTTCATCGTGCCTTCACTTTTGGGGGGATGTTTTTGCTGTGTTTAGAATGCATTTTCAGATCAACTGAGAGTTTACACCTAAAGACTCACATTAAGGAAACTTCTACTGTGGGGCCTCCCCGGTGGCGCAGTGGTTGAGCGCTGGGTTGCGAAGCTGCCCGCAGCCTCTGCAGTGCCGGTTCGATCCCCGGCTGCTCCCCGGCCACCAGAGGAGGGTCCCCCATGGCACGCAGACCTCTCCTGCCGCCCGCTGCTCCCCCCAGCAGTGTCCTTCGGTCCCTCTGCCTGCTCTGCTCCCCGCTCTGGCTCTGGTGAATTCTCTCACCCTCCCATGCCTCTGACTGTACCCAGTGCTTGCATAAACAAAACAAACAAACAAATAAATAAATAAAACATGCCTCTAAAAAAAAAAAAAAAGGAAACTTCTACTGTGAGTTCAAATGTGAGTGTGCTTCAGGCAAAAGGAAAGTGGTGTCAGAGGAAGGTCTGAGATGCAAATAAGAGTGAAGATAAATGTTTGGGTAAATCTAAGTAAACATTGACTGTTTAAAACAAGAATAATAATTCCTAGGGGCTTTTAAAGGAAAAGAAAATGGAAATGTATAAACAGAATTTTTTTAGAATTGAGGTAAATACTATTCACTTCCCAGGGTCCTTACATTCTTCAGCAAGAGGGCAGAGACATTAACTCTGGGCTTTGTTAGGCGTAATGTGGCTGCCATAATTAAGAGGTTGCCTTACTTTGGATTCCCTCCGAAGCTGTGGCTCGGCTGAGGATTCCAATGCAGTCGGTTATGTGGGAGCAGGAAATGCAGGTGAGGCCGAGAAAGGGGAGAAGCCAGACTCTAGCCTCCATGGAGGGCCCGGACGCTGGGCCCCAGGACATCCCTTGGTAATGGCGGTTTTGTCACCAGGTAAAGAAGTTACGTGCGACCTGCGCGGTGTGTCGGGGCAGGGGTCGGTCTCCCCTCAGAGCCTTTCCTTGGTGGGCAGAGCAGCAGCCCCGCCAGCTTCATCCCACGTTTGGTTCTCACCGACAGTCTCCAGCTTGGCCCTCCCCGAGTGCCTGGCTCCCCATCGCGCTCACCCCAGGGAGCATCAAGGCTGTGCAGCAGCACAGTTTGGGGCTGCCGCAGGAAGATGTGTGGCCCCGCACTGCGCCTGGTGGTCGGTGGCTGTCATGGGCCGTGCGCCTCATGTGAAGGAGTCTCTCCTGACCTGCGGATCTCGGGGATTATCACCACTCCTTAACGTTAACAGTCACTTAAAAAATTTAATTCTGATTCATTGTCGTAATAGAGTTTTACATTGGTGGAAATTTGTCCTCTGAAAGGTACACATATCGGCGACATTTAAACCAGAAGAAGAATGGACCTCCCTGGTGGCGCAGCGGTTGAGCGCTGGGTTGCGAAGCTGCCCGCAGCCTCTGCGGGGCCGGTTCGATCCCCAGCTGCTCCCCGGCCACACAGGGCGCGCAGACCTCTCCTGCTGCCCGCTGCTCCCCTCAGCACTGTACTTCGGTCCTTCTGCCTGCTCTGCTCCCCGCTCTGGCTCTGGTGAATTCTTTCACCCTCCCACGCTTCTGACTGTGCCCAGTGCTTGTATAAACAAAACAAACAAACAAATAACTAACATGCCTCTATAAAAAAAAAAATAAACCAGAAGAAGAAGATTTTCGCTGCCCTTTAAGACATAGCAGTATTGTAAGCCCAGGACTTGAGCTCATGCAGAGGGGAGGCTGTGCTGTGTGTGTGCAGATGGAAGTGCCCAGAAGAGGAGCTGCTACTGCAGGGGACATTGAGCGGGCCCTGAGGAGAGTTGGAGGGCTGCATGCTGGGGTCACGTGTGGCTTTAGGAAACGACTCTTTGACACCCAGATTCCTTGCCAATCCCCCCATTGAGAGGCAGGGGCTCCCCGAGACCCAGTGCTGGTGGCAGCCCCTCAGCTGGGCTCCCAGCAGCCAGCAGTGGCTGCCTCCAGGGCACCCACCCTGGCTGCAGCCAGACCACGGACAGATCGCAGCAAGAGCCTCTGGAGTCAAGTGGTGGTCGTGATTCCTTAACATTGGCGGCAGTTTGCTACACAGCAGCCATAACCGGAAGCTTCCAATAGGTCCACAGCGTCGAGGAACTTGCCCATTTTCCCGAAAATTGATGGCAAAATTAAGATTGCTACCAGACTGCAGGGTGGTGACCTCCTGCCGTGGCCCTTCACGCCTGGAGCCTGGGGGAGTCACTTACTAAAGGGGAGGGGGGACTGCGGGGTGGTGATCCGAGATGGAATTTGGGGCTACGAGGCTTTACAGTGGGTGCGGTTCCAGGCGGAGTGAGTCCGGGGCCTCGATGGGAAGGGCTGCCGGAGTGGGGCAGCCAGAGACCGACGGTGGGCGAGAAGTCAGGGACGGGCCGACTGACCGGCATTGGGTGGGTCGTGGGTGCGGGTGTCCGAGTTAACTGGTTTGATGACCAAAAAGCTCAGGACTGAAAGTAAATATGGGACCTCGGGACCAAACTTTTAGTGGACTCCGGGAAGAAATACCAAGCCCAGGCGTGGTTGCAGCGTCCAGGCTTGCGTGTCCCGTGTGGGGGTGGGGTCAGGCGGACCAGCACCGCGGGCCGAGAGCCCACAGTCCCCCCAGGCCAGGTGCTGTGCTTGGAGCGTGGCGGGGCACAGAGGCGGGACGGGGAGGCGCCCTCCCATCCTCTCCTAGCCAGGGAGGGACAAAGTCCTGAACGTTGTCCTTGGAAAAACAGCGCAACTGAGGTGCCGCGCGGCTGTGGCCAGGGCCCGGCAGCGAGCGCCCTGTCCCCGAGGCCCTCCCTGGGCTGGGATTTTGCCCCTGAAGAGCAGTGTCACCCCCGCCCCCACGGCACCAGCCCGTCCTGCGCTGACCGTCAAGCCCTGCGGCCTCAGGCGGTTTAGACAAAGGGCTGCGGGGCCTGATTTACACCCAGGAGAAGGGCTGAGTCACTGGGCCGCTGCCCACCAGCCCCGAGCCCAGCGCCGGCGCCCCGGCCCCGACTCCCTGCGGGCGGACGCAGCAGCCGGCGCTCCCCACACGGACGCGGGCGCCCGGCAGAGCCGCCGCAGTGGGGACGCCCCCCCCCGCCCCGCCCCGCCCCGCCCCGCCGGCCGCGCCGCGGCTGCTCCCGCAGAAGCTGCAGCCGCGGCCCTGCGTGGCCACGCGCGCTGACCGGGCCGGCATTCCGGGGGGGCCCTGTCCGCCGCCGCCCTCGGGGACCCGGGCCGCCGCTGCCGGCGCCTGTGTGAGCGAGAGTCGGCGCCCGCCGGGCAGCACCCTCCGCGGGACAGCGCCGGCCGCGAGTCAGCACCCCGGGGCGGACAGCGCCGGCCCCGCCGCTCCCCGCGCGCCCCCCGGCCCCGGCGCCCCCCGCGCGCCCCGCCGCTCCCCGGCGCCCCCCGCGCGCCCCTTCGCTCCCCGGCGCCCCTTCGCTCCCCGGAGCCCCCCGGCGCTCCCCGCCACTCCCCGCGCGCCCCGACGCTCCCCGCCGCTCCCCGGCGCCCCCCGCGCGCCCCGCCGCTCCCCGGCGCCCCCCGCGCGCCCCGGCGCCCCCCGCCGCTCCCCGGCGCCCCCGCGCGCCCCGCCGCTCCCGGGCGCCCCCGGTCCCGCCGCTCCCCGCGCGCCCCCCGGCCCCGCCGCTCCCCGGCGCCCCCCGGCCCCGCCGCTCCCCGGCGCCCCCCGGCGCCCCCCGCCGCTCCCGGCGCCGCAGACCCCCCTCCGCGCCGCGCCGCGCCGCCCGTCGCGTCCCACCTGCCCCCGCCCCCCAAAACAAACCGCACACCGAGCCCCCGCGGCAGCCGCGCAGTCCAGCCGGCGCCTCCCTCCAGCCCGCGCCCCGCGCCCCCGCGCCCGCCCCCGCGCAGCCCGCGGCCGAGGAGCGCGGCGGTGCCGCAGGGCGTGTCACGCGGCGACTGGGGCGCGCCGGCCCGGAGGGAGCGACGAGGGCGCGCGGGGCGCCGGCTGCTCCCCTCCCCCGCGCCGGAGCCTCCCGGAGAAGATGGCGGACCGCGCGGAGATGTTCTCGCTCTCCACCTTCCACTCGCTGTCGCCGCCGGGCTGCAGGTACGCGCCCCGGCGCCCCCGCCGGCCCGGCAGGCCCCCCGCCGCGCCCCCGCGCCCCCGCGCCCCCAGGGCCGCCGGCCCCGCCACCCCACCCCCATCGCCGCGGGGACCCAGCCCAGGCCCTGGCTCTGCGCCTCCTCGACCCCGCCCGCGCCCCGTGCCCCGCGGGGTCTCCCCGCGGGCGGCGGCGCCCCCTCCCCGCCGGCCCCTGCACCCCCCCCCGCCCCCAGTCCCGCGGGAACGGGCCGCACCCAGCCGGGAGGCCCCTCGGGGGAGGCCTGGCCGCCGCCAGAGCCCTGTCCGGGGGTTCCGAGCTCGACCTCTGTGCTCAGCCCTGTCCTTCCGGCCTCGCTGGGCCTTTTTGGCTTGACCCAAGGGCTCAGCAACGGACGTTCACATCAACCTGGAGACCTGGGGGAAGGGAAGGCTCCCCGCGGGTGGGGAGCGGCTGGGGGGGCAGCTGCAGCCCAGGGGGGGAGACACGCTGCCCAGACTCTGCCCTCCACAGACTTGACCCTCTCCTGCGGCTGCAGCGCCAGCCCCCACCCCCTTCAGCCTGACTCCCCGAGGGCTGAGGCCAGAGCCGGGCCTGGAGCTTAGCAGGGAGGAGCCTGAGGGAGGAGAGGCTGCCAGCCCCAGGGCCGATCTGTGGCTCCCTGGGGTGGCCACTGCTCCCGCCCTGGGGAGCCCTGGAGAGCAGGGGCTCTAGAGGACACCGGTGCTGACAGGCCGGGCTGCCCCGCTGCCCCAGCGGGTCTCTGACTTTGGGGCTCTGTGCTTGCCCTTTGACCCAACCCCCAGGCCGCCCCAGGACATAAGCCTGGAGGAATTTGACGATGAAGATCTGTCCGAGATCACCGACGACTGCGGCCTGGGCCTCAGCTACGACTCCGACCACTGTGAGAAGGTGGGGCTCGGCAGGGCCTCCCCAGGAGCTGCGGCCGGGGGGCTGGGCTCAGGCTTGAGCCGAGAAGCCCCCTGGTCGCCCGGCTCCCGTTGCCTCCTGATATGAAACCTCTCTTTTTTGAACGAGTGTGGGCCCCCGCCCAGGGCCTGCGGCGGCCCCAGCGCCATCAGCTGCTAGTTGGGAGGGCGACGTGCCTCTGCTTGGGTCCTCCCAGAGGGGCTGCCCTGGCCCCCAGCCCCTGCTCAGTCCTGCCCGCCTCACCCCTCCACCCCGGAACTCTTTCCTCCCCACGTCCTGCTGCCCCCCCCGCCCTCCCGTCCTGGGGGTTCTCTTCATTCAAGAGCATTTCTGAGCAGCCGCCCGTGGGGAGTGCTGGCCCAGCTGCTCTAGGCCAGAACGGGGTGGCCTTGCCTGAGCCAGCAGGAGAGACGCACGCATGTGGCGTGGGACTCTGACAGGAGGACGCGGGGGGCGCTGGAGAGGCCTGGGGAGCTCCACACCAGGCACCGGTGTCCTGGGGGCAGGTGGGCCTGGAAGGGAGGAGCCGCCCAGGCCTCGGCTGTGCTCCCCGAGGGCTGTCTGGGGAGCAGCTAGCACCCCTGCGCCTGGGGCTGGCCCTGGGGCGACAGCAGCACCGGCTGTGGATTCTGTGACAGCCGTAGGAAGGGAGAGCTGCCAGCACACCAGCCAGAGCTGGGGTGAGACCCGGCTGGCAGCTGGGCCGGCCCCCGAGAGTCTGTGCCCAGGCTCGGGCTGACTCACTTGGAAGCAGAGCGCCCCGTGCAGGCCGGGCGGGCCTGCAGCCCCCCGGCCCCCGGCCCCGGCCCACTCGCCCTCTCTCTCCTGCAGGACAGCCTCTCCCTGGGCCGCGCGCAGCAGCCGCACCCCATCTGCTCCTTCCAGGACGACTTCCAGGAGTTTGAGATGATCGACGACAACGAGGACGAGGACGAGGACGACGAGGGGGAGGACGGGGAGGGGGGGGACGGGGAGGGCGGGGAGGGCCCCGGCTCGGCGGCCCCGGCCTCGAGGCCCCTGATCCCCTCCCCCTCGCCGGAGGAGCCCCTCAAGCACCGGCCCACCACGCTGCAGCTGACCACCCTGGGCGCCCAGGTGAGACCCAGACCCCGCCGCCCGGCGCTCAGCCCGCCCAGCCGCGGCCCTGCGCCCCCAGACTGAGCCGGGTCCCCCTCAGGATTCCCTCAACAACAACGGAGGCTTCGCCCCCGCGCGCCCAGCCCCCTGGCGGGAGACCCTGCTGTGCTCCCCACCCCCAGAGGCGCTCCCAGGTGAGGGGCGCGGCAGGGGCTCTGGGGGGGCGCTGGGGGCGCGGGGCGGCGGAGGGGGGCGGCGAGCCCAGGGTGTGGCTGCAGCGAGCCCCTGCCCCGCAGAGCCGGCGCTGCTCCGGTCGCCCGGCCCGAGCCCCGGCGGGGAGCCGGCGCCTGTGCACCCCGGCTGCGACTGCGAGGGGAACCGGCCTCCGGGGCCCGCGGCGGCGGAGGGGGCCTCACCTTCCTCGGATCCTGGCATCGAGGCTGACCTGGGGAGCCGGTCCAGCGGGGGCCGCGGGGGCCGGCGCAGCAGCCAGGAGCTGTCCTCGCCCGGCTCGGACTCGGAGGGCGCGGGGGGCGCGCGCCTGGGGCGCATGATCTCCTCCATCTCCGAGACGGAGCTGGAGCTGAGCAGTGACGGCGGCAGCAGCAGCAGCGGCCGCTCCTCGCACCTCACCAACTCCATCGAGGAGGCGTCCTCGCCCGCCTCGGAGCCCGAGCCCGAGCCCGAGGCGCCCGGCGCGCCCCCGCGCCGCCCGGCCTTCCTGCCCGTGGGCCCCGACGACACCAACAGCGAGTACGAGTCGGGCTCCGAGTCGGAGCCGGACCTCAGCGAGGACGCCGACTCGCCCTGGCTGCTCAGCAACCTCGTCAGCCGCATGATCTCCGAGGGCTCCTCGCCCATCCGCTGCCCCGGCCAGTGCCTGTCCCCCGCGCCGCGGCCCGCGGGGGAGCCCGAGGCGCCGGCCGGCCGCGCCCCCGAGGCCGCCGAGGCGCTGGCGGGACCCGGCGGGGTGGAGCTGGTGGACATGGAGACGCTGTGCGCGTCGCCGCCCCCCGCGCCCTGCGCCCCGCGGCCGGGCCCCGCGCAGCCCGGGCCCTGCCTCTTCCTCAGCAACCCCACGCGGGACACCATCACGCCGCTGTGGGCCGCCGCGGGCCGCGGGCCGCGCCCCGGCCGCGCCTGCTCCGCCGCCTGCTCGGAGGAGGACGAGGACGCCGAGGACGCCGAGGACGCCGAGGACGGGCCCCGCGGGGCCGCGCCCGCGCCCCTGGACGCCTCGCTGGTGTACGACGCCGTCAAGTACACGCTGGTGGTGGACGAGCACACGCAGCTGGAGCTCGTGAGCCTGCGGCGCTGCGGCCTGGGCGCCGACAGCGAGGACAGCGGGGGCGAGGCCAGCGAGGAGGAGCCGGGGGCCGCGCTGCTGGGCGGAGGCCCGGGCCCCGAGGACAGCTCCCCCGACAGCCCCGACCTCACCTTCTCCAAGAAGTTCCTCAACGTCTTCGTGAACAGCACCTCCCGCTCCTCCAGTGAGTGGCGGCGGCGGGCAGGGGCCTTCCCCGAGGTCCCGAGGTGGTCAGGGCCGGGCACAGCCCTCGCCCCAGCACCAGGCCGCTCCCGCATCCCGAGCGGCGTGGGCGGGCCCGCAGGCCGGGGGTGGGGTGGGGGGGGCTTGGCTCAGCCCCTCCCCCCTGCCCTGAGTCCTTCTCCCGCCCTGTCTCAGGCACTGAGTCCTTCGGCCTTTTTTCCTGCCTGGTCAATGGGGAGGAGCGAGAACAAACCCACCGGGCGGTGTTCAGGTACATGTCCCCCGGCCCTGCCCTCGGGCTCCCCCCAGGTCCCCTCCCCCACCCTCAGGCTCCCCCCAGGCACCCCCCAGGTCCCCCCCCAGGCACCCGCCCACCCTCAGGCTCCCGGCCAGGTTCATCCCCCGCCACCCGGACGAGCTGGAGCTGGACGTGGACGACCCAGTGCTGGTGGAGGCCGAGGAGGACGACTTCTGGTTCCGGGGCTTCAACATGCGCACGGGAGAGCGCGGCGTCTTCCCTGCCTTCTATGCCCACGCGGTGCCCGGCCCGGCCAAGGACCTGCTGGGTGAGGCCCCCTCCCCGGGGAGCTGGCCACCCCTGCCCCCTGCCCTCTGACCCCTCGTGTGACCCCCCAGGGAGCAAGCGCGGCCCCTGCTGGGTGGAGCGGTTCGACGTGCAGTTCCTGGGCTCGGTGGAGGTGCCCTGTCACCAGGGCAACGGCATCCTGTGCGCGGCCATGCAGAAGGTGAGTGGGACCGCCAGGCTGACCACCGGGCTGCTGCCATGCTCCGCGGGGGCCCCGGAGGCTTTGCGGGCCCACTGGCCTGTGCAGAGCTTGGCGGCTGACGCCCGTCACCTTAGGGCCTCCTGGCCAGTTCAGGGGGGCCACACCTTCCCCCTGGCCCCTTGCCCCCGCAGCCCACCCCCTCCTAATCTGAAATCGGGGCCTCCCCTGGCAGCCCTTCCCTGGACTCACCTGCTTGCACCGCCGGCTGCAGGCTCAGCTCCGGGAGGCGGCCAGAGCTGGTGGGGCCGCGGGCCTGCCTGGGACAGGAGAAGGGGTGGGCAGGCTGGGTGTCCGCGTGACCTGGGCCCGTGAGCGAGGGCTGAGCAGGCCCAACTGGCGTCCTAGGGTCGGCGTCGGGCCCTGGCCAGTGTTCCATCTTTGGCGAGACCCTGAGGCCTTCTCTGTCCTCTCTCCAGATCGCCACTGCCCGGAAGCTGACCGTCCACCTGCGTCCTCCTGCCTCCTGTGATCTTGAGATTTCTCTTCGGGGGGTCAAGCTGAGCCTGAGTGGAGGGCCCGAGGTGGGGACCCTGACAGGGGGCCAGGAGGGAGTGGCGGGAAGGCGCATGGGAGGCAGTGGGCGGGCCGGGGGGCCCCGGCTCACGTGCCCTCCGCTCTAGTTCCAGCACTGCAGCCACTTCTTCCAGATGAAGAACATCTCCTTCTGCGGCTGCCACCCCCGCAACAGCTGGTGAGCCCAGCCTCGGCGCCCACCCACCCGCACCCACTTGGTGCCATGCACTGACTGCATGTGGCGCCCGCTCGGAGGCAGGGTCAGGCCCACCGGTCCGGATGGGGGACAGACAGACAGGCAGGCCATGGTGCTGCCAGCCCCTGTGAGGCCAGGGCGTCCGGGGGCTCTAGGGGTCAGGCCTGTGAGGGGACGACTGGACACCCCTCCCCGAGCCTCCAAGGTCAAGCAGGGGTGGGTGGGAACCAGCCAGGCCTAAGCTATGGGTGATGGCAGAGGCCGGGGGTCCGCTGTGGGGGTGTCAGGTCGGTGTCCTGACCGGGCCGTGGCTTTTGCACCTGGCCTGAATGGCGGGGCCACAGTGTGACGTGCAGGCCCCGCGCGGTCAGGGCTGCGGAGGCCCGGGACATGCCCGGAGGCCTGTGGGAGGTGGGACAGGCCTGGGTGCCTGGAGGGAAACTGAGGCTCGAGCTGCCTGGCGCTGGGCAGACGGGAGCCCCCAAGGAGAGGAGCAAGGCGGGCAGCGGGCGGCCCACCGGTGGCTTGCGCGCTGCTGTGGGTGGGGGAGGGAACTGCGGGCGGCTAGGTCTTAGGGCTCCGCAGCTGGCGAGGAGAGGAGGTGGGCATGAGGGCGGCGCCGTGACAGCGGGGCTGGGCCACAGGCTTCCCACGGCCCAAAGGCCTGCCTGCTGGGGTCCAGTGGCCCAGGACAGGATAGGAAGAGGCAACCAGAGAGGGCCTGGCCAGAGGCTCGGTGCATGGGGGTGTCGGGGCAGCAGGCCACCCGGGCGAGCGGGTCCAGGGAGGGCACAGTGCTGTGGGGGGCTGGGCCTCGGGTCATGGGACATGTCTGTGGAAAGCCCGGGAGGCCGTCTCTGCTGGGTGGGGTCGACCCTCCCCCGCTTCTCTGCTGGGAGGGAGGGTCCAGGTGGCCGCCCAGGGGTTGCTGTAGGGCATGGGCTGGGGATGGAGCTGCTCCTCCTCCTCGCTGGGGGGAGCAGGCGCCACAGGCCCAGGCCTCCAGGCTGGACCCCGACCCAGGGCTGGTCCTGAGCACGGGAGGGTCCGCTGGGGCTTCCGAGGGTGTGAGGGTGCTGGGGAGCTGCTGTCCGGCCAGGCCCCCCGAGCTCAGCGCAGGCCCGTGGTGAGGGCCAGCTCGTCCACGCCAGGAGCCTGGGCCGTGTGAGGCGGGGCAGCGTGCTCCGTCCGGGAGGCCATCCTGGCCGGGTGCCCGGGGGCTGGGGGCCCTTCGGCCCTTCTCGGAGCCTCGTTCCTACTAGAGTCTGGACGAGTGTGGGAGGGGCTGGTCTGGACGGCGTCTGCAGGGCAGCCTGGGCAGCGGGCATGAGGGCCCGGCAGCCGGGTGCCCAGCCTCTGTCGGCCCCTGCGCCCCTGAGGTGGGTGTGCGCTGACCCCTCCGGCCGCTCCCGCAGCTATTTCGGCTTCATCACCAAACACCCGCTGCTGAGCCGCTTCGCCTGCCACGTCTTCGTGTCCCAAGAGTCCATGAGGCCAGTGGCCCAGAGCGTGGGGTGAGAGGGCTCGGGGGTGGGCAGGGTGGGCAGGGGCGGGAGGGCCCAGGCCTCCGAGCTGGAGGAGGTTGCCGGGAGGCCCGCGGGAGCTGAGCCCCGCAGTTTGGGCAGGAGGGAGGGGAGGTCAGAGGAGGTGGGCGGCGTTTCTTTCCAAGGTGGAGGGGGTAGGGGGTGGGGCTGGACGCGGGGACCAAGTGGGGGGTGCGGGGGACCGGCGTGTGCGTGAGGCCTGAGACCTGCCCCCGCAGCCGCGCCTTCCTCGAGTACTACCAGGAGCACCTGGCCTACGCCTGCCCCACAGAGGACATCTACCTGGAGTAGCCGCCCGCCCGCGCTGCTGGGGACGCCCCAGAGGCTCGCGGCAGGACTGAGGGCACGCGGGGCTGCCACTGCTGGGGGACCCGCCCCTGGCCGCGCTTTCCCGAGCCCGCGCCCCTGGCCGCCCCCGCCCCACTGCGCCCGCCCCGCCCCTGCCCTCTGCTCTCACCTCTGGGTCAGTCTGGGAGGGCTGTTGAGGGAGGTGAGGATGTAGGTGCCGCCCCGGCCCCCTGTGAGCCGCGCCCGCCCTGCGGCTTATAAAGGGATTTTAATTTTTATAGTAAAAATCGAGGGACCTCCTATCCTTGACTGTGGAGACAGAGGGGGTCTTACACACTGCCCCATCACAGCCCAGAGGGGCGCAGCCAGGGGGCCCCCAGAAGGGCCTTGGGGAGACTAGGTGTGGTTCTGAGGCTCAGCCCGAGTCCCTGGCCACCACTGGGGGGGTGCCCTGCCCCGGGCCCTGGCCACCCCAGCGCCCGCTTTGCCGCCGCAACCCTGCCCGCAGCCTGCACCTCAATAAACTCTGCTTCGTGTGGCCCCGACTGTGTTTGGGGGGCCGGGTGCTCTCCATGGTGGGCGCGGCCCAGCTGGCGCAGCCGGGAGCTCCTCTCAGTGCTCTCCGGAACCCGCAAGGTCCCCGGCGCTCCATGGGGCTCTTCCCAAATACACTGGAGTGGCCAGCGGGGAGCTGAGCCCCCGAAGGGCCCCCTGCCACTGAGCCCGGCGGGTGCATGCGTTTGGGTGCCGCCAACTTGCTCAGGCCTTAACCTGGCGCGTAAAGAACTGTGCACATGAGGCCGGGCCTTGCCCCGGAGGGCCAGCTCTCAGGCCAGCGCCTCCAGGGGGCAGCCGGCCCATGATGGGCAGCCCCGCAGACACCCTGAGGCAGGGACACCAGCAAGGGCAACACAACTGCTCGGGACCTCAGAGCTGCAGCTGTGAAGTCAGGCCCCGCCGGATGCAGGCGGAGGCCACCACCAGGGGTCAGCAAAGTCCAGGCAGGGGGCAGCACCTGGGGTGGGCCTGAGGCTGGCGACCCCCTGTACGGGGCCTAGGGCATTGGCCCATGGTGGGCCCAGCTGGGCCCCCCACCTACCTCCTTCTGCTGTCCTCAACCACCAGGGGGGTACAGATGCCCCCCCCCGCCCGGCTGGGCTCAGCTCCCCCTCTCCAATCATCTCCCCATTTCTGTGCCATCAGCCTTCCTCCACCCGTTGGCTACACTTGGCCCCCCTTACTTGGCTCACTATCCTTTGGGAGAGCCCTCGCACCTGCCCACCTTGCTTGTGCCACCCCCCTAGCCCGGCTGCACCCCAGACACCATGTTCTGCTCTTGCTGGCCTTGCCCCTGCCCATCCTGGGTGCTCACGGCCCCGCCCTTCCCTTGGCCTCGTCTCCTGGTGCCAAGGCCCAGCACCTGCTTCTCAGCCCATTGCCCAGAGGTACCTCAGCCCCCCGCGGCCCCGGCCTCCTGGCCATGCGGGCTGCGCCAGCTCCGAGCGCTGCTCTGTTCCCAGCAGACAAGGGGGCAGGCGGCTGGCTCTGAAAACACCCCGCCGAGCGCTGCAGTGTTGGGCAAGAGGGAGGTGGCAGGGAAGTCAAGGTGGGGTCGTTTCTCCCTGAACCACCCACCCACAGGGGTGTCCAGCCTTTTCTCAGAGCAGGAGGCCCGGCCTAGCCGGCTGAGGTCCGAGGTCCAGCCCCGTGTCTGACGGGTTGCGGCTGGCGCTGGTTCTGGCACTGAAAGGCACAGGGCAGAGTGCAGCCCCAGGGGACCTGGGGGAAGACCCTCCCCACCCTGGGGCTGCGGGGCATCAGCACTCCATAGAGGCAGGTGGGAGCTGGCATGGGGGGCAGGTGGACACATGGGGCAGGGGTGGGGCCTCTCCCTGAACACGCCCTGGGGGCCTCACAGCCTTGACCGGTTCAGACGCGTGCGCCCTCCTGCAGCTGCGCAGACTGAGGGACCACAGTGGCCCGGTGGGCCCTCCCTCCCAAGCACAGGGAGCTCTGAACAGAGGAGGCTGAAACCACTTGCCCCGAAGCCTCTCTGCCATCACTTGAGTCCGCGACAAAGGTAACTTTGGTTTTATTTCCTTTGCGCAAATTTGGACCAGACAAAAGCAGGTGGGCCTTTGAACTCACCGGCCGGCACGTCGAACCTCTCCAGATGCCGGACTGTAGCCTGCGGGGCAACCCAGGCCCTGCCACCCTCTTGCAGGAGACACCTGGGGAGGCCACCCTGAGGGCGCTAGGCCGGGTGGGGCTCATCTGCTGGCCATGGCTGCCAGCCCTCCTGGGCAGCTGGTCACAGGGCACTTTGCTCAGGGTGGCTGTACAGAGGGTTGTGCTGTTCAGCTTGGCCTCTCCCCTGGAGGGGTGGCGGGTTGGCACGGGTGGGGCGGGGGCTCCAGGAGCCACCCCTAGGGCCCGGGTCGCAGGAGAAGGTGCAGAAGGGAAGGGCTGTGGGCACCGCAAGGCGTCGGAACGTGGAGCTGGGCCGTGCACATGCGGGGCATGTTTGCCCGAACAGTGAGATTGAAGCAAGTCTGCCGGCAAACGCAGAGCAAATGGCAGGGACAGGAGGAGGCGGCTCACGGGCTGGCTCCACACCCCTGCGGCCTGCCGCTCCACCCAGGCTGGGCCCTTGCAGCGCCAGCGCCCCCTTCCTGGTGCTCAGCTACATTTTCATCCCAATGGAAGGTGAAGTGCGCGGCTCCTCTTGGCCTGTGTCTCCACCTCCCCACCCAGACAGAGCACCCCGCAGCTGTGTGCCCTGGGCACAGCCACACTCCACCCCATGAGGCAGCACCTTCCCTCCCTCCCCCCCCCACCCCGCTGAGATTCCAGGTCTGAGTCTGGTGCTCGGCTCCTGCGCCGGCCAGGAGCACCGAGGGCCACGGCCAGGCCCCTCTGACAGTCCATGCTGCCCCACACACCCCCCGGGCGCATTCCACCTCAAACACCCCCACTCCCACTGCGCGCACTGGGGAGGGGCCTGGGCATGGTCAGTGCTGCGCCGCCTCCCCTGCCCTCATCCTGGGCCAAGGCACCTGCAGGCGGCACAGCAGGGCCACCCCCTCCGGGGCAGTGCAGCCACTCGGGAGAGGCCGTGGGGCACCCCGACACAGCAGGCCCTGGTGCAGAGCGAAACGGGGGAGTCCCACAGGGGCTCCAGGCCCAAGTGCAGACCCGCCCAGGGCTACTTTCTCCTGGTGAGCTCTGGAGGAGGGCGGGGTCCTCAAGGGACCCCTTGGGGTCTGGGTTCACCTGGACCACACCGGGGTGTGACTGGTTCCAGCCCTCTGGGGGGGCATTGTTCACGCTGAAAAGGCCACCGTTTGGCCCCTCTGGGCCCCGGCACACACCAGGCCGCACCCCATGGGGTGCACGTGCCGGAGCTATCGACATGCCCAGGGGATCCCGCGAGGACCACACCCGGGCCAGGAGGCCCCTCGGCAGAGGCCAGTGTGAGGCATGGTCGGGCAGCTGAGCTGCCATAGGATCTCGGCAGCGTGGACGGGGAGCCGGCCCGGCTACCTCAGGAGCTGCTCTGATGGGACACAGGCAAGCCGGGCAGAGGGATGCGTGCAGGTGGAAGCAGGTGGGGGTGCAGCTGGGTGGCCCGAGGCGGCTGGGCGGGCTGGGGCGCTGCGAGTCAGTGAGAACGAGGGTCCACCGGGAGGTGCGATCAGCACCCACTTCAGGGTGGCCCCCGACAAGGGTGAGGCGGCTGGCTTCTGGGCCTCCAGTCTCCCTCCCAGAGAGAAACAGACTCTTAGGGGTACACTGCACACCTGCCACCCCTAGCCCTGGCCCATACTACTCCTGTGACCCAACCTACTCTCACAGCTCCAATGCGTTGTCACCAAGGGGCGGTGTGCCTGTGGCCAGGTCGCCCTTACTGGCTGGGTGGCCTCAGCCGTCTGGCTGGAATGCCCCAGCCCTCAGTTTCCTCATTTGTAACACAGGAAAACAGCATTCACCTCCCAGTTACCACCAGATTAGAGGAATTATCACACTTACAAGTGCCAGCTGGTGTTATTGGCATTCTAAGGCACAAACCACCTCGTATACCAGGCCCCCAGGGCGGGCGCCCTGGCCTGGCCCTGCGAGCGCTAGGCCTGGGGCTCAGGGCATCGGCAGCAGGCGGGCCGGGGGCTGCAGCTGGACTGGCAGCAGATCTGCAGGGCTGGGTCCTCGCCCTGAGCCATCTGGCTGGGGCCGAAGGCCACCTCAGCATCGAACTGGGCCTTGAGCAGCTGGAGTTGCTTCAGGGCCTGCAACGCCTCAGGGGAGACCTCGGCCATGCCCCCTAGGAGGTCGTAGTTCTCACCGGGGTCCACCGACAGGTCGAAGAGCAGAGGAGGCTCGTGGGCGGTCAGGGGGTTGGCGGCGTGGCAGGCGGCGTCTGCGGTAGTGTCACTGTGGATGGAGCCTGGGGGCGGGCGAGCACGGGGTGAGAGGAGAGGAGGGCCGCGCTCGGCTTGGGGGGTCGTGGGGTTGGGAGTTACCCTGGGTGAAGAAGTGAGCCTTGTACTTCCCAGTCCGCACGGCGAAGACCCCACGGACCTCGTCTGGGTAGGCCGGGTAGAAGAAGACAGACTCCCGGGGGCTCTGGGGGCGCAGCAGGCCAGGGTCACAGATGCCTGCTGTCCACAGCAGAGCCCGGCGCTGCCCCCACCCAGGCCGCCCCATGCTCGCGCCGGCTGCTGCCCCACCTTGCCCGTGCCCAGCAGCAGCGGGCTGAGGTCCACGCCGTCCAAGGTGACGTTGGGCAGCGGGGCTCCACTCAGGGCCGCCAGGGTGGGCAGCAGGTCCAGCGAGCTGGCCAGGTCGTGGGTCACACCTGAGGGCAGAGGGCTGTGCAGTGGCTGCGGCGGCCAAGCGGGTGATGGGCGGTGGGCGGGACCCCGGGAGGGTCTGCAGACGCACCGGGGGTGATGTGGCCGGGCCAGAAGGCCAAGGCCGGCTCGCGGACGCCTCCCTCGAACGTGGTGCCCTTGCCGCACCGCAGAAGCCCGGCGCTGCCGCCGTGGGACATCCGCATGGTCTCAGGCCTGGACACAAGGAGGACATCAGGCGGGAGCAGCTGTGCCTGGGTCCTCTGGGCCCGCCCCGGGCTTCTGAGCTACACCCCCACGGGCGGCAGCACCTCGCTCCTTCCAGACCAGCACCCACGGGCTTGTGGCCTGTGGGCACCAGGATGGCCAGCACCCGCCCCCTCAGCTGACACTCAGTGGTGCGGGCCAGTCCAGGCTCCCACCTACCCGTTGTCCGCAGTGAAGATGACCAGCGTCTCCCCGAGCAGCCCTAGGTCCCCTACAGCCGTCATCAGGGCCCCCACTGCCGCATCCAGCTCCATCAGAGCGTCGCCGAACGGCCCCCGACCGGAGCGCCCCACAAAGGACTGCCCACTGAACTGTGGGTAGTGGGTGTGCTGGGGGCAGAGACCAGGCTCAGCCTCTGCTGGGCAGGGCAGGGCTGGGCGAGGGGGCGGGGCACGGGCAGGGCGGGGCCACTCACATGGGACGCATAGTAGAGGAAGAAGGGGCGGCCCTGGCGCTGGGCATCAGCCATGAGGTCCCGCGCGAAGGTCACGTAGCGGGCTTCCAGCCCCGGCAGCCAGGGCGGCTGAGCCTCCACAGTCAAGTTGGCCAGCAGCGGGATGGGGACCAGGCCCTGGTCGCAGCTGCCCTCGCAGGGCGTGGCCGGCGGGAAGCAGGTGAGGTTCTGGCAGGGCCCCTGCAGGAGCAGCAGCGCTCAGGGGTGTGCGGGCTGGCCGGCCAGGCGGGCAGGTTGGCAGCAAGTGCCCAAGGCTTACCTGGTCGTGGGAGTACGGGATGCCCAGGAAACGATGGAAGCCCTGATGTGGAGGCAGAAAGGCCCCCTCAGGCCCGACCCCGAGGTGCCACTTGCCAGCTATCCCTGTGAGGTAGCCGCGGGCAGCCAGGACCTCGGCCAGGGTCACCTCCTCCAGGGGCAGCCCTCCCCGGGAGCTGGGCTCCAAGACTCCAGGATACAGGCCCATCCGCACAGGGTGTCGGCCGGTCAGGAGGGCGGCCCTGCGGGCGAGTCCGGGTCCATGAGAGGGAACCAGCAGAAAGGGGTGCAGGGAAGGGAGAGGAGATCCCACAGCTGGCTTGGCTGCAGGGTCCGCAGGGGCGACGGGTGGGCTGGCGGGGCGGAGGCCGGCGCCCCCTGAGGCCGGTCACCCCGAGCGAGGGTAGCTCCCCTGGGGCGGCTCACCTGGAGGGCGTGCACAGCGACACCGGCACGTAGAAGTCTGTGAACCGCAGGCCCCCTGCAGCCAGCTGGTCCAGGTTGGGGGTGGTGGAACTGGGGTGCCCATAGGACCCCAGGTCTCCATAGCCCAGGTCATCAGCGAAGATCAGCAGAATGTTAGGGGGGCTGGCGGCGGCCAGGCTGGCGGCCAAGGCCAGAACCAGGGCCCACAGCACCCCCATGGCCCAGGCCGCGGGCGGGCCCGTCCCCAGAGACCCGGGGCAGGGAGGGGCCCACCAAGCTCGGCCCAGGCCCTGAGCCCGCGGCGCCCTCCCCGGAGACCCCGGGCCCTGACCCTCCTCGGTGCCGCGGACTCTGTCTCGCAGATCCCAACGCAGAAGCCGAGCGCCGAGCCTGGGGCCCGTCCCAGGCGCCGCGGAGACGGGCAGCCCGACCCTCCCAGTCGCGGAGCGGCCGGCGCGGCGCGGGCCTAGCGGCCGGGGAGGGTCGGGGCCGCCGCCGAGCCCGCGCCGCTCCCGAGGCGCGCCCCGCCCTGTCCCGTGACCCGGCGCCGCGGGGCGGGGCGCCGTGGGGGGCGGGCCGTGCGCGCGCCGCGCCCCGCGCCGGGGCGGTTGGTGGGGGCGGGGCGCGGGGGCAGGTCCCGAGGCCGCGCGGGGGGGCGCGGGGGCGCGGGGGGCAACGGCCGGCGCGGGCCTCCCGCGGCCCTTCGGCGCTGGGGTGCGCCGAGGCGCGTGTCCCGTGCGCCCCGCGGGGAGCGGCCGTGGCCGCGCGCGGGTCCGGGGGGCGCCGGCAGGAGGACGTCGCCGGGACCCGCGGGGACCCGGTCCAGCGCCCTCGCTGCGGCGGCCTGGCCTTTCAGCCCCAGGCGGGCGGCTTCCCGGGTCCCCAGTGCCGCCCCGCGGGCAGCCCCCGCTCCAGAGCGCCTGCCAGGGCCTCGCCTCGCCTTCCCCGCAAGCCCGGGGAGTCCCTGGCTCCGGACTGGGGGGTTCCGGGGCTTACTGGCCCTGGCGCGGGGGGACAGCGCGCGGAGAAGGCCGGGGCGCCAGCCGGGGGGCGGGAGGAGGTCTCCGAAGCTCAGCCCTGGCTGGGGAGCAGAATTTGAAGGGCAGGACCCCGCCTGCTGACCTTGCAGGGAGGGGAAGGCGCGGCTGGAGGCCCTGCCGCCGTCAGGGGTCACGCCGGGCCTGGTTTCTAGGCCTGTGCGTGGGAGCAGCGCTGGTGGGTGGTGGGACAGAAAGTTTTCTGTGGCCCAGAAATCTTTGAACCTGTAATTGGAGCTGTCACAGCTGGTCGGCGCTGTGAATTGGAGATTAAAAGGCACCACCCAAAGCACTTTCTTCCCTCTCCGGGGCCGCCAGCCCTGCCCTCCTCCTCCGGGATCCTGTGGCTGTGATGTCCAAGATGCTTGGCGCCGTTCTGGAAGCCACTGGGCCTGTGCACTCGGGCGGCGGCCACCGGCCCTGACCAGGCGGGGGTGTGCTGCTGGCTATGTTTGTTCAAAGCCTGGGCTCTGCAGGCGGCCAAGTCTTTTAGAGACGTGAGTTCTTTTTTGGCATTGCTGCGGGAGCTGGCAGGAGAGTCAGCTTGGGACAGAGCCCCACTGCGAGGTGCCGGCCAGGTGGGGGAGGTGGCTCTGGACGCCTGGGACTTTGCTAATTTGGAACTGACGCCCACACTCAGGGAGGCCCTTGCAAAGCTGGCTCAGGCCGGTCTTTCAGCACCGAGGACAAGGGCTGTGAGAGGCCCCTCTCCAGGCCTGTGCCGGCCGGCCGGCCGGCAGGAGGCAGGCCAGCTGCTCATGTGCCAGCATGTGGCCGCAGCTGGCACTGGCACTGGCTGACACCCAAGCCCCCAAGCGCCACCCCAGAGCCCTCCGCACCTGCCATTCCTGCAGCCCCCAGGTCGCACTGCCCCCTCACCCCGCCACCCAGTGCAGGTTTGTGCCCCGCCCCGGGCAGGGTAGCCGCAAGGAGTCAGCCTGAACCGGACCCCAGTGAGGTCCCAGCCTCCCCCGCCCCTGCCGTCTGTGTGAGCTGGACCTCGCACTTGACACCGGTTAGGCCCGGGGCCCCTGACCTTCCCGCAGCCTCACCCAAGTGGGCTCTGTCTTCAGCGAGCTCCTGTTGGTCAGTTTGGCCAGGCTGGCTCCAGCCTCTGCTGTTGGCTGCAGGGTGCATCCCCCAGTGGCTGTGGCTCCGCTCTGGGAGTCATTTTCTCAGTGGGGCCTCCCTTGGCCCCGAGCCCCCCACCCCATTTTGCCCAGGGTGAGCTGCCACCCCTGGATCCGAAGGGAGGGAGGGTCCTGTTGTCCCCGGTCACTTGTGGGACGGGCAAAGCGAGATGCCAGAAACCCTGGGGACTTGGGGGTCCCTGCCGTCCCTGCTGTCACTGCTGCCATTGGTGGCTGGTGGGGTCAGGGCAGGAGGGATGCTCAGGCGGAGGGAGGCAGTTGAAGTGGGGGCGGCAGGCGGAGAGAAGACAGGCTTCCACGGGGCCCGCTGCCTGGCCCACTTCGTGGCTGCCGTCCCTGCAAGCAAGACCCTGAGAGCCCCGGGCGCGGGGCACAGAGTAGCTGCCAGGCTCGGCCCAGGCACCTCTGGGCAGGCGGCGGGTTCCCAGAACCCCACCCAGCAGCGGGCCAGCAGGGCTCGGCATGCAGCTGCTCTGACTCCCGGTGCTCCCAAGGAGCTGGGCTGTGTCCAGGAGGAACTTCCTCGGCAGAGCCCACATTTGGCTCCAGGCAACAGGCTCTGAGGGCGTGGCGGACACAGAGCACTGGTGGCTGCGGCCCTGCCTTCCCAGGGAGAGAAGACCTGAGAGCCAAGATGGCCGTGCTCCTCAGTCACGTCCTCCAGTGCTGACTGGGGAGGACCCTGAGCCAGGCAGGAGGGACCGCGGGAGGCTCCAGGCCGCGGGCGGGCAGAGCTTCTGGAGAGGAGGGGCGGCTGTGCTGACAGCTGTCCTCTGACAGGCCCGGGGGCGGCCACGCCTAGGCTAGTCTGGGAGTGGGGCACCATGGGGGTTGGCCATGTGGCTGCCCGCTGGGCCAAGGCAGAGTGGGGGCCAGTGGAGGCGGGGGCGCGAGTGGGGGACCCCAGGCCTCAGGAACAGGGCCCTCACCAGCTCCAGGGCAGGCCCCAGCCTGGGACTCCTGGCAGAGGGGCAGCCTGATGGGTGGCCAGGGTGGCAACGGCCAAGGAAGGACACTCAGGCTCTGGGGGTCGCTGGGCACTGGCTCTGAGCTTAGGCCCTGTCCCAGACACCCTCGAGCCACTGAGCGGCCCCGGAGGCAGGCGGACACGCTTTCAGCCTGGCGCGGCATGCGGGCACCAGCCCGTCTTCCTGCCCAGTCCCCAGCAGCTGAGCAGGGCTTAGGTCCTGTGCTGAGGGAGCAGCAGCCCCATCTCGAGAACCATGGATGAGTCGGCCTGCAGCGTGGGTGGGGCTTGGGCTCCAAAGGCACTCGGGGCCCAGGCCGTCCTGCAGTGCTGGCCCACGACGGGAGGGCCCAGCACTCAAGCAGGGTGGCGCAGGGGCGGGTAGAGCGGGGCCGCCCCTGCCCAGGCCACTCCAGGGCCGTGACACAGCCGAGTGACTCCCAGTCTTCTGACCATGTGACGGCCACTCCCAGGCCTTTTCTGAGGGGCTGCTGGGGGCGCCATCTCTCTAGGCCAGGTGGTGGCACAGGCCGAGCGTGGGGCAGTGCCAGGGAGACTCTCGCATGAAGTCAGGACAGGCTGGAGATGGGGGAGCTGCTTTTCAGGGAGAGAAAGGAAAGGCTTTTTTGCAGCCACTTTGTTCCCCGATTATATAGATGCAGAATTCACTTCCAGCAGTGGTTTCTGACCCCCAGGCGGCGGGAGGGTCAGGCGGGGTAACGTGGGAGGGCACTGGGCCTGAAGGAACAGCCCCCAGAGCCCTCGGCCCTGCAGCCTGGGTCACAAGAGTGCGAGGAAGGTGTTCGGGAGCCGTGATGCGCGGACGGCCTGGACAGGAAACGAGGCGCCCGGAAGGACCGGGAAAGGGCCCAGAGCAGGGTTCAGGGAGAAAGAACAAGGCGTGACCTGAGAACAACCGCCAAGGTCGACATCAAGGGCAGGTTGCCGGTGAGAAGGCTCGGGGTCTGACACGTCAAGCAGAATCGAGGTCGAGGGGCCACGGGAGCCAGAGGGGCAGGCCCCGCACTCCGGGGTGTCTGAGTCTTAACAACATTCGCATTTTATGATCTCACCTAGTGGACTCGCAACGCTGTGAAGGCAACACTGCCAGCTTTTTTGTCACCCAAACAGCAGCTATGTGCCCACTGCCCAGTGCCCACCGCCGCCCGGCCCACCCTGCAGAGCTGGGCACTTCACGTCGCGGGGCAGTGGGTGCTCTGGTGCCTCTGGACAGAAGGGCACGCGTCGCACACATTCCTTCCAGCTGCCGCCGGCCCAGGTGCCCGGGGGGGGACAGAGCGAGGGCGCTGCAGCCTCCCGCCCTGGCCCATCGCTGCAGCCAAAGCAATGGTTTCCTTTACCCGCTGCAGCGCCGGCTCCGTGCGGTGCGGTCCTTTCTTAAAAGAATGAAAAACTGTTAAAAAATACCAAGCGTCCAAAGACTTCTGAGGAAGAAGCCAGCGGCAGCTCCTTCTCCAGGGGAAAATGTCTCTTTTCATCCAAAACTGTGGATTTACAGTAACTGCGATGGTTTATTCGCACATGAAGTTAACTCACGACATCTTATTTTCATACTTTATCACACTAAGGCCATTTTGCAGAACTGGAACTTTGCGCTTATCCAGTGACTCTTGTCACGGGTTAAGCCCAGATTTAGACAGATACATGATTTTTAGCATCTCTTTCATTTTAAATCGGCACAGATATTTGGAATTTCCTGTTGCCGTCTTAACTGTGCCAGTGGTGACAGTGGTTGAAATGAGAAGATCTTAAAAGAAAAACCCTGATGTCGTTCATGAAAGCTACTTATTTAGTCTTGTTGTTTGGGACAATCGGCAAAAAAATTCACAGATACGATCATCTAAGCACCTGTTTCCAATTTAACATCACCCTGCAGCTTGCAAAATAGCTTCTTTCCAGTTAAACAGCAGAAGAGGGCCTCCCTGGTGGCGCAGCGGTTGAGCGCTGGGTGGCGAAGCTGCCCGCGGCCTCTGCGGTGCCGGTTCAATCCCCGGCTGCTCCCCGGCCACCAGAGGAGGGTCCCACATGGCGCGCAGACCTCTCCTGCCGCCCGCTGCTCCCCTCAGCCGTGTCCTTCGGTCCTTCTGCCTGCTCTGCTCCCCGCTCTGGCTCTGGTGAATTCTCTCACCCTCCCGCGCTTCTGACTGTACCCAGTGCATGTATAAACAAGCAAACAAATAAATAAATAAATAAACAAACATGCCTCTATTTAAAATAAATAAATAAATAAATAAATAAAAAATAAACAGCAGAAGACCCACACCTGCCATT